TGTCTCTGATCCTTGGGAAAGAAAACAATTCCTTTTTACCATATACTCTTTGTATGAAGATTCTCCAATTGTTCCTTGTACCATTTATAATTTAATTCCACTTTTTTAATCGTTTAAATTATGATAAATGATGCACAATTAGCTTTGAGCTAACATAAATCAAGAAGACAAATTACAAAAAATTTTGCTTGAATCGTGCCTAAAAATAATCGGTTAATTTTCTTTATTTTACAATTTTTATAAAGATTCCAAGAAAATTATCGAAATCGGTTATTTTATTCAAAAAGGATGAATCGAAATGAAAAAAAACGGAAGTGGATCAGTACGATTGCAGTTTGCATTGAAAGACAAACAGATGCAGTGGATGTTGTCAATAATTAAACGATAGTTTGGGATCGATTTGACGCGCGTGTGCCATTCGAAAGTCATCGCTCAACCGATCCCGTTCCTTAAGTGCCGTTTGTCTCTTGTAACACCGAGCCTTAAGTGGAAAAAATCGATTAGTCACTCCCGTTAGGCTTAATTTGTTCTGTTGTTCTATCATTCTGGGGGATCACAAGAAAACCGAGTTCATAAACTCATAAAATGATTGATAAGTTAAAATCTAATCCACTCTTTAAAACCTGATTTATTTTTTCTAATTATGTAGAATAGGAAATTAAAATATCACAATTTTTGTCGAAGTTACAAAAACCTGGAAAATTTCGTTTTTTAACCTGGAAAAGTCAGGGAATTTGAAATGAGCAAAAGCGTGGCAACCCTGTAAGAAGAAAGTTTTGCTATTCTCCGGCAAAATGTGTTTTAAATTTACCACCATGAAGTCCAAAGGTCATTAAGGTTTACAATAGAAGTGCTTGTCACAAAATGTCGTAGATTTTTATCAATAATAAAGTGGAAATCCCATTCTCCTTCCCGTTAGTCAATAAAGTGTCATAAGTTCTTCTGAACAATTTACAACTGTCTATGATGGTATCTACAAAAATGGTGCAAAGAACTGCACTTCTTGCTATTTCTAAACATTCTTCAAAATAGGAATCAGTCTTTGGAAATTAGAAATGATCCAATATGTCGAAAGAGAAATTGATTGATAACGCACTTATGATGATTTTATACAAGAGCTACTGATTATCAGTGATAAAAGTTGAAAATTGAATAAGATGTTGTAAAGAGAATAAAAAGTTGTCGATGCACTTGCTTTTTGTTGAGAGCTGAATCATTAAGAAATAAATTACAGAGATTTTCATATCCCGTGTTATTTTCATTCCTCTTCTTGTGTTGGCGTTATCAGATCACGAGTGGACGACGAGTGCTGACTATTTATGCTACAATTTCCCTTTCACGAGGAAGTCTGCGTTTGTCCTGAATGACTTGAGGTGATCCGGCACTAGCAATTCAACTCGAAGGTCCATCCCACAGGAGCTGCTCTTGAATCCGCAAGAGAAATTGAGGATGAATAGATTTACATAAATATAGGCCGTGCCTAGCTTTTCAACTGCAACTTTATTGCTGGATCCGCCTTCGATGCCTTTTTGTTTCTGGATCCTATTACGGTGGGAGAAGAAAGAGAGAAACAGTCATCGAGGAGATAGTGAGGCTGATATCTTTATTGGATAAAAAAGAACCGTGGAAGGTCAGGACTGCGAGGAGGCTAAAGGGTCACTGCTAATCAAGATGGATGAACCGGATCCTAATCGGCATTTATCATCCAAACTCGAATTGGTTTTCTTGGAAAAATGAATCTTTTCAAAAATCCGGAGGATCGGAAAAATTAATCCGATAGAGGAATATTGGGATATGTGGGCAATTTATCTATCCGTCCTGGAGATTGAAGCAGATGATCATGATCGAAGTACCCGCGTCGAATTTCACCTTCTCTTTCTTCTTCCCGCAGTCCCACTTCATGCATGTTCCTTTCTTCCCATGAACAGGATTGATTGCAACCGTTGAAATCCTCTGGATACCGTGGATACTAGACATACCGGACAAGAGCGGCAAACCATCGTTTCATGTAAAATTATCCTCACATTTCACCTTTCCTTTCAATTCGTTTCGTTTCAATTGTCAACTCGACTAATTGAATTCGATTAAAGCATTGCCGTCTACTGTTGCTCCTTCAAGAAGAATCGAGTCCAAGTGAAAGCCTTCCTTTTACACTGACAACATCTGTCGATCGAAAAGAGTTCAATACCCCAATAATTCCAACCACAATTTTTATTTGATGACACTTTTTGCAAATGGTTATGTCAAGCGAATCGATTTATATCAATTGCGATAAAAGCACTTATTTATTCAAAGAAGATGAGGGAAATATTGAATAAAATTCCTTTTATTTTCTTATCAGGTGTTTCGAAGGTGTGTGGCATCTCGTCTTGAGTTATTCCGGCACAAAGTATAATGTATTGAAGAAAGAGCAGTTATTGGTTATTGGCCTCTTGTTGAAGTGTTTCTCTGCAAATTGCACTCTATTACATATCCTATGATTAGGATATATGTATACATTATAAGAATCTCTTCATAAATAACAAAAACAGTTTCACTGAGAATTTCTTCTTTATTCAAAATTCGTTTAGCTTTGTTTAAAAAATACTTCTTGTCAACTAAACAGTAATCTTTTGGAAAATAGTTTCTTTTCTAAAAAATAATAAGGATAATTCATGCACTAATTTATAATATTTATAATATAATATATAATACTTTATCATAATCGTAAGTTTTCTTTCCGTTAGCAAATTCTCTGCATTCATTTGTTTGTTTTGAAAATTAAATTTTGTGGGAATGCAGATTATTATTAATTTGAAAATGAAAGTATCAAATAACAATTTTTGCGAAATTCAATTTTTCTCGTACAAGAAAATTAATTAGTTTAATTATTTTCAATTTAGAAGATCTGATGTCAAATTTGAATTTAGTATTAAAATTTGTTAAATAAAGTTTTAAAATAATATAAATTGAAAATTTAATTCTAATTAGTTTTTCAATTATGTGTCATAATAATTATTTCTTTAAAAATTACTTAAATTAAAATGGCTTGAAATTATTTACAATATTAGTGCAATTCAACATATTTGGCTAGTACTAAATAATAAACTAATAAGGTAGATTAATCTTTTTGCAATTCGTATACATACTTGTAATTTATATAATTTCAAATTTTTTTGAATTTTCTCACGAGGCTTTCAAGTTCATTCATTCAGTTAAATTTAATATTTGATATATTTTTAAAATATGAAGAAAACTTTTTTTGAAATTTAAAGATTTCTTATTCTTTACATATGCTAATGCTCTCAGGTGAGTCGAGCGCTCAGGTATGCAGTACTATAATACAAAAAGTGTCAAAGAAAATTTTTTTTCTATTTTTACGTGGAGAAAACATTTTATTCAATTTCAAAAATAATTTTAAATGCTTTTGATTATAATTTGAAGAATCTGAAATGGTTTTAATTTTGAAATGAAAATTTCTTGATCCAAATAGTGAAGAAACTTGTGAAGAAATCATAGTTCCGATTTTGAGTTTATTTGACCAGGTGTGGCGTTATCTACTTCCTCCACTTGTTCACAGCTTTATTTCATTATCGTCCGTTTTATTTCCAACTACTGATCTACAATTCCTATTATGTTGTATTGAGAATCATATTCACAACGAAAGAATGAACGAACGAACGAACGGCGTTATGCACTAGCAATCGGATAAGCTCGAATTGTAAACAGAAGTAATTATCTGGTAATTCTCAGGCATATTGTTCTTTTTATAGATCTGAAGATACTTGATGCGGTCAGGTATTAGTTTAAACACAGGTCTTGCGTAATTTTCACCATATAAAGCGGTAGGTATTGGTGGACGTCGTCCAAACTCCGTGAATATTTCTTGCGTGTTTCACTCGACGCAACACTGTTATTGTGGCTAATTAATTGCACCCGGACACGATATGGGGCGGTTCATATTTACGGAAAAAGGCGGTTTTACTCCCTATTTAGAAGGCGAAACTGATTGTGGAAGTGAATCTAATTTCCAGTTTATGTGAAGAATGAGAGTTTGTTTTAAGAGTAAGTCGTTATGGCGAGCAACACTTTGCGGGAAAGGGCTGAGAAAGGGCTTAAAGAATCGTTTTCGTTTAGGAATGTAATTATATCTTTCGAAGAAAAGACACTCGAAGAAGTTGTTTAATATTCAGTGAGGATGATTCTTATAGTTTGGATAGGACAAGTTGATGATTCTTTAGAGATGTGAGATGAATGACTGTTTTTTTCTTTGTAACTATAATTTAATCTATTTTTAAGATTAGATAAGTGTTTCTCTTAAATTGATCATGACTTGCTCCTTTTCCGTAGTTTCCTCAAAGCAAAACGAGATCCACATTTCTATCCTAAAGTGAAAGGAGTTAATTCCTAAAAGCAGAAATGAAATATTTTCGATTCTATCTCGCAAAAAAGAGAAATCCTTCTCCATGTAATGTCTGCTATAAATGTAAGTTAAACGATGGCAATGAATCTCAGTGGACCAGAGTGAGATCGCTTTGAAAAATACCCCTTGGAATCTGTATGTAAATAGTATAAGTAATTCTCCGTCACATAACTTTAGAAAGGGAATTTCGAACCCATTTTTCCTCGCAATCAGCTTAAGACCTGACAAATAAAGTACTTTGCCTCCTTGAAATCTATCATCTCTGGAGAATTCCCCTACACATCCCACGCATTCTTCGGACGCTACCATGCGTATTTATTAGGCTTGCTTAACGTGACTCATTTACAAACGACCTCGCCATTCCCAATTCAATCCTCCTTCGTCAACCTGTTTAGCTAAAAGCCAATTCTTTCGAAATCGTTAATGACAACCGCAAAGCAAAAAAGATTTCATCGCCCACGTGTTTCACTCTGCTGTGGCACCAAATACAATTTGGAGAAAACTCAAAATTGAAAACGAAAACCATTCGGCGAAATGGTAAACCACGGTGAGGAGAAATTATACACTAAAGATAAAGTTGTTATTGAATTGCACTCACCATTTGCGTGTGCGGCTCCAATGACGCATATCCAGACGCAGATGGCCCACGAGATATCCATAATTGCACACCGTATGTGAGGAGAGGACGGTTTGTATTGTAATTTACGACAAGTTTCGCGGCTAAAGGATCATTTAGACTTTGAAGTCTCTTGCGGCGCAAGAGATCGCGACGACGAGCAGGAGGGAAAGACGATTGTGATGCTTGCTGAGCGAGGCGACGGGAGACACTGGGAGAGATACCGGGCGGTGTGGGCCCAGGGTGAATAAAAAGAGAGGGAATCGGCAATGACGGCCGTCTCTCTTCAGGAGAGAGGTGAGGCCTTCCAAGTCCCAACAAAAGCCCCCACAGACTAGACGGAAAACGGCGCAATATCTCGCGTGCATGCATGTACACACCATTCCCAGCGAACCGAATCCTCAAGTTCGTTGTGGGCGTCTGATTTCTGCATCTTGCGCGCTCACCGGCCGATTCGCGATTTCGAAGAAAAAACAGTTTTTAGGAGAAAAATTACGTCGCATATTTTTTATCAAAAAGGGTCATCCATGTACCACGTGGGCAATATTTTATCATTCTTTTTTACCATCGTTGGCAATTGTGGGCTTTTGACAAACCATAACTGTCCACGTGGACATTTTCGGGCAGAAAAAGTGCAATTTTCGTCATCTTTTGTATTTGAGGGTTCTTGGAGTCTCACAGTATGAATCTGAAATCATTTTCAAAATTAAAAATCGCGGATCCAATATTACGGACGAATTTTAACAAATTCGTCCGCCATTTTGAATTTTGAATAACTGACATCGGATTTGCAATTAGCGAGCTAAAAACCCCTCAATTAACAATTTTTAAACGAATCCAATCAATTTTTAGAAATTCGTTCGCCATATTGGATCCGACATTTTGAATTTCAAAAAATTGACTTGGGTATCATTAGCTTAGCTTTGTTTAATTTTCGATTTCGCAATATTATTATAAATCTTGCCATAAACATTCTTTTTTTATTATTGATATAATTAAACAATTGTTAATTCTTTATTGTAATATAAATTTTTTTCACAAAGTAGAATAAATTTGTGGGTGTTGGGTGTCAAAATTATGACGATATTTAAAAATTTGATGTTTTATTCAAACTTAAAAGTTGATTATAAATCATTTAAAATCAACCACAACTTATGTTCTTTTTTCTTTGATAGCTGATTGTTTAGCTGATCGGTTAGGGTCTTCGGTTAGTATCCGTTGAACCCGGGTTCAATTCCCAGTCCCCTTGAATTAGTTTCCAAAAATTTTTCATCAATAATAAGTTCCAAAGTATAACAAGTAAGTCATAACAAAAATTAATGAAGTAGAAAAATTTTAAAAACAAAAAAACTAAAAGTAAAGTATTAAGTAAAACAGTTTGAGAGAATTTAAATTGTAACCGTAAAGTATTTACTAGGTCCGTAAAGTATTTACTTGGTTCGTAAAGTAATTTATGAAGCGTCTTTTTAAAAATATCAGGGTTGAAAAGTCGAGTTTCGTGTATTATTTATTAAAATCCTTTTCTCGAATAATTAAGAGAATCATTTAACTCCACACTTAACACTTAATAAAATTGTAAATATATATGTACAGAGAGTATGAAAATATTTTGCAAATCATTGAAATTAGATCATAAAGTAGACGGTCGAGTACAAGACAAATACACTCAATTATTATATGCCTCATTATACATGTTCTGTTATGTGCTTCATTAAAGAACTGTGCTTCGCATGTTTAGCCATTTAATTTAAATATATTTTCCAATTTGCGATAATATTTAACCTAAAACCAGTTCCACGATGAACATAACAAATAATACACGACAAATTGAATTGGTTTTCAATGGGAGTCATTTCTCTCGGAAAGTACAGTTAGGAATATTAAATTCAGATGCGGGAATAATAATCTGGAGAACAATCTTTAATGATGTTTTGGTTTTAATTACTGGGGAGCGGTAAGGGATAAGGGAACAATGAATATCGAGTATAACGAGGGTAGTTTGAAAGTGTGGCTTATGAACTTGGCGGCGATTACACAATGGGCAAGTATAAGCGGTAGCTTTTCAAACACTCTTATATCCGAAGTATCTACAAGTATGTAGATACTGCATCGAGATATATTTTTCTTTATGCCCCCAGCTGCATCTAGATATGGTGTAAAGAGTAAAATCGTCTTGAGTCAAGGCGTACACGCCGAGATACTTTATTGCGGAGAAACTTACATCTAGATACCCGTATTTACACGTTTGCAGTCGGAAGGGTAGATTTATTAATTTGTTAGCTCACCAGGTAGGCTTTATTTCTCTTCCGATCGCTTTCTCACAGTTCGTGCCACAATTTTCATTATATTTCCAGACACTATTTCATTTCCTTTTTTCAATAAATCTATACACGAGCGTTTTGGTGGAACTATCGTATAAATCCCGATATACAAAATACTTTCAAGCAGTAGGATAATAAATGCAGAAAAATTTAAAAAACACTTTGAAAAATTATCCCATTGCAGTTTCACGGTTGACACGCATTCTGGAAAACCTAGAAATTTACAAAAAGTAACCACAGCCGATAATCAGCAGAAGATGAAAAAATATTTTTTGAGCGACCTTTATCCTCTGTTTCCTAATAATTTTTATCCAAATAATTTTCTCTAGGTCCTAAGCTATGACAAGAACAAATCCCATTAATATCTGACTCAAGAAAACTAAATTAATTTAAAATTTACAAAAAGTAACCACAGCCGATAATCAGCAGAAGATGAAAAAATATTTTGGATCGACCTTTATCCTGTGTTTCTTATTAATCTTTAGCTAAATAATTTTTTACTGGTCCTAAACTATAATTAGATTAATTCCAATTAATATCTGAGTCATCAATTTTAATATAATTCACAATTCATAAAATACTTTTTATTAATTCTATACCTTTTTCAGGTTTTCTAGGATTTCTAGGCTCTGTGGTATCCACGAAAATGTCTTATAAAATTCTTTGGAAAATCAATTATTTCTAAATTTTTTATTTAAAATTTAAAAACTTTAAATGTAGTTTTAAAAATCTGGAAATATTCCTTTTTTTAATCTGGAAAAGTCAGGGAATTTAAAATGAGTAAATGCGCGGTAACCCTGAATTTTTAGGAAATTTGTGTTGATCTTACAGTCGAGGAACTAGCAACAAAACAAGCCATTTTTCTCCTTACTTAATTTGGTAATAAAGGAGAATTAATTATTCAACTGGGACATAACTTCTGATAGCAGATGGATAAATAACTTGTTGCAAAAATCCTGGCCTCTTAAGCACAATATTTGCATTCTCTATGATTTTCTCAGAGACGTAACGTCAATTTGTTTAGTAACTGCATAAAAATATTTAGTAATTACATAATTTCTTTAGTTAATTACACAAAAAGCTTGATGGGAATTGGGAAATTATTTTCTTATTAACTTTTGGTGCGAATGTGATTTTTACCCAGAGCTTCAGCGGAAAAATCGCATCGAGTTTGACAAGTTTAGCATGCTCCTGCTATCCTGAGCGAATCTTGCTCTTGAATAGTTTGCGTGTATTAGCTGTTGCTGTTTGTGTGAGACACGCGACTTTATTCTGCAGTCGCAAGTGAAAGTGTCGAGATATTTCATAATAAAGCGGAGAGTCGTGATGCACTCGCCATCGCTGAAGGTATTGTCCGTTTCTTGATGCAAATATCACTGCGCAGACTGCATTAGATCTCGAGGAGGAAGTGAAGAGCTAAACTGGTTTCATGGTCCTTAGGGCCTTAGACACGCGATTGTCCGATTGCCACCCCCTTACCGACAGTAACGACCTCAATCATTCGTGACTGCATTTAAAAAGTCAAATCAAAATTTCCAGGAAAATTCCTCTTATCATTTTCGAATTTAGTGCTTCAAATTTTAATAGAATACTTTCTTTATAGTTGTTTTGAATTTAGTTATTTAGGACTGTATTTATAGGGATTTATGGGGTGTGAAAGACAGTATGTGGAATGTGGGAAAAGTTACTTAATCGACCCCCAGATTTGCGAAAAATTTTAATTACATTTAATTACAGAGGGTATATTGGTTCTCATCTCACTAGTAACACTCTCATAGTTATTACTGAACTTGAATCCTAATTACGCTGATAATAAGGAGGTAATCTTCCTCAACGTGTTGCATCTTTAGCATTGACTTCCTTGAGAATTTTTCCGTTGAAAACCGCAACTTTATTAAGAGGCCAGGACACAAGACTAATACAAGACACGTGAGATTTGACGATAACAAATTTCCAAGACGAAGTAACTTGACACCATCTCTCTATCGACTCGGTGTTCCCATTAGGACTAATTAATTGATTCAAAGCAAGTGGGTCGTGAGAGAAGGATCACCCCTCTGACATCATTTGCATCATTTAGCGGATGCTAATTATTCTCTAAGATGAAACTCTCTAAACGATAGAAAATATTTTTATATTTCTCATCCTTGTTTTTAATGAAAATTACAAGCTTTTGTAAAAAATAAATAATTATCGAGACAAAATATTTACAACTTATACATTTGCGTAAATCAACAGACATTAATTTAAAAAAATATATTCTCTCTTCCAATAAGAGCACTTAATTACAATTGCATTTGTCAGTCATTTATTAATTATTATCACTAGTGTAATTATCACGTTTGTGAGTATTTCTCCGTTCGCCTTCTCGGCTTAGATTCGCCTTGCGTGAACCTTATTGCTAATTTATCATACCGTTAAAAGGGTGAAAAATACTAGTGAAATTGCGCTCAGTGGAAGATATGAACTTCCAGAACTGGTGAACTTTTGATTCAATAATTGACACTGGGAATCCCGGAAGTGTTTCACGTTACCGATCGAGTCCCTGGCGAGAATACAGAGCTCGTATTTCGACATTGACTTCGGTAGAGTGTGTACTTTGTAGGATCTTTCACTGTAAACGACGTCCTGCTCTATGAGGGGCTTCTTTCCAATTTCCCTCAAGACTATGTAAAAGTCCCCTATGTCCTCTCTGGATGTCACGTACCAAGTGGCTTTCCACGAATCATCTTCGTCGTTGCTGAAAGCGAAATTTTTTTTAATCAATGTTTTCATAGCTTCAAGAAAGACACATCTAGGTAATTATTAAATTTACTTACTATTCCAGCTCCCTATACTCAATATCAGGTGTGATATCTAATTTCGAATCTTCAGAAATGTCTTTCTCCCCGCAAGTCATTAAATCTTCGGTTATTTCCGAAAGGAAGTGATTTTCGATGAAGCCTGGCCCGGAACAAATCATTTCTTCCCACTCCTGTGGAATTTCCGTGAATGTGTTGAGCCATCTCTTCAATGGTCTCACGTGACAATCGCAGTACAATGGATTACCTGACAAATGAATGAAAACAAGATTATTAAAATAACGATTTGATAAAATTGCCATCTCATTTTATTTAAGCTACCAAAAGATATTTAGAATTTTAAAAATCAAAAGCTTTTTAAGGGACAGTCCCCTGAAAAGTTCTAAAGATAAAATTAACAGAAATATTACCAATATATCTGACTTGAGTGTCGTTTTTGATGATAGTCATTAAATTTCTATTGAAACTTGAAAATTGATTCTTCTCAATGTCCAGAAGTTTTAAATTTGGCATAGCAACAATCTTCTCGAATGGTAAATGATCAAACTGATTATTGTTCAGAATCAAGTTTGTAAGATTAAGAGGCGGTTTGAATATTTCTGGCTCCGAAATATCGTTGATGTCATTAAATGATAGATCCAATGTTTCCAGACTTGTCAAATTTCCAATAACATCTGCAATGTTAAGAAAAGATGTCCAGTAAATTTCAAAAACAGGGAAAAATCAAAAAATAGTTATAATAGTTATAATAATAGTAATACAAGAATAGTTGAAAATATGTGAATAATTGAAATTATTACATCTTCGAATCTCGTTGATATTGTTGTGGGATAGATTGAGATAAACGAGTTTCTTTCCGCCTATAGTGATGTCAAATGTAAGGACTGGCATCGTGTTATAGGAAAGATCTATTTCCTTTAATTTGTACGGTATCCAGGGATTGCTGGGAAACATTTTTCTCGTAATGAAGGATATTTTGTTGTGTTTGAGATTCACTCTCTCCAGAGAAAGACAGTCGTCTAATAAGCCATGAGTCTTGTTGTCTAGTTTTTCTAAATTGTTGAAAGAGAGGTCCAGAGTCCTCAAAGAGACGAGACTTTGAAATGCTCCATTCGCGATGTGGGTCAGATTGTTGTTAGAGAGGTTTAGGGTCAACAGTTGCAAAAGTCCCTCGAAAGCTCGTTGATTTATTTTCTTAATTTGATTATTCGAGAGATTCAGTTCGAAGACTATGGGTAGTCTTCCAAATGCTGCTTTGCTTAGTTCTGTTAAATTGTTATCCTAAACAGAAATCATAACATGAACTTTATCTACATTCCTTCCTCCAACGATTAAGACTCTCTTAATCGTTAGGATTAGGAGAATCTTAATCGTAAATGCTAAATATAAATCAATATTATAAAGATCTTGATAAATGAATTTTCACCTGTAAATAGAGATATTGTAAACTAGTCAAGGAACTTAAAGCTTCCCAAGGCGGCTTTGTGATATTATTTTCCGCAAGATTCAGTGTCCTCAAGGTTAGCAGATTGTCAAAGCAACCGAAACCTAGTTTATCGGTAAGTCGATTTTTGGACAAATCAAGTGAAAGAAGGGCGTTCATGATCGGCCAAGTGTCTGACGATGGAATTTCCTCGAGAGAATTCTCCGAAAAGTCAAGATGACCCAGAGAAATTGGCAGTTGGAAAATCTTCGACAGACTGTTGTGTTTAACCGTCAAAGTCCTGGAAAAAGAAGAAGCAGAAGAAGCAATTAAAATAAGGCTAAAAATGTTATGACCTACAATTATAGTGAAATTTGCTTACCTGCAACTTCCCAAACGAGTTAAACTACCGCGTGAAATTTCTTTTAATTTATTGTAACTCATGTCCAACTCGAGCAAAGTTGTCAACGGCCCAAAAGTTGATGGGTGAATTTTTTCTAATGCATTGTACGCCAAGTTTAGTAATCGAAGACTAAATAAGGTTTGAAAAATGCCATTGTGTATTTCTGATATATTATTATAAGACAAATCGATTGTGTGAAGTTCGTATAACTTTGGAAAAGTATTTCTTGGCACCGAATTCAGTGAATTGTGGGAGACGTTCAAAATCTTTATGAACGTCATATTTTGCAGTGGTACCTGGGAAAATAAAGAAAAAGTTAAATACACTTTGTGGAGCCATAAAAAATACCCATAAAAATCAACGTTCGAAAAACATACCTGACTTAATGACGTGAGAAAGTTGAAACTAAGTTGCAACTCATTGGCGTAAGTATTGGGGTCAAACGAGTTTTTCGAAAAATTGTTAATTTTGTTAAAACTCAAGTCCAACACTGTGATATTGGCACAATTTTCAAAAGCTCTTGGCTCGATTTGCGAAATCTGATTATGCGATAAGTTGACATGAACACTGGTGAGATCCTTGAATGATAATTTTTCAACTATTGTCACCATGTTTTCAGCGACGTCCAACACCTGAAAATGGAAAAATATCGTACTTACATACTTTGTCTACTTTTAATACTCTGGATATTTTTCACCAGAAGTTTCAATAAACTTTCCTAACACAAATAAGAATGTAAAGTAGAGAGAATCAAAGTACCTCGGCATATTTAAGTTGATTAAACATCTGATAATCGATTTTCTTGATTTGATTCCGAGCCAAGTCGATGGTAGCAACTTTTGTCACCGATTCGAAAGTACTGCGTCCAACGTCATTGATTAAATTGTCGCTCAAGTAGAGTCTTCTCATTTGTCGCATTCCTCGAAAAGTGTTTGAATCAATTTTCCGTATCTTATTATGACTAAGATTCAAGAGGAGCAGAAGAGAATTCCTAGCCAGAGTTCCTCTGAAATGACGCGGCAATAAAAAAACCAATTAGGAAAACTCGATTTAATTTTAAGTTGTAACGAAAATATTTATTGTTACCTCTTCAAATCACCAAGAGCATTGTGAGAGACGTTTAATATTTTTAACTTTGTAAGATCAGACAAATGAGAGGCTTCCAATTTCTCTATGGAATTATATGACAAATCAAGATACTCCATATCTTTCAATCCCTTAAATTGATTTCTCTTCAATTCCTTTATATTATTGCCATGGAGGTCCAGTGATTTCAGTTTTTTTAGTGGAGCGAAACTTTCAACGGTTATTGTATGAAGGGTTCCTGTTAAAAATATTGTTATTAATTGTTCTATTACAGGCTTTGTACTATTCTATTTTACTATTTATATTCTGTTCGCTTTTTACACTTAATTTCTCGAATTACGTCAAGAATGAATAGTTTCTTATTTTGCAAATATTATAAATTTTCTCATATTCGTTATGGATACCTGCTGATTATTAAAAGGTTTTAGCTAAACGAAGTTTAGAAACTTACCGTTACTTATTTCGATCCTTTCAATTTTCGAGGCCGCCAGACTGCCATGGAAACTTTCGTCATTCATCGATTCCAGTCGATTGCCTCTAATCACTAAAATTGTTAGATTACCCAAAATTTGAATAGCTTGATTGGGGAACTTTTCGAGTTTGCTGCCAATTATGTGAAGCTCCTGTAGAGTTTGATTAACGCCAAGGAAGCTGTGCTCATCAATAAATTTTATTGGCGTGTCAATCAGTCGTAAAATTCGGGCATTTAACGTATAAAGTGCTGGACCATAAAGTCGAGCTAGAAACATTTTAAACATCATAGTCAAAAATTCTACGGAATACTTTTAATTTTTCATCTTCTGGGATTACAACCAAAAGTTAATATGTAATATTAAAAGAGGAGAATCTGTATACGTACCAATATTGCACTTGTAGAGAACCAGTTCCTCAATAGGAATTCCATCGTTCCCTAAATTTTCAAACGCCAAACTCAAGCTGGCTAAATTGCTGTTTTCGCATTTTATGTGCAGTCCCTCGTCGGTACTTTTGGCGCAAACGCATGGCCAAATGTGACTCGCCTCTATCGGACATCGATATTTTGGTCCCGGAGGAATGTAACCTCCCATTGTGGTGAGGATACATCCTAAGAATAGGAACGGAACTAACATTTCCTAAAAAATTCAGAAATCACTCATTAATACATTCTCATTTCTTAAAATGAATGCGACGCTTTTGTAATTTACTTAAGACTTTAGCAAGGTATGAAATTTCTAATGATGCGGGAAATTTCAAACAATTGTCTGATTAGGTACTAGATTTCACTTTATGTCCTTAATAATAAATACAATACAATTTACAGTAGTTGATTAATTTTTTAGGGCGAGAAATTAGAAGGCCACCTGACTATCTTTGTTCATCCTCATTGTGAATAATGGCCTTGAAAGAAATCAGTTTTATGTCTCAGTCTGCCCACACCTTATCCTTTATTCAATAAAAAAACGACTTTATACTCGATGGGAATAACATTCTTTCAACAAGTTCACAATGACATTCGAAAGTCCGGTTTTTGTTCCATTTATTTAGCGGAAGAAAAATATTAATAATAGGGAGAGAGAGTTAAATTTCCTTCTTACCTACATACATACTTCGCAACTAATTAACAAGTTGGAACATTGAATTAATTAAATTTTATTAATTTTCCAAAGTTTATGTTTCAGAAATGGAAAATATAAAGACAAACTTTATGGTATTTTACTGCTATATCAGTAATTGCGGTCACATTAATTTTGTCAAGAAATTAAAATAAATATGTAATATCGAAACATTTAGTTTAGTGTTTAGAGGCACTGAGGCAAAAATGTTGTACCACATATGTAACCAGGCGTTTTATCTTGGAATATAAACAGTTAGGTGTGAAAGAAGATACTCAATAAATTTGTATGAATAGATAAAAAACGTGGGTCGAGAAACGTGGGCATCTTAGAAATTAAATAATGTGTCAAGAGTAGTGGGTGCAAAATACAAAATTCATGATGTTATTACTCATCGAGATTAGTGCGTCTTAATTAATCGGGTCTCTTCAATAAAAATAGCCAAAATACCTACTAACGTTCTTTCTAAATCAGATTGGTTAAAACGCTCGCTAATTCATTTAATGATCAAATCGGTTTTATTCCATTAGTCAAAAGTGATCAATTTACAACTAGAGTTGAGTTCTTATCTAAGGTTTCTAAAATTAAAAACGGTAAATTATTTTATTTTCAAAAATTCACCGAATTTACATGAAACTTTTATAATGGTTAATTTTTTTTATTTTGACTCATGAGTTTATTATTTCTAACAAAATATCTTCCATTTTAAGTCGAACAAAGATGACACATTCAGAAAGTATTTTGTAATAAATTACCAAGAACATATTAATCCATTTTGTATTATTTTTAATTCCGAACGTTTTTGATATCCGGTTTTATTAAAATTCTATTTATAAATCAAATGGTAATGACGTCAATAAAATTTATATTATAGTCTGATATCAAGTAATTTTATTCAACGTTTTTTTTAGGGATAATTATTAATGTCTTTCTACTCGAGGTTCTGTTTACGAAATAACCGTGAAGAGTTTTGACCTAAATGGCTATAATTTGTCTAAAATTTTTATTTTTATCTATGGATCATTAAATTTTGTGTATTTTTGGATAGGAAATGATTTTAAGATTAATATTAAAAAAGGTCCAGCAACCTTCATTTTTTCTTTTTTTTTGTATTTCAAAAATATTTTAAATTATTACAAATTTTTGTTTGTTTTGTTTACGTAGTCGTAACAAACTTTGAATAAAGAAAAAAGGAAAACTGAAATAATGTGTAAACAATAGACTGTGCTGAATAATTCATTCTGATTTAATTGTTTCAACATTACTCAAAGAGCATGGAATTATTCAATTCTCCACACATTATTAAATACGCAAAATGAATTTAAAAATTAACTCCGGAACTTTAGCAAGAAAAAAGAAAGGAGCGTTGATCTAGTTATAGAGCAACTTGTTTATGCAATAACACTTAAAGCGTTGTCCGAACAAGTGACCCATGAAGTATAAATTTTACATTATCTTAATATTCCTAAATTGTGTTCGATTTTCAGTTCATTTTAATATTGTGCTCAGTTTCCGCACAATAAAATTATGACCACACTTTCTAATTTTTTTAAATGTATCAAATATTGGGAAAATCTGTTTACATTTGTACCTATAATATTTAAAATTTTATTCTCTAGTCAAATTAATATATAAAAATTATTTTTTATCTTTATTGTAAATTTTGTTTGTATAGGTAGAGTTTTATTTCTGTGAATAAAAATAATAATGGGGAAGCTGAGTAATATTTTTTTCCTACTTTACAATTACGTTAAATTAGCAAATAAAGTTGGGCGATTTCGGAATTATGTAAAAGGTAAACAAACTTGCGTCAATGAGTGCTAAGCTAGCGTCTGTTGGGTGTATTAGTGGTACTTTCTACAATGTGTAATCCATGTACTTCCACGCACAGTAACTTGTTCTACATTTGAAAAACGTCTACGTTTTTCTAGCCATTAGGAAATGTCAATGGAAAGCACGCGGCGAGCAATAATTAGTAATTCCCGTTCAAGTCATTATTATCCAGGCTTCCTCGAGTCGTAAACTATATTTCTCATGACGACTTTTGTTTCTGGGTTATACACGTTTAAGAAACGGTAAATTCAACAAATTATGACAAACAAAACTTTTGTTTACCAAATTTTTAAATTTGGAAATTTTATTTTTAACAGTGATCCTCAGTTTTTTTGCAGATATCAATTTAAGACTAAAAACGAATCAAAACGTTGCTTCAGAACACTTTTGATTCTTTGTTTGTCTGCAGAAAAACTGTGGACTTCAAAAAGACCTAAGTATTGAATTTTATATTTCTTCATACTGAATCCGCCATTTTTGATTTTTCAATTCTTACTCAAAGTATAAAAAAGTTTCTAAAAGACCAAGAATTGAGCAAAGACAATACTGTCTTCTTAATAAGGTTGATATCAAATTGGTACGAAAATTACGAAATATCTGGTTATAATTTGATTCAAATATTGGTATTAACTTGCTGCAATGAAATGTGGTAACCATCGCCATACAAAATTTATGAAAAAAAAGTTCAAAAGTAGAAAATGAAGAAAACCCTCCTTTTTGGATGATTTTTCAAATGACATGTTTCTTCAATTTTGAACAGTTTCATTGCTCAACTTCAATCACATTCCAAATATTCTTTGTATACTTGGGTCACTATTTTTGGCCAGACAATCCCATTTTCATTGTCATATGTTTTCCTAATGGAGAGTTCAATTTTAAATACAATGGCACTTTGCGTTCGAGCGTTGAAGTCACTGACAACCCCACGTAATTGGACAAGGCATGCGCGTGCTTCGGAACACGTGTATACAAAATAGCACACTCGCTGACAGCTACAAATAATATTTCACTCCTTTCTTATCTTCTTCTCCTCATCGAATAACAGTGGCTTACTTGAGACTTTTTCGAAAATTCTTTAATATCTTAACATTTATGAGACCTACACATTAGAGAATAATGTTTACTATCCTAATTTTCACTAAATATTTCACTTCTAACTTCTAAATGTCAAAGGGAAATGAAGAAGAATGAAAATTGGGAAAACAGACTTTCTTGGTAGAGGACACTACCAAGGACACTGACAAGGGATTTTTTAAAGCAAATGAAAATAAGACACACGTACTTATGTTATCCGTTTGAAATGACGAGCTCGCGTCAATGAGATTTCGTTCAGGACATTCTATATGATGGTTCCTGGATGACGTTGGTACAGAAACTGAACGACTTGACTGCGAAACTTTCGAGCAAAGAGAAAGGCAGTTGTTGCTCGCTGTATCTTTCTGAACTGAAGATACGACCTTCTTTTACTCTTTTCGCAAGAGGCAATTTCTTTTGAAAAATATTCTTGTTACCAAAAGCCGGTTGGCTCCGAGAAATATGTTTCATTTTAAGCTCGCTTTTCATTGGCTTGAATAAGTGAAAGTGAATTCACTCCTGCATTTTGAGACATAACAGTACAAACTCATTCGAAAATGGTGTCATTTGGCTCCAGTTGTTGGGCTTTCCTTTCAAACCTACGAAGGATAAAGCAGAGAACTCGGCAGAGAACCTGGTACTGATTGTTGATGACTGAAAATATCGACGGTAGAAAGAAAACCGTTGATACATCAGTGTTGGATTTCTACTATTTCTTATGACGAGCAGAACGAATATTAAATATTGTGTTGTCTTTGTTCAATTTCTTTTTGTTTCATTATTCATTTCATTTATTTATTTATTATAAAAAAGATGAAAACAAAATCGACATTATTTTTATATTCATTAAATTTCTTCTTAATTTTATCTTAACAGCATCCGGATATTTAGGATATCATACGGACTTCCTATGAACTGTTCGGTAATTTGGAATTAATTTTAATTTTCAACGGAACCTCCACAGCATCTAAACTTGCAGCAACATTGACAACATTCCTCAATATTGGAACAATATTTTCAATGTTGCTGCAAGTTTTGATGCTATTAAAATTAATTTATCAATTTTAAATTCAGCATTGAATGCCTTAAAAATGTAGCATCTTAATTTAAGACTGCCTTTACTGTAAAAAGAAGGCACCTTATTTTAAGAAACTATCGTAGTCATTTCGAAAAAGTTATCAAAAAGATATTAAAATGCAATGATTTTCTAGTTAGGGGATCGAAAAATAAGATGTTTTAAATATCTTAAAAGTGACTACAAGTCAAGATGTTTCTTTTTGTAGTGTTACTATCTTAAAATAAGACTTTCTCTTTACTGAAAAGTGTAATCTCTTCGATAATGCAAGTGAATATTTTTCAATCTATAATGTCCTCTAAAAATATAGAGTATTATAATTTATAGCGAAAGGTCACCTACCTGAGTGCGTGGCGCAAGGTCGAGGTACAAATAAGAATGGAAGAGAGTGAACCCATAACATTGACCTTCATAAAGGCAGTGGCTTCTACATTCTTTCACTTCTGCGAATCTTGAAATGGAATTTCAATGCAAACAAAAAAGACTTTTATATTCAAATTTCAAACAATACTTCAAAATAACGTAAATGTTTTACAGATGAAAAATATAAAAATTAATATAAAATGAAATAATTATTCATAATTATTCTAAAGTAGCAATAATCGTTTATTTTCTTCCATTGTTGAAATTTGTTTATGTTTCTTGATCGATTATCTATCTATATTCTAAAGTACTTTTTATTTATTTTTAGAAAAGCATCTTGAATTGATGCATCACAAAATCACGGTCTTTTAAAAACCAGATACATGATATTTCTGAAGGAGAACTTAAAATAGTTAAGCATTCCTGATACAAATATTATTGCACGTCGCAAAATTCTTCACCTGAAATAGCTACAAATTTCACTAAACTATTGAAATTAATTGTTTTATTGAATTTCATTTATTTTATTTCACTATTCTAGAGAAACTTGTCAATGTTTCGGGTAAAGATTTTTTTCGTGTGAGATAATAAGAACTAAGGGAGATACAATTAAAAATAATACTATATAAAAATACATAGAAATCTATCGATGTACTCTTGAGCATTTGAGAATTGATGTCGTCTTAAATCTAGCACGATGGCACCCTTCACCTTAAACCCAGAGAGAGAGAGAGAAAGAAAACAATTAAAAACATTACATTTGATGATTCTTTTAAATTTTTGAATTAATTTTTAATTTTCTATTCCTGTAATAAATAAGGGAAGCACTACAGAACCCTCAAACCAAACTTATCAGTCTCTAGACTCCTATTTCCAATAGCTAGGATCTTTGGGCCATGAAACTGCTGGATCTGCAGTTTCGGTGTCGTAGACGTACTTTACTTTCGGATTTTGTCCGAAAAGGGTGTCGCGGATCATGCTGAAGACTCCCATTCCAAGAGCAATGTTGCTCATGAGGGAAGCCACTGAGGCTGCTGTTCGAGCGTGAGCGATGACCACCTGCAGGAGGAAAGACACCGCCATTCCGATTCCAGGCATCATTTGCGTCATTTTCGTTTTTATGTTCCTGGCCATGTTGACGACATTATTGGTCACCTTCTTGCTGATGATGATGTCCTTCAATCGCGGGAGTTCTATAGACAGTTCGTTTCGATGCTTCTTTCTATGGGTCAAGCCTTCTTTTTTCGATTTCTCCTGATTTGTGCTCTTCAGCGGCTCTTTTGAAGCTTCCTTAGATTTGCCGGTTTCGTCATCGAAACTGTAGTAGGTCTGAGAATTCAGGAGAGGAATGATTTTAAACTGGTCTTCTAGAAATTTCTCCTTGACTTCGTAAGGAATTATCTTCAACTCATCTTCAATAGGAATGTCTTCATCCATATTTCTATTGATAAACGATCGCAAGTGCTCTTCGCTGAACGATTTTAACTTTTCGAATTGACTGGCCAATCTCGTTCCGAAGAGAAGCTCGAAAGCTTTGTAAGCATTTTGGATACTGAAATACTTTTCCGAACTGTCGGTCCTTGTATCAGAGTCGTTGGTTTTCATTTTCTCTATCAGCGCAGCAAGAACTCGGTCGTCCTTCATAGCTATTTCACCTTTGGAATCTTCTTTCGCGTCCTGAAGAGATTGATAATTGCTTTCTTCGAATTTGAAACTTTTCCCTCGCTTCGGATCTTTCCTGTTTCTGTTGGGGTTTGGTTTTGGCTCCAAGACGTCCTCCATAATATCGCTGATGATCGTCAAGATGCTGGGGAGATTCTTATTGTCCTTGATGACTTTTGCTCTGCCTTCTCTATAGCCCGTTAAGCTGATGCCCAGTTCTCCATTTCCATGGCCCTTGATTTTTAAAAATCCGATACTCGTCTCGAATTTCTCCTGCATTAGAGATTTATACCAGTTGAGAAGAATGTCTTCAAACTCGTGCTTCCTCTCCATGAGGTTCTTTTCGAACTCGTTGGCGGATATTCCGAATAGTTCCTCAACTTGCTGTTCGGTCTCCGAGCGACCCAGGAGCCCGAAGGTTGGCAGGTTGCCTATCATGGAGCCAAGAACTAGATTTGGCACCGTGTTTGTTATCATTGGCCAGATGAAGACTCCTGCACACCTTATGAGGCTGAAACCCCTGATGCACTGCCACAGCTGACCCATGAGTCCACGGGACGCCTCCGGGTACAAGTCCTCGACGAGTTTCAAAATCTCCACCTGGTCCGCTGTCAGTGTCTTCCTGTCCTCTTCGTTCAGCTCGTCTAGAAAATATTTCTTTGATCCTTGCGGCGTCTTCCTGAGTTGATCAACCTTGGAGTTTTTTATTTGAATTAAAATTTGGAGCAATTCGGAGTCTGTGATGTTCGGGAAGGTCGTCTTTGAAAGATTTTTACGAACTGATGCTTTCCTGTCGTCTGGAATGTTTTCAGGGTAGGAATCTAACAGATCCGTAGCACTTCTTCTTCTTCTGCTGCTGCTGTGTTCCATTTTCTCCTTGAATTCAGTTTCTTTGTTCTCTTCTCTCCCGGGATAAATTCTTTCTCGTGAAAGCTCTACAAAGTTGACGACTGGTTGTCCAGCGTAGGGTGGTATCTCAGGTGCAAAAGTTTCTCGTCCTGAAAAAGAAATAAAATTTGCTCAACTTTTCGAAAAGACAAATATAAATTAAGAATTTAAATTCAAAAATTTAAATGAAATTTAAATGTTGAAATTAATATTCTGTTCACCTACTGACGACGTGATGTCTGAAGAAATTCCTGGATCAGAGCGTTGTAAGTTTCCAAGATTTTCATAGTTGAATTGTGCGTGTGGAATGATTATGGGAGATGGAATGGGAACAGACGCTTGGGGTGTGTATTCAGGAATTATCGCAGCTGGAGAATTGAGAAGAAGGGGGTTGAGTCTCAGTATGGGCCAGCCGACATTTTGCATACACGAGACGAAACTGTTGCTCTGCATACAATCAATCATTCGCGCATGATAGGCGGGGCGAACTGATTCTGGTAAAATATTGTCCGACAAACGCATAATATTCTTCTGCTGCTTCGACAAAAGACTATAAGATTCGGGTTGAGACTCTTCTTTACCATCTTCCGTTTTCTTAGAACGTTCATTAACCGAAACGGCCCTAGTCAAAATATTCTCAATTTCATTCTGCAGATGATTTTCAATTTGCTGCAAGTACTCAGTCTCATGATAGTGATGTGCTAATCCGTCTCGAAGAAGTTGAAAGGAATTTCTATCCAAAGGCCTCGAGGTACCCAGCTGGTTGCCAAAATTTGGGAAATTGGGTAAATTTGGAAAATACTGGGCAATACTGGGAAAGGCAATGTCCCTGGTACATTCCAAAAAGGACGCGTCCCTCGAGCACTCGATCATCCGTTTGATAAAAGTTTCCCTCAATTGTTCCGGTAGAAGAGTTTCTGCAATTTCCAAAATCCCAATCTGCTTCTCCGTGAGGATCTTCTGAAACTCCAGTCTGTTGACAATCTCTCTGGTCTTCAAAACTCCTGCTGGTAAGTTTGGAATCGAGATCTGAACAGCTCGCAAAATATTCATAACCACACCTTCTGGATGCTCTGAGAAGATGGGAATGAATCTCGTGTCCGTTATCGTAACAGTAGCTTCGCCACGTTTGTCCGTCTTCACATTCGTCTCTGAAATCTGATGCTGTGGTTGTTGAGGTGGTTCAAAAATGGGGAACCTGGGTATGTTTGGAAAATATTCCTTCAGAGTGGGGAACATTACATCCTTGGAGCAGGTCAAAAAGTCTTTGTCCCGTACGCAGGAGATCATTTGTTCGGAGAAGGAGGATCTAATTGATTCGGGCAGCATGTTTTTAGCTAGTAAAATGATGTTCTCCTGGTGTAGGGTTAAGAAGCTGTCGAATTCTGGAGTGGAAGCGTTTAGAAAGGGAATTGTGAGAGTGTGCATCAGATTTGGATCTGATATTTGATTGAGTCGCAGGATTGTGAAAATGACTGTTTCTGGTTTTTCGGATAGAATCGGTACAAATTCGGTTCCTGTCAAGGTTATGAGTGGAACGTTCGAGATTTCGTTTTTTCGAGAAGAGATCTGAATGTCAGGTTTCTGTGGACTAGGTATTGCTGACTCTTCCGTGATGTTCGATTCGATCGCTTTGTCCAGGAAACTGTTCCTTGCTTCTACTTCTGGAAAATTGTGTCCTGATAATTCCGGAATACTTTGTTTCGAATCCTCGAGATGAAATGAATCTACTTGGATACCTTGAGCATCTCGAATAATAACACTAGGAGTGGAAGTCGGAGTCACAGCAGGCGGTGCAGTTGGAATTGTTGGTATGCTAGGAATTGGGGGGATTGACGGTACTCCAGGAATGGGGGGAACGGTTGGTGCTTGTGGGATGGCAGGAATTGATGGGACTCCAGGAATAGGAGGTATGGTTGGTGCAGCTGGTACTTGGGGAAATTGAGGGATTGATGGTGCTCCAGGGATGGAGGGTACAGTTGGTGCTTCTGGAATGGGTGGTAAGGCTGGCGCTCCTGGTATTTCAGGTATAGGTATCGTTGGTCCACCTGGGAAAGTCGGGATGGATGGTGGACCTTGGGGTTGTGGGAAAAACGGTATATTTGGAAACGACGGTTGTCCGAAAGTTGGGAAACTAGGCAACTGAAATTCTGGTAGCTGGAAATTCGGCAATTGGAAATTAGGTAATTGGAAGGTCGGTAACTGGAAGTTGGGCAACTGAAACAGATTGGCAAGATTGGGGAATTGTGAAAAAAATTGCGAGAAGTCGGGAATTTGGAAAAGACTCGCTAAATCGGGAAATTGGGGCAAAGTCGGTTGAGCTTGTCGTATAATCGGCCATGTGTAGTACTTCATGCAAGCGTAATAGTTGAATTCTCGAATGCATTTGAGAGATTGTGAGGTAAACTCTGCCCGTAATTGTGGAGGGAGAATTTGCTTTGCAACATAAAGAGAGTTTAGTTGATCTTGTGGGATATGTAGTGCTACAGGTCTAGTGTAGACAGCCTTACTTGCAGATGGTAGAGTTTTAATCATCTGCTCCAAAAGTTTCAAAGTTTCAGTGGAATTAGACAAGGACAACGCCGGTCGAAGTCCGGGTCTCACTCCTTCTCTCAAAAGCCTCAAAATTAGGGCGTCTGGCCGTTTCGTAAGGTCGGCTTCAATCACTTCTGGAAGAGGTTCAAGAGGAAAGGGGAGGATCGGATATTCCGCGAAAGTAGGAATGGGGTATAAAATTTCATACTCGGGGAAATCGGGCAGAGCAGGGTAATATAATTTCATCATCGGCCAAGCGAAATATCGTAAGCAACTGAAATACTCAAATCTTCTTATGCAGGAATACATTCGGTCGGAATACTCTCGACGACTGGAGATCGGAAGGATCTTCTCTCCCATTTGCAGAATCTTCATTTGCCCTGGCGACAACAACTTGACGAGTGTTTCATTCATTGAATCGATGTAGGATGGGACACTTTCGTGGCTTCTCTGAGTATCTAAAACGTCTTTCAACATGCCGATAAATACGTCTTCGGTGTTCAGCAAAGTGTAGACCAAATAAGCACCTGACCTGGCTGTTTTGGTTTTATTTTTACTCGGCAGAAGATCGGAAACGTTTATTTCGATCGGAAGGCTCGGCATGTTTTGCAAAATCAATTGCGGAACAGTTTCGGCTATAATTGGGTAAACAAAGATTCGCATGCAGTTCATAACACTCAGACCTCGAATGCAGTCGTACATGCCCCTAAAGAAATTTGGTCTCTGCTGTTGCTGCATTAATGCCGCGGAACATTGTATTATCTCCGTTTGCTTGTCACTTAGAACATGGTGACCCAAGGGTTCGATGTCCAGAATGTGGTGATCTTTTATAGAAGGGACGGACTTGAGGGCTTTTAAGATTTCTAATTCCGTTAAGAGAGGAAATTCCGACATAACTAGTGTTGGTTCTTTGACAGATTCAAAAAGTGTTTTGTCACTCACCTGTTGTTGAAGAAGGAAAGCTTCTTTCTTTAATGACTCTATCGGTGAATCGTAAGACTTTGCTGAAGGAGTGTCAGCTAATTTTGGTGCTTCGAGTTCCTGTTTAGAATCTTTTTCACTTTCGGAATTAAACTTACCGAGCCCTTCGGAATTTATAGAGACTACATTTCTGGAGGTCAGAGCACCCCCTTCCGTTTCAGGAATAACAGTTGGTTCCAAATTCTCTTTCTCGATCTTACTGTCAGAGGAGATTTCACCTTCGGTTTCAATCCTCGCTCTTTGTTCTTCGTCACTCTCGACCGTTCTCCTTTGTCCATCCTCATGATCGTGCAGGACATTGACCTTCACTTCCGAAAGCTCGACCTTCGGGATTGTTTGATCCTTCTGCGGAAGCTCTGCGGAGGGTTCTTCGGCGTCGAATCTCCGGATTCCCTTCTCCTCGGCTTGAAGACTATCCTGAGGGTTATCTACAGGTCCAGGGAACTGGACCCCAGTCTTGATTCTCTCACTTAAAGCGCTATCAGCCCCGTCTAGCAGCGGTTCCGCAACCAAAGCACCATCTTTTCTGTCGTCACTCACTGGAGTCTCGGCACCGCTGGCGAGATCGAGTACACTTCGAGTCTGCGATTCGGGAAGGACTAGAAAGAAAATGAGGAGTGATAGGACAAGGGTCCAGGGAGGTTGAGACTTGGATGTTCTCATGGTCGCGAACGCGAGGCGAATGTCTCGGTCAGCAACCAGTCGGACTGGGTATGGTCAGTTATGGAGCGCGATACCAACGCGACTGTGTTGCTGAAGGAAGATGCAGCCTCTATGCGATAAACAACATCCGACCTGTCCGCCGGCATTCACATTTTTGCGGGAGACTCTTGCGAGTTCAGGTTTGCCATTAAGCGAGCAGAGTAACGGCCGTCTTCATCCTCCCGCCCCCCTCTGCAATAAAGTTGTCCCCTACGATCCGCCGCGATTCTCGGCTAGCCTGCAATTTATCTCCTTTGAGCTGTATGATGCACGCCGACCTGCACTACTTTTCAGAACATTTCCACCGCTCCCTTTTGTGATAATTAGGGTTTAGGAAAATTACTCTCATCTCCTTTGTGGCTCGAAATATTTTCGTTCCTGTTTATTCTGAATTTACATAACAATTAAGAAATTGTCAATATTGTCCCGAAGAATACAACGTGGGCCTGTCATTTCGATTTTTTCGGTCTATTCATAATGTAGGTTACTCTTCTTTTCCTTCGCTGAGATAAATGAAACGGTTAGGAAGCTCACTGAGCCGTGAAATCTCAACGTCATTTTACACGCAGTTGCGAGGAAAGTCACTCATAAACGCTTTTTAGCATAACAATAAATTACGCCACGATCTTTTAAATGTCTTAATGACTGTTTGAATAGTTCTAAGCCAATAAAGAATCTCGGCTGAGGAAACTCTCATAACGGAATAGTAAACGAGTCTTTTTCTCCAAATAAAAAGAGAAGAAAGGAACTTGGAGGATATTCCTCACGCCTTTCATGTTAAAATAACAGTCAATTTATTATTTATTCTCAGCTACTTCATGTTTCGCCTTTTACTTCTCGACTCATTCTTTTTCTCGGCATTTATTTTAAAGGATCGAATTTTTTGATTAATTCTATACTATCTCGTTTCTTTATAGTGCAATCTCATGTTCCTTGATGCAAAAGGGCTGCAATAATTTTTCGTCCTTGAAAGATGTGAGTGCTGCAAAACCAGTATAGAATCTCGAGGATTTTTTTTCTTAAGCCCAGGATAGAAGAGTCGTTTTGCCAACTTATTTAATCTTTATGCGTAGAATAAACAGCTTGAAAATTTATCCATTTTCTAGATTTTGATTTTATATTATATTTTTCAGCACATTTTGAATACTTTTTCTCGATTTTTTCAATACTTTTATTTTGAATTTGACGGAATGGAATTAATACGTTTTATAAAAGTATTAATTTGAGATTATAGTGTTTCTTAAAAATTCAGAACATAAATCTAATGTTTTAGACAGAAATTGTGGAAGAAATAAAAAAATGTTTTCTTTTCTACAGAAACCTGTTCAATTTTCTGTGAGTTTTATTTGTAAAGATGGCCAAGGTATAATTTCCCTCTCCCCTTGACCACTGTCTTTGCAGAGTCATACTGTGAACTCGATGGGATGAACAGTCGGTGCAATAAACTTGCCACATGTTTTTCTTTTTTTTTTTTTTGCTTTATCCCACTGCATGGTTCTTCAAGGTTCTTAACGACTGTCTGGATAACAAGAGTCGACTAGACTATATTGCCAAGAAATAAAAGTAGATCGGGGTTTTAAGACTTTTTGAAAAATGGGATAAATTTTCAAAATTTTACGCAAATATTTCTCAAAAAAAAATTAATAAATTACTTTTAAAAATTGTTTCTAACTAACACAGGCTGAAAATTATTTTTCATACTTGTATCCTTTTGTTCCATATTATATGAAATCTTTACGAAAAATTGTCATGTTCCTTAAATTCAAAAAATTTATAATTCTTTCGTTAAACTAATGTTTTTGAAAGGTACATTTAAATTCAAAATAGATTAATTAGTTTTCATTTTCAAGAAGTGGAATTAATAAAATAATTAGGTTAACATTGCATAATAATTTAATAAACTAGAGGAATTTATCAAACTTATAAATCTTATAAAATTAATTTTATACTGAAAAACTGAAATCAGGTCTTGGTTTTGTAAAACCGTTACTCAAGAGGAGCTGAATAGTTTAATTCAAGTTTCTTGATTTTGTTACACGCAATTTTAACGTTTTTAAAAACATACTTATAGATATTATTTTTTTCTCGTAAGGTAAACTAATTGGAATTGAAAAATGACACAAAAATTTCATTAACAAGTAAAAATATTTGTAAACAAAAATTATATTTAAAAATCAGTGAATGCGTAAAAATTGTTTTTTATAAATTAATTGTATTATTTTTTATAATAGAAATTATTAATTAATTTATAGGTATTATATCTGCACAAAATACATATATACCAAAGAAAAAATATTTAATCACATTAATCGTTGAATGAATAATCATTTATGATAATTAATTCAAGTAACAGTATCTAATGATTATAATTCATAAATCGTGCCTCTTCCGTGAATGTAGTTTAGTTTGACTTTCATTTATTTGCTTAAAGCAACACGTTAAGAGGGAGAATGTTTGCTTTAAAATTCTGAGGTAGATTTTTGGATTAAAGTATAAAAATTATTGAGTTTTTTATTTGAAAACCCGATATTAGATGAGGGATTTATAACATATAATTATTATTTTAAAAGGGAAATTTAATTATCGAATTAAATAATTGTATTAGGTCCCATACAGATCCAATTTAGTTATTAGAAAAATGAGTCTGCCCATTTTATTAAAATTACTATAAGTACCTCTTCCGAGTGATTTTTTATCCCTATATCATTAAAAATAGCGTCATAAAGTCCGTTCAATTTTTACTTTAAACGTGACTAACAAGCATTTTTTTAGAAAAATTTCTTTTTCCGTCATTTTTAAAGTAGACAAAAATCATTTTTACCTAATTTTACATTAATTTTAGAGTCTGTATTCTTAATAATAAATTATACCAAAAAATTTGTTTTCTTCAAATTATTTATAGTGTTGTATTCGAGAATCTCTTCTTTCATGAAAGAAAAAAACAGAACTTAGGTATTCATTTGTTTTTCATATATTTTTGACGAGATTCTCGTTTTTTTCCTACAACACTAATTTATTTAAATTAAAAACAAGTCTCTTACTTTTATAGGTTTTCTTTGAATTCTGAAAATTTTACCACTTACAAAACTTGCATAAAGAAATATTTAAAAAAATTTTTAAATAAAATATTTTTAAAATTTTAAATTTAATTAAGAATAATTAAGATTTTATCACTTTTCAACTACTCTAAATAATATACAAGGTTCTCAACTGAATTTAAAATATTATATGAACTACTATAGTTAAAATAACTAAAAATTAATTTAAAACAATAAAATTTTGAAGTTATTGTTGAAATTTAACTTTACGTATTAAAGTCAACTGAACTTTTATTTTTTAACTATATAGGAAATAGTAAAATTAGCTATAAAAACTGTGTTAGATTGACTAAAAAAATAATTTAACTACTTTTCACTTGACTGCTCAATGATAGTTGAATTTTTCGGATAAATTTTCTTCAGTGGAAGAATTTAGGGTTTGATGATAATCTAGACAATCGAGAAAGTGAATAATTTCTTGAAGAGTTTCTCGATATTTTTTAGAAAGTGTTTGAGAGTGGGCCCAGTTTGATTAAAAATTGGGCCCTTCACGACGTCAACGAGTCAGCTGCGTAGGGGACAGGAACGCGCCATGCGCAAAGACTCATCGAATCGTTCCGGCGCCTCGTCCCGAAGCGAATGCGAAGTTTAAATTGAACCGGCCAACGAAACGCACGGGGTCCGCTGTAAGTCCCGTCGATTTGCATTTATCGACCGTGTGTGAGCCTAGCTCATTTCAAGCTATTTTTATCCCCCTTCAGCTCCTTCTTCAAGTTATTCTTTTAGTTCCCTTTAATTTCTCCCGTTCATTCAAGGCCTCTCTCTCCCCAGTATTCTTGCCTTTTCTTCAACTTGTTCCATAAATGAGCCAGTAAGGGTGCGCGGCAAAAAATGAACCGGATCGGCTGGTTTGTCGTCTGCTTGGTGCTTGTATCTGCAATTCCAGCGTTCTCGGCGAATGAATCGACAATTATTGAGGATCATCAATTTTCAAAGAATGAGACGTTCTTAAAACCAAAAGTACAGTCTGATGTGTCATTGGTGGGTCAATTTTTTACCCAATTTTTCGACTGGCTCACGGACGTTCAAGGTCAGTTGTTCTTTTCTTCTTATCACCCCACATGTATAGCATTTGAACTTGAAGAAATGTTGGCAACATTTAGCCAGTGTTGCCAATATTTCTTCAATTTTAGCTTATGTGAGGGTCATGCCTTGCTATATTTAATAATTAAATTTTTTAATTTTTACTGTATATATTATTCATATTTAAATAATATACTACTCTGTCAACTTAAAAGTATTAAATCACAAAAAATTATTAGAAATTAGACATATTTTATATTTGATTCAAATAAACGATTAGTTGTTATTTATTATCAAATCAAATTATTCTAGGATAAAATTTATAAAAAAAGGAACGAATATTTTAAACATGCAATTTGTAAAATTTTAATCACCTTAAAAATTTAGTTTAACAAATTAAATAAATGGGTAATTTTTATATATTGGGTAAGTAAAAATAATTTAATTTATTTATAAAAAAATGTAAAGGTATGATAATTCATGTATAAACATATCAAATTGTTTTGTAAAAATAAGACTTACGCTTTTTAAGTTAAGTCCTTTTCGAAATTCAATATTAAATTGCAATTTAAATAAATTTCAATTAATATAATTATTTATAAAATTTCTTTATTTAAATATTAATTTCTTTTAATGTCGGTGAATTTATATTAATTTATATTAAATGTGTTTAAAATTATTAATAAAACTGAAATAATTTAATTTAAAAATATTTAAATTTTATAATAATTATTATTAGTAATTGAAAAATAAATTTAAAACTATGAAAAATAACAATAAAATTTTCATTGTTTCGTGAAAAATTCTGGGAAAATTTAAAAATATTATTAGTTTTATATTAATGTAAGAATAAAATTATTGAATAAATTGTTTCTAAACTTTTATTTTTAAAAATCAACACTTAATTGAAATTAAGAATAAATATATCGTAAAAACTTCTAAAATATTATTTTTTATCAGAAATATATAAAACAATTATTATAACAGAAGAAACTAAAAAAATTCTGGACTAAAGTCTATAAGAAACAAAAAAGAATTTGTTAATACAACGAGAGTTTTTAATAATAAATATGTACTTGAGGCAAGACGGGGTGGTTAATAAAAAATAATGCAAATTTTCATCTTAAGGGTGAGGGAACGAAAAAATTTATATAAATATATATATAGACTCGTGACTCAGGTTTTAAGTTTGGTATTTGGGCCAACATTGTCCGGCCCATCGTTAGACGTGATCACCGTTACTGAAAGTTTTACGATCTTCTTTGCATTGCGAGAAAGAACGTTTTCATTTTGCAAGGTTATTTGCAGTATTTACTGAATTATACAGAATAGTCAATTTCATTAGTTTCAGAAAAAGCGAATTACCAATGAAATTAATTCTGTCCGAGTGAAATAATTTTTAACGATCCTTCAGTTAAAACCAATTCACGTTGTCAGATTGTGGGTCACAGTCACGATCACACCTCGGAAGAAAGTGTGCGAGAGATACGAATTAATTTTCTGGTTTTTGATAAGTCTTTCCGGAATTCCTCTTCAATTCTACGAAATTCGAATTTTTACGCATTCTACAAAAAGATAATAAATACAATAAAAGTTTTGTAATAGTAAAATAAACCAACACTTTTTTCAAATGTATTATTTATATAATATAGTAATATTGTAAATAAACATTTTTTTAGAAACAAGAAAACAACTTTCCAGTTGAATATAATTATTGTATAAATACGATATGCAAATAAAATGGTTTCTAAGGAAATGAAATTGATTCTTTTAATTTTATTATTTCTTTATGAATATATCGCATCTGACTTGAAATTTATTGTTACAAATTGTGGTAAAAAATTGTTTTTTTTCCAGAAAATGGCGATAAAAGTCAAGGTCGAACATTTGGACAAAAACGAATTCAATTCATGATGTTGGCCCCAATGATGTACAAAATGGGAGTAATGATGACTATGTTGATGGTACTGACCGTGATTTCCACGAAAGGACTTGTGATTGGTATGTTTATTAGCAGCGTAAACATAACTATTTCTATTAGTCATTAATAATTTTTTTTAGAAAGTAGATCTGACTGAAATTTTCATTTATCACTGAATTTTCAGAACGAAACTCGAGCGACTTTTTCAACATTTCTTGCGGACAGAAAAAAATTAACGGTTCTGATTGTTTCTGATTTATATACGCGTGGATTTTTTTTTACTTCTGACATTTATTAGTTTGCTCTAGAAATATCAAATTTATGATTTAATTAACACTCTAATTTATTCTTTATGCACATTCTAAATTAATTTGCTTCTAGTTTTAAAAAGTGCTTTAATTTTTCTAAATATATTTATTAAATGAAGACAATTTTTGTCTTCATTTAATAAATATATTTAGAAAAATTAAAGCACTAACTTCTGAAATTATTAAAATTTATAGAAATCGTTAAGATATGAATGGCAATCCATGTTGAACCTGCCATTTTGAATTTTGATTTTAAAATCGCATTTTCCTTTTTAATATTATTATTTGTTATCTTTCTTTTAAAGTAGATATTTTTCTTAGACTTTTTGTCAGAATGTTTTATGATATGTGATGATAGATTTAAAAATAAGAGTTTAAAAAATATTTAACTTTCAGGTGCTATTCTGCTGATTTTAAAGTTGAGCAGCTTCTTAGCGAAATTTTACGTCGGTTGGCAACCACAAGGTCACGGGCAAATCTGGCCTCACCAACAACCAGTTCACGTTCATGTTCATGGACAACAAGCCCACCATCAAGCTTATAGCGCCTGGCCACCTGACAGTGATACAATTAGTCCAGATGAGCATTATTACTATAAAGGATAGAATTTTAACATTGAGAAGGATTCTAAAGTGTTTTTCTTTTTAAAATTAATAACTAAACTTTTTTGACGATTACTAATTCAAAATTGTAATTAGTTAAACAACATTCTTTTTTTAACTACAAGTATTACAATTAGTGCACTATTTAAGCTTTAGGATCCTTTACTTCTTAAAATTGATCATTAGATAGCTAATTAATCAGTGCCAAAATAGTTCAGGAACTATTTACTACTCGAAACGAGCCCTACCAACGTTTATCTCAACTTTTAACTATTAGTTCGTTTTTACCACTTGAAACAAAATAAAATTCATAATTTAGCTATTCGGAATTTTCAAAAGTAAAATTAAAGAATCATTCAAGATTTGAATTCGTTTTGGCTCCTAATCGATTTTTATGTAACTTTCGGATTTTACAGTTCTTAGAATGTCCAGAACCATTCAAAATTCAAAAATTACAAAACAATTGATTGGGAGTCAAAACTTATGAAAATTTTAAGGAATCCTTTCAATTCAATTTAAATTATTTATTTATTTATTTATTTATTTAATATAATTATTATTAAATTAAAATAATATGAAAAACATTTTTTAATTCGTTGATTGTTTTGATTGAAATTGATTTTCAATTGTGCAAAACAATTTAATTTTCATTTTAACAGTTTGTAAACAATTCTCTAAATATATATGCACAATATTTTCTTGTTTCATTTTCGCAAAGAATGAAAAAAAACTGCAGTATTATAGACATAAACATTGTTCGTTCATAACTTTAGTGATAATATTTAACACATGTAAATGCCATAGTATTATTTAGGAATGAAAATAGATAGAAAAGGAATCGTTAAACTTTTATGAGTCATGAAATTGTAGACAAAAAATGATTTTTATTACTTTGACGCGGCGCAACTACGAGAAGTTGTTTTATATTTTATTTAAATCATATTGTTTTATTTGCGAAATTTTATTCGTCGTTTGTAAAAGCATGAGTCGATTTTTAGTTTTTCCATTCATAAATATTCCATTACGAACACTTTATTCTTGGAATATTAAAAAATAAATATTGCTCAGTGCTTAGCACTTTATTGAATAAGTTTGAAAAACAATGTTAATGATAATTAATATTAACAAATATTAACGTTATTTATGTTAAAAAATATTCCAGAGATATTTAATATCTCAGAGAAGATATGATTGGTTTGTCCATTAATTTATTTATTTATTTTATTTATTTAACATACACATCATTTCTATTTATATATTTTGATCTGAAAAAGAGAAAAAGCATTAGATTTTCGAAATTCAGAATCGAATCATTCCTTCTAGAAGAATGAATGGTAATTCGGAAATAAATTTTTGGCATCAGTCTAGTTGCTTTTTTCAGACCAGATATTATTTTTCTATTTCAAGATGTTTTTGTGACCAAGTTTAATAAGAAACAAAGCCAAAGCGACTAGGTAATTTTTATACATATATACATTATAATATTTCTTAGGCATTATTGTTAAAAAATATTTTCGTTAAATTAAGTTGAACTTTTATTTAACCAAATGTAGATTTTATAATTAATAAATATATTTGTTATATAATCTGGGTACATCCATGTTTCGGAAAAAGCTCTTGTTTAATAAAAAAAAGCTCCAATTTGATGAAAAAAGCTCAAATCTGATAATCGTCTCTAAAAATTGTTTTAAAAAATTGTCAATACCAGCGTCGTTTTTCAAGATACAATTTTTTTCTGAATCGAAAGTTTATTCTATTAAAGTTCTGAGTACGTCTGTGTTTAGGAAAAAGCTTTTCTTTAATAAATAAGCTCAAATTTTAATGGAAAAAAGCCTATAAATTTGATATTCGACTCTGAAAATTGTGAAAATAAATTTACAAGACCAGCGTCGTTTTTTGAAATACAAATTTTTTGATTCGGAAAAAAATTACAAAAAAGATCTAAGTACGTCATGTTTTGGAAAACGCTCTTTTATAATAAAAAAGCTCGAATTTGATGAAGAAAAGCACAAATTTGATATTTGACTCCAAAAATTGTTTTAAAAAATTGTCAAGACCAGCGTCATTTTCCAAGGCACAAATTTTTTCTGATTTGTAAATAAATTATGTAAAAAAGATCTTACTAACTCCCTGTTTCGAAAAAAGCTCTTCTTTAATAAAAAAAAAGCTCCGAATTGATGGAAAAAAGGCCAAAACTTGATAATTGCCTTCAAAAATTGTTTTAAAAATTGTCAAGATCAACGTAGTTTTTGAAGATACAAATTTTTTCTGAGTAGGAAGTAAATTCTTAAAAAGCTCTAGTATCACCGTGTTTCTGAAAAGAGCTCTTCTTTAATAAAAAAGCTCCAATTTGGTGAAGAAAAGGTAACTAATGAAGTTTTCCAACTGAGTAACTTTGTCACTTTTACCTCACTATCTCTATAAGGCACCTTTAGTAACATGGTAAGAATTAAGAAAACAGAATAATTATTTCACTTTTTTTCTCGTTCCAATATCATTATTTCTATATCCGCTGACATTTCTCTCTCAATTAAACATCGCCTTTCCTATGAAGCATTGTTTTACTTATATTTTTCATTCAATTACAGACTCGGAAAAGTGTGTTAAAAATAAAAACGTCAAGTTAATTATTAAGATGGTTAAAGTTGTTATCAAGAAGATGCAGAGTGCATCTCAAGTTCAGAGCGTGGAATTCTTTTTGCTTGGCTACCCATCCGGAAGCTGCATGGGGAACCGCTATTATATAAAATGAAATAAAATAGAGTGCAATCTCTCCTGAACGAGATACCTAGTTTTCTGAGTGGGGCTTAACAAAATAAATAAAAATGTTATTCCTTTGCTTCTTCCTAGTCACAAACAGTACTCGCTCTTCACCACTAGCAGAATAGATTTTATCAAAGTCGTTAAAATAGTCATGGATCAAAGTTTCCACTGACTCATTCCAAATGATTAAACATTCATTGCCGAATTGAATAGAATTTGTTTCTTGAAAATTAATCAGGACACATTTATTTAATCTATAAATTAAATAAATAATTCCTTAATTAAATTGAATAACTTAATACAAAAGTAAAATTAAACGCAAATTAAAATTATAATACTCCAAATGAAGAGTGATTTAAAATTTATTTAAATATTGCTAGTCGATGAGTAAATTCTGAAAAAGTTCAGTGCCATGAGAAACAGTGTGGAAAAAAATGATTTTTGAAAAATTGTTTCTAGGATTCTTGGACAGAAAAAGTGCTTAGAATGGATAGACGAAAAAATTTAATTTCCTTTTTGTTATTATCTGCAATTTTGGAAATTGTAGCCGGTCAAGTGTACAATTCAAGTTTAGCTAAAAATTTACCAAACAATGAACAATTATTTATGGTGACTCCGGGAATTAAAATGTATCTTAAACATGGAGATTTAAGCATTCAATTTTCATTTCGAGACTTCTTTTCAAGTAAGTAACAAGTAACATTAATTTATAGAAAGTGTTTCAAACTATACAAATCAAATAAATTATTTTGCTACAACTTTAAAAAAAATTACCCAAATTGCTTGCAACACGCTTGCAGTATGAGCTGATCAATAGCAATATTGCCAAGCAATATTATCCATAGCTAAATTTGTAAGCTCAACTATAAATAAAATATAATAAATATAATAACTATAAACAAAATTGCCTCAAGTCTGATTAAGCTTGAGGCTATGATAAGCTTGCTGCAAGTTTTTTTGGAAGCATCTACGTTAATACAATCATAATCATTTATTTGACTTAATATTATTTCATATTTATTTATTTGATTATGAAAGTAAAAACATTATTATTAAACGTAACTTGATGTAAAAGGAAAAGTAACTGGCTTTGTTATGACATTCATATCGTTTGCCATAGAGACCGTCTCGGAGGGAAGAGCTGGTGGGGGAAGTGGTCCCGCTCCCGCAGGAGGAAGCGGCGGAGCAGGAGGTGGATCCAGCAAGAAAACTGGGCCACTGCAAAAAATTATAAGAGCAATGATGATGATTCCCTTCGCCATGCAAGTAAGTACTTGCGGTAGAAAATTCACATCCTGTAAATAAGATGCGAAAACAATTTCTAAAAAAAATTCACTTTTTTATATCCTCGACTGATTCTTAATGTCTGTTATATTATAGGTTATCACCCTTCCAGGTGTTCTAGCGGAAATAAAAATTTCACTATTCAAGAGTTTAATAATTGCAAAAGTTGCTCTGGTCATGCTAATAATGAATGCTATAAAAATGAGTAAAACTAAAGAAGTTGTTGTGATTCAAAAGCTGCCTCCGCCTCAGCACCATGATCACTTTTATCATCCAGACTCATCGGAATATGAAGAGGAGAATCATGGATTTTTTGGTTGATAGGGGAAAAACTTTTTCGAACCTAGGAACAAATTTTTTAATTTTATGTGGTGTTACACTAACGTAATTTATTAATTCTGAATATTTTTACAATGCCCTAAAGCTGTCTTCAATTTTTCAAATACATTTTTGCAAAAAGAGTGCGTGTTTGAGAAAAAGTCAAGAGTCAGAACTGTAGGTCAGTAATGGATTCTGATTCACTTGTCCAATGTTCCACTTTGTTCATAACGGCATTTCGATCCACTTTAAAATGAATGTGATCGACTCTGTAAACCTTCTGTTAATTTTTTTCTTTAAAAAAAGAGGGGACAGCTTTTTTTAATTATTTTTACTTTTAATAATTGAAGAAGCAAGACAGATGCATTGGCGGAAAGAAAAATTTTACTCTTAGAAAGTTCATAGCGGTCATAGCGGCACTTTAAAAATTGTGAATTTTCAAAAAAGAAGTTTTGTAAAAAAGTCTTTTAATTCTACGGTTTTTAACTAATGGGCTCTTCCTGAAAGTCCTTATTTTCTGAGTAGAACTTTTTTTTTGAAAATATCACGAGGATAATAAACTAACAATTACTAAAAAAAAGGTACAGAAAATATTAAAATTTTAATTACTTTTAGTATTATTAATTTTTAATTAACCAAAATTTAACATTTAATATGAAAGAAGAAGAAAAAGAAGAAGATGATAAAATGAATTCGATAAGTACTTAATCATCCTATCCTCTGACTCTTGAAAGTGAATCACGAATTTCATTGACTGCTTCCCATTCATTAGTTGAGTATATTAGCAGCTCCCGCTCGTTGTCAGATGTAATAAGAAGAAGAAGAAAATAAAAGTATTAAACCATGAAATACATAAGTCCTTTCCATAATACCAAGCCTGTTCGGATATCAAGAAACACTTTATTGACATTACAAGGGGCTGACCTATCACATATGTGTCTAGTATCTGACAATTTATGCCGAGCCTCTATCTTGTTTTTGTATTTTTCTCCTGGAAACACGCGACGTCTTTCATTTCATATACAAACAGTAGAAAACAAAAGGTCACCGATTTTGATACTAATAGACAATTACAAATCTTTTATTTTCATAATATGATACAATAATTAAAATACTGTTACACTTGCAGGAACATCAGGCAGAGCCTCATTTGCTCAACTTAAGTATACAAAGATTTGTGTATTAATTTTCACTTTGTAAAGGATTTACCACCCTTGTAAATAAATGTAATGTTAAGTGTAAAATTAATGGAATTTTTAGCATTACAAATATTTTCTAAAAATTGGAATCCATTTTAGGAAAATCCCTCTACATTTAGAAATAATTGAAATTTGTTATACAAGTTATACAATGTAATGTAAAAATTATAATATATGCGAACATCAGATTCTCGTGTTCAATATTCAAAAAGATTTTATATTAGTTTCAATTATCTATTCCATCGATAATAGAATAACACGACACATGAAGGTGTCAAGCTCCGATAATTAAAGTTCACAGTTCTTATAAGGATGTTTGTTTTAAATCGCGATATTGTGAAAGCGAAAGTTGAGGGAGGATTCTTGCCCCATGTGCTTATTGAACTTCATCAGTTACGCGAATGTTTAACTGAGAAGAAGACGTGTGCAAAATTTAGTCCTCAATTTAGAAGAGTCATTCTTACATTATTCACACTTGATCCTTTTTGGTTTAATCGATTTCAAGAGGTGCGTTAAATAAATATTTTAAATTGTACTGATTAATTTTGTTATAGCTATTTTACATCAGATTATTATAAATATTATTTTTCTTATTTATTGTCATCACACGAAGAAAAAGCTTTAGTTGAAATAGCTACAAATACATTAGCTGAACTTTTAGTTACTTATTGAAAGTTTTGTTATTTTAAGAAAAGTTATCGTTGTTTTAGATAAAATATTATTTCCTTGCATGTTCAATAGTATTACAATATCACTATTGTTAATTTCAGAGCTATTTATAACTAAAAAATGATTTTTATTGCTATTATTTACGGATGCCTTGTGGGCCTAATTAACGCAGAAGATGCAAATGAAATTGCAAATGATATCAGACCATACGAATTCGCATTTAATGTTATTGATTTTCAACACAGATTTGAAAAACAAGGTAGTGTAAGTTTTTTAATATTTTCGCAATTTGTAATTTTAGTAATTACCTAAATCTCATCAGTTTACATTTTTCATTTTGAGTAATACAGGAATATAAATCTGCTTCCATCTAATAATAATTAACACTTTTTCGAAAGCATATTCTTTATAATTTCTTACGAAATTCATAACATTTGTCACTCCTAACGATATTTGAAAGTTGAACTTGTTGACGAAATTTTAATTTGTGATTAACTGTATTTCGTAGATGAAGATGGAATTGTAACTGGGGAGTATGGTTTTATTACGGCTGATGGTATTTATCATGAGACTGGTTATGTGACTGATAAAGAAGGAGATTTTATTATTACAAAAATGAAAAACCGAAAGTTAACATCGAGTAAGTTAATTTTACTCTTAAATAAGCAGAATTTTTTCAATTCAATGAAAATTAATATCTTCTCATAATATTCAATTTATAATCCTTTATTAAATCTCAAGTAGATATCGAGTTTTAAATTGGGCTTGATTAATTTAAATTAATATTTACTCTCTATTATTTTATAATGCATTATATGAAAATATATCTAAATTATATTAATTTTAAGAGAAAGATGTTGAGGAGTTCTTCAACGAAAAACCAGAAGTGGCCGAAAAAGTAATGTCCGCAATTGAACGATCATGTAGTGATTGCAATAATTTGATAAATAAACCAAAAATTGAAGCTGAATCGACTTTTAACAAAACACCCGTAAAGTTCAATTCTACCCTAAATGGAAAGCAGAATAATGTTAAAAGTTCGGAAAAACCTGGTCAGTAATGTCTCTACATTTCCTAATTAATTTCATTCACTAAAAGTCTAAAAAGAAATTAAAGTAATAAAAAATTTATTCTTTTCAGCTATTTTATCAAATCCTAACGAAATACACAATGTTCGTAAAGGGAAATCTATCAATAAGTTTGAATCCTCAGGAGGTAACATTACTAATGGAAAAAGAGATGAAATAACAGATACAAAAGATTTGAGGGAAAATTTGACCGTTTCAAATAATGAGTCAGCAAAAACGGAGCAGAATCTAAATTACCATTTCAATTATTCTATTCCATCTCACGGCCATAATGAGGATGGTTACAAAAATGGAAGGAAAGATGGCAGTTATCATTCGACAGGAGACAATGGAGTGGATGTCAAAGTCGAGTACTTATCAAACGAGTTTGGTCATCAGCCTAACATAAGCTTTGTTCCTGGGCCAGCGTTGGATCCAAAGGAAGAATCTCTAAACGGATTTTCTTTCCTTTGGTATAGAAAATAGATCACTAATTTTATAAATAATTTAATCACAAGTTCAATCGTTCGAATTTAGTTAGATGATGTTGATGATTGTGATGATTTAAACCTAATTTGTTAGAAACGATCCCCCACAGCACCGAAACTTTCCTAAAAATTTATTAAATATTTACTTGCAATGTTCGGAATATGTAATTGCAATGTTTATTGAAAGTTGTGTCAAGATTTAAATGTCCCGATTAAATAAATTTTTAGCGCGAAGCTTTCCTGAACTTTTTCCTGAAAGCTTCGCGCTAAACATTTATTTAATCGGGACATTTAAATCTTTACATAATTTTCACTAAACTTTTCAGTTAAATATGCCGAATATTGCAAGTAAATATTTAATAAATTTTTAGGAAAGTTTCGGTGCTGTGGGGGGATTCAATTAAAGTTTGTTATTAAGCATTAGAAAATAAAAATTAGGGTTTCGTAAAATAGTATATAGTTTACTGTATATAAATATAAACTCTAAAGAGTTCAGTGCTTGCGTGTATTTCTACCGGAAGTGTTGAGATTACATCCTTCAAATAATTAACAGTGACACGCATGTTGCAATTATCATATCTTATTATGGAGATTACTATTGTTTAATATTTTGAATGTCGATGTAAACTTCTTTTTCCTGGAACGAAAATTAAACTTTCTTTTTTTCCTCTTTTTCATCAAAAAAAAATTCTCATTCGAATTTTTGTAAAAAACTGTTTTTTTAAATAATTAAAACTTACGTTTTAAGAAGTCAATATTTTTCTATGTATGCATTCTAAAAACGAATTAAAGAAAAAGATATTTACGAAATATAAAAGCAATTTACCTCTTTATGCCGTAAAAACTTTAAGAATGAAAGAACAAATTTTTGTATTATTAGAAATAATAATAATTAGCAGTGGTGGAATGCAAAGTTTACGTATAATAATGTGAAATAGACGATGCAAACAACATTATCTATTTCAGTAATTACTATAACTATCGTTTAGGACGTTGAAGCATTAAAATATAACTTATTCTTGAAAAATGTATTCCTCAAGTAAGAGATATTTGTGCTTGTTATTAATTACTTACAACTTTTTCACATCCGCAAAATCCGATTCCACTAACGTAACTCAAAAACTGGTAAGTTCAATATTTTACAGAATTTTCATTTAATTTATTTAGCGATTGATATATCTTTAAAGGTTGATTTAGTCAGTGGCTATGGATATCCATTTGAAATTCATCATGTAGAAACGGAAGATGGATACACTTTGGAAGTACACAGAATTCCACACGGCAAAGAAAACGATGATAAAGGAAGTAGTAAATCTGTAGCTTTCTTAAAGCACGGACTAGTAGACAGTTCAGCTTCTTTTATGTTTGCGGGACCAAATGTCTCATTAGGTATTATTCTTTTTCAGAAAACTATTTCGAAAAATCAAACATCACAGAAATATTTCTTTACGGGGTAATTATTATAAAAAAATATTTACAATTTCAGCTTACCTTTTAGCTGATAGTGGATATGACGTTTGGATGAGTAATAGTAGAGGAAATGTTTACAGCAGACAACACAAAATCTACTCTCCAAGAAAAACCGCTTTTTGGAATTTTAGGTGACTGCCAGTCTCATTTTTTCTTTTCAGAATAATTAAGAGAATACAGGCTTATTCTCTTAATTATTTTTTCCCCTTTTCTTAAAATATTTTTAAAAGCAATACGTAAATTAATTGCATTCCGATTGATTATAATTAATTAAGAAAACTTTTAGCTCGCTTTTAGCATACTTTGTATTATCTGTTGCATGAGCAGTTGGCATGAATTTGGTATCTATGATTCTCCGGCTGTCATTGATTACATTTTGAATAAAACCAGTGAGAAAAAAGTTTTTCACGTTTGTGTTTCTGAAGGATGTTCAGAACTTTATGTCATGACATCACTAAAACCGGAATACAATGAAAAAATTCATATGTCTGTAAACTTGGCACCTGCAGTTTTCTTCCGAAATCCATCCTCAAGTGCTATCGCTGCTTTTTACACTCCTTACATGATTAAGGTGAACGCCCATTCGATAATTATTACAGTATGCATAACAGAAGCATCTCATTGAACCTCTAATTAACATTGTAGTTATTTTCAGGAAATTTTTAGTTTGTTTGGGTATGGAAGAGTATTTGATCATTCTCCTCTAGGAGCAATTACAAATGTTTTTTGTCAACCTGGAAAAGTAACACACTACTTTTGTGTCATTATGAATTACCTAATTATGGGATTTGACTGGTTCCAAACGGACTTTGTAAGTTTTTAATATCTTAATTTTTCAATTCTTTTGTGCTCCTATCAAATATTTTATTATGTTTTATCGATTTCAAAGGATCGTCTTTCGACATTTTTGGAATATTATCCTGCAGGTGCCTCTATTAAACAATTTATACACTTTGGTTCTTTAATTCAGTATTCTGGTAAGAGTAAATCGCATTTTTGAATCGCTTTTGCTTTTTCTAATGCATATCCTCTTTTATCACTTTCATGAGCACGTGCAGGTCAAATGATAACGACCTGTTTATTAATCAAGAGGCAACTATTTGCAAACAGGAAACTAATAAATAAAAAATAAAACTAATGTCAGGGTTTGCTTACGAAATTAGTCATAAGACTAAAGTCTTATGATAAATTCAAATTTATTTTAATAAACATTTCCACAACTGAAGCGCACGTGCGACCCGATCATGTTCTCAATTATGAGAAAAAAACAATTACATTGTATGACTTATGTTCTTTAGGTACATTCAGACAATTTGATTATGGAAGAGCAAAAAATAGAGAAGTGTATAAATCTCTACTTCCACCAAAATATCCTTTGGAAAAAGTAACGATACCGGTTGCAATTTTTTCTGGTTTAAGTGATCCATTTATTTCAGTAAAGGTAATGTAAACTTGTAAAGTAAAATTGCTCTTTATAGTAAAACTTTATTTATTTTCCAGGATGTTGAAATCTTATCAAAACGTCTTCGAAATCTTGTGGATAGAACAATATTGGAAAATTTTAACCATATTGACGTCTACTTGCACGATGATATAAAAGAGTTGGTTTACACTAAAATTATTAAGCTCTTTAAAGCAAACTCAACTCAAACATAGCTCTCATCCAATATTTTTCTAAAAATTTTAAAAAATCATTTAAAAACTGTTGTGTAAATTATTGTGTTGTATAATAAAGTATTATTTAAAAAACAATTGAAAATTTGTTGTCAAATGTTAACAAATATTTTGAATCGTTTATAGTTGAAAATGTTGAAAATTTTCAACTATGTTTAGGTTGAATTAGGTTTACTGGCGCAGAACGCCGAGTTAAAACGTCTCCCCACTACAAATAAAGAAAACGCTACTTTGAAGATTATTTTATACTCAGCTTCCGAAAGCTTCAGTTCAAATGTTATCTCATTCAGTGGCAGTTTGCTGTGTCAGTTTTGTATCATGAAATAAGAACATAACTTTAATTAATATTAGCTTCGACCTAGAAATTAAAAGTATTTTAAAAACACACAACTGTTGATAATGACAAGAGAGATAAGGCTGAGACTTGTCGTCACTCTTCTTCTCTTTGGTTAGTCCAATATTGTATTTATTTTTATCGCAATGAAACTTGGCAGACATTGAAGACTTTTTTCATTTCTTTCTATTTTAACGGAGGTATTTCTCAAGAGTCTCATTTTAATTAACTATTTCCATACAAAAACTATAAAATTAACTAATTTTTCATTCAACATTTTCATAAACAAAGAAATAATTTTTGCTAATTTCATAAATAAGGTGAATGTTTTTAATTGCTTTTTGCTGAAATTGTTCTTCTCGGTAGTCGTGATTTTGATGCATGTCAACTGTTACAATCCAAAGACAAGTTGGTGGTTCAACACACACATGAATCAGATAAAAGAAAAATGTGACGACAAAGGGAAGGAATTTTTCACGAAACTTGTGGAGAGTGTGCAGAGATTTAAGGAAATTTGCCAAGGCAAATACGCGAAAATTGAAAAGGAATTTTGGAAATCGTATTCAAATATAACGCTGAAATACATGCTGCACGAGCACTGTTATAATGATTTAGATATAAGAAACGCCGTGCTAAATATGACCAACAGTGTGCAGCATTGTCTCACGAAAAGTGAACGACTGAAAAAAAATAATAAGAAAATGCTCATGAAACGAATATTTGATGCTGTTTGCTCTCTTATTGAATTGTGTGAGACAATTTTTCATTCTTTATTTCTTAAAAATCCCATCCATTATATTTACACAAAAAATTGTGGGGTATTATTTTTACACCAAAAAAAGAGATTGAAATAATCTGCAACGCTTTCATCCACAATTAAAATAATCCATATTATTTTTTCAAAATTATTACAAACCCAGTAGCACGTAATGTTTCATTAACATTGACAACATTGAGGCAATATTGGTAATGTTAAGGCAGTGTTCTCAATATTGCTGTAATATTACGTGCTACTCGGGAAATGATTTAAGTTTTGCAGACGCATTTCTGTCATGAAAAACACTAATCAAAAAATGGATTTATTTTCATTTTTTGTTGTAAATTTAAGCTGCAACTTTACTGCACATATTGCATTTATAAATATTATTTTAAAAATACACAACGCTTTATATTTTAACTGAAAATTTTATCCAAACTATTTAAACATTTCTCTATATTTTTTCCATATTTTAGATGTTTTCTTTAATGCGAAAACTGAATGTGAGGATATTATGAGGAAAAAGTCAAGTTTTAATCATTGTTATGAAAAATATCCTAATGTCTGGCCGACTCACAGTTTATGGCCTCTTCCGTTTATTCATCCAAATCAAGTTTGCAAGTAATACACATTTACAATTAATTAAATAAAAATTTACTACAGTTATTAGAATTGCTTTTCTGTATCGCTGATGATAAATTGACTAATAATGATCAATTTAAATTTTAATCACGTTGTAATCAGCGTTTCAGTTTTAATTGATGATCAAAGGAATATGTTTTAATTTCAGTGAAAAAAATGGTTTACAAGAATGTCAATGGGACGTGGTAAGAGACTGTATAACTTTCACGTGGTACACGAACGCATCGTTCAAATCACTGTTGAGCAAAGCATGGTCATCTATTTTTTGCACAAATATGATGCACTGAGATTCTCCATGTCAGCATAAAATTGTATCATTTTCTTGAATTATGTCATTTAGTAACTTAAAAAATAAACCTATTTTTATAACTACTTTTGTTCGGTTGTTTTCTTTTAATTTCAATTGCAATTTAATTCTTTAGCTATTAGTTACACTGCCCCTGTTTGTAGATTACTAATACTACCTACATGTCGGAGGCGCTTTTAAACTTTACACTCCGTAATCTATATAAGGATCTTTCATGTATCTGACAATTTAATCTAAAATCATAATCAATGAGATATTTTATTTTGTTATCTTATTATTAAATTTATTTTTCAGTACATATTATCAGGAGACACGAAATTGTTTTTTTCAGGTTTCCTATTTTAAAATAGAGAATAAATTTTCATCAAAAGAGGACAAGGAAACCTTAAAACTTGACCTGAAGATAAAAAGAACTCGATTCTATTTTTTCTCTTTTAAAAATACAAAAAAATATACCCTTGACCTACTCAACACTAAACGGTTTGTAAATGTATTTTCTTATTAAATTTCAAAATGTTTTTTTCTTTTTAAATAATTCATTACTATTTTTTCCTCTTTCGCGCACAAACGCAACTGTTAAATATAAAATTTATTGTCTTAATTTTGTTCTTAAAAAAATTTTGCAATATGAAAGTAAATTATTTACTATTTATATTAATTGGTTTTCAATGGATATTTTTTTCTATTAGTGTTCCCATGGATGATGCTAAAACAGTTGTAAGTCTTTTTCTTTACTAATACCTCAATGTTATATCTAGTTAAAAGATATATTTGACTCAGAGCCAACTAGACCTTTTATTTGGCAATTTTTTAAACTCAGATTGTTATTTAAACTTAAACTGTTACTAGAAAGATATAGTAAGTGACGATGGTTACCAACTAGAAACACATTATGTGGAAACTGAAGATGGCTACATTTTAGAAATGCATCGAATTCTTAAAGTCACTGAAAATATTTATAAAAAATATCCCGTTTATATAAAACATGGTCTTGGAGAATGTTCAGTTTTATTTTTACTGTCTGGTCCGAATCGAGCAATAGGTATGAGACAATCTCAATTGTAAAAATTAAATGTTTATATTGCAACTGACTGAATTTCTTAACCAGAATCATGAATGTTGGACTTAACTTCTTGTTTCTGGTTTTAGAAATAAAACATACTTGTTTGTAGCTTATTTACTAGTTGACAAAGGATATGATGTGTGGCTTGGAAACAATAGAGGAAACATGTTCAGTAAAAACCACTCCACTTTCTTGTCGACAAGTTTTGGATTTTGGAATTTCAGGTAAGAAAAAAACTGTCTTATGAGTTTATGACAAATGAATATTAACAGAAACACTCTTAACTTTTGCATAAAGTTGGCACGAGATTGGCCTTTATGACGACTCTGCAATGATGGACTACATTCTGCAACGAACAGAAAGCAATAAGTTGTTTTACATCTGCCATTCGCAGGGTTGCACAGAACTCTTTGTTCTTCTATCACTTAGGCCAGAATATAACAAAAAAATACAATTAGCTGTAAATTTAGCTCCAGCAGTTTTTACGAAACACTTGTCTGGAATTACGGGACTAGCATCTCCATTTTCTCACATTGGTTCTGTAATTTATACTTTTAGCAATTAAATAGACAAATAAGTGTTTTCAATTTTCGTTAAAGTTGTACATCTTTTTAGTACATTTTTGAAACATTTGGCCACGTGGATGCACTGGACGGATCGACCTGGCTCAGAATTGTAACAAATTTTTTTTGTGCTAAGACTATGATTACTCAGCCAATTTGCAGATTGGTCTTGAACTCAGTAGAGGGATTCAGTTCCTTCAAGAAAGATGTAGTAAAATATTTTTGTTATAACAGAGTGTAGCATGGATTTTTAAAATGCGACACTCATTGTTTAGTAAAGATAGTAAAAAATGCGAATTAAGTGGAATCAAAATTTTGCAGAATATTTTAAACAAGTTTCTTATCTATTTTCCATCTGGAGGATCAACCAAGCAACTGTTCCACTATGGATTTGGAGCCCATTCTCCAGGTAATTTATTTTATTAAAAAATAAACGAATAAAAAAAATACGAATACCGAAAATTATGTGGAATTTTTATTTAGCTGAATTCCGACAGTACGATTATGGGCGTAAGATTAACGAAAAAATTTACAATTCGAGACTACCTCCCAAGTATTCTTTAGAAAAAGCGACTTTACCAGTAGCAATACTTTATGGCTCAAGGGATTTTTTAGCCGCGCCTAAGGTAACAAATTTTTTTACTAACAATAAATTTTATATCAAGTTACAAATAACTTGACAATTTTTCCTAGGACGTTGGCTTATTGATAAAAGTACTTCCAAATGTAATTTATAGTAAATTAATTAAAGGATATAGTCATTTCGATTTTTTAATTGGAATCAATGTGCGAAGCAAAGTTTACGAAAAAACTTTAGAACTGCTCGAAAGATATGAAAAGAATGAAAGAAGTTAATAAAAATTAATTTCATAATTTATATTTAATTATTTTGATTAAAAGAATTCTAATGCATATTCGAATATTTTTAGTGGTTTTTTTATTTTCATTGGTAAATGAATTGAAATATTAAATTGGATATTAGAATTAGAATTTCTTTATTTGTTCAAGGAAATTTAGTACTCAATTAAAAATAATTTTTATTTTACAATTTCTACAATTAAAATGTTTTAATCAATTAATTGTGCCGCAGCGTGCAATGACTGTATCACTGCAGCTGCGCCTGGCCTGTCTGTCTGTCTGTCCGAATCGAAATATCTACTTCGACTTGCGCGGTGGGGACTAGATTTGGCAAATAAGTAGATATTGCGGTTTGGGGCAGACAGTCCGAGCGCAGCTGCTATTATCGCTTATTTTCAAAGTTGTCAGTAAATTAATTTCCCTTTTGCTTATTTCTCATAAACTTGGTCCTATTGTATAATAATCAAGAAAATAACAATATTGTAATAAATAAAAATTAAACAATACATTTGAATAGAAATAAATAAAATATACATTAATTAAATTTGTCTGTTTTATTATTCATTAAACCTTACATAATTATTAATGTCACTAATTATTTATTGATAATTTAATAATTAGTAGATACAATGAATGTCAAATTAATTGTCAAATTGTATCAATGATTTGTAAACAGTTGAAGAATTCTATTATACACTAGCTTTTTGATGTCTGCACGTAAAAAGTAACCTAAGTGATTAAAGCTTTTAAGATATGTTCCTTCAATTACATTAGGTATCATCTTTGAGAATTGACGAACATCCTAAAAAGAATATGATGACAAATAACCATTCTCTAATTTCAGTTTTATGTTTCAAGTATCAACAATACCTTCACAGGTCCCAAGTTATCGTTCTCTCCGTAAAATACTGCAACTGGTAAAGTTGCCTTCCTAAGAGGATATTCTGGAGGCATAGTCGAATTGTAAATTTCCCTATTTCTACAATCTCCATAATCGAATTGTCTAAATGTGCCTTTATATGAAATTGACAAGTCAAAAATATAGAGAAATTAATTCAGCTCCTTTTGCTTAAATTGTCAAGTAATAATAGGAAAATATTAAAGTAACACAAACCTGGATAAAAATATAGAAATCCATAATGAATTATTTCCTTAACGGACGTTCCAGCAGGATAAACTTCCAAGTATTGAGATAGTAAATTCTAAATAGTTGGGAATTTTGTTTTAATTTTTTAACTACAGAAATCTATAATTATTTTCATTGAAAATTGAATTTTTGTCTTCGCAATTTTGAATGGTTATTTTAAATACTTACAGTATCTGTTGCAAACCAATCAAATCCATGTATAAGAGATACTATTATGTAACAAATGTATTGCGTAAACGATCCTCTCTTGCACACTAAACGAGTTATGAGGGTTGTAACGAAATTTTTATCCAACACTTTTATATAACCTAGACGACCAAAAACTTCCTAAAAATTAAAATAAAATTCGTAAATCATTTCTTCTTTCGCAAATTGGAAATTGGACTTTTTCTTACCTGAAGTAAATACGAAAACATGAAAACTGATCTTAATGTAAGTGGCGCATGGCCATAAAGCACTGAGGGCGACAAATTGACGGATAATTTAATTTTCTGATTGTATTCCGGTCGGAGTGACGCCATGACAAATAATTCCGTACATCCTTCTGAATGACACACGTGGAATAATCTTTTCTCTTTAGTTTCCTTCAAAATAAAGTCTATCATTGCTGGATGATCGTACAAACCAATCTCATGGAAACTGTTAAATGGAAAAACTTGTAATGACCTGTAATTTTAAATAATTTCTTTCATATCATGAATATTTTACCTGAAATTCCAAAATTTAAATCCGTATGAAACAAGTGTCTTGTGCTTTCTGCTAAATCTGTTTCCTCGATGATTACCCAACCAAACGTCATAACCATTATCAGCTAGAATGTAAGCTACACGCAAATGAATAGTTTATTTTTATACACTTGTCAGACAGCTTTGTGCAAATAAAATGAAAAAGAAATACCCAAAGACTGATTTGTTTCGGCGAATAAAAACGCAGCCGAACTATCGGCCAGGCCGTGATTTATTAAAACTGCAGGTTTTTGCAGATTGGATACTGCTGTGGTTTTATTGTTTGCTCTACCACCTGGAATTCGGTGCAACTCGAGAATGTATCCATCTTTTGTGGTAACATGGTAGGCTTGGAAGGGATATCCTCGCCCGGTTACAAAATTTCTCTTTAATAATTTATTTTTATTGTTAATGTTAATGTTGAAATTGAAAAAAGAGAAAGTGCTTCAAAATTCACGTTGTTATTGCACTAAGTTATTATAGTTTTATTGAGCACTTACTATATATACAGTGGCATCTTCATAAGAATTAACTACACAAATAATTAAGATGAAGGCGACACTTAATGGCCACGAGTTCTTCATAATTTTGACGCCCGCCTAGTGAGTTATTTGTTTCCTAAGACAAGACTAGAAAAAATCGAACGCAGTTATCGCCAGGAAGTTTTAGATAAAGGTACTGTGTTACATTTACCCACACATACTGTTGCATTGACACGTGAAAACCGTATATAAACATACACAAGGAAAATAAAAAAATTATTATTATCAAAGCATGCAATACTCATTTAGTTAAATAGTTGCGAAAAGAGTAGGGAGCTTTTATCTATTTAAGTAATATCCAAAAACTTTTAAAGTCAATTTCACAAATTAGAAACTAAGAAATTTTCATTATCGCTTATACACTTTTCAGTTTTGAAGAACGGATGTCATTGATTGTAATAATTAATTAATTTATTAATCAATGCCTCTTGAGAACGTGAAAATTCTATAAAAATATTTTGATCAAGTCCTAATGAGATTTAAATTGTCACAATATATTAATTCAAGTGCCGTGTTAAAGCGATGTTTTATTATAACTTTCAAGTTGTTGTCACAGTTTATTCGACTATCGATTCTGCAAACACCAGCATTGATAAAGTCACTAGAAAAAGAAAAAAATTATAAATTGATATTTTTTGTAAGTATAATTTTAGTGATAATTATTTTTCAAGAACCTAAAAGTTCAAAGACCAAAAAAAGGTTTTAACAAACCTGCATTCTTTTCTTGAATAGGTAATTGGAATCGGCTCCAGAGTGTAAACTGTGCGGTAATTTGGATAAGCCAAAGAACATTCATCAGTTGGGGAATAAAGCGAGGCCATGGATTCTTCTAAACATTCTGGTTGTGTGTACAATGCTCTTTCTTTAAAATCAATTATAAATTGTTGATTTTTATTAAATTACCAAATTCACTTATTATGTTTTTGTAATTGATTGTAAACATACCAAATTAAATTTAAATTAAACCAAAATAAATTACCAAATTCTAATTGAAGGCAGACGCCGAGCAACATGTTCTCCAAAATCACTTCTTCTTCATCTTTTCTCAAACGAGTTTCAACATTGAGACAGTTTTGAACACTTTGAAGCAATTGGCGCAATCCGTCTTTCATTTCTGATCTTTCCATACAAATTTGATTAAGCCAATAAATTGATTGGGGATCTCCTTCGGCAGGTGATCCTAAACTGACGGCATTTAATTCCGCCAACAGACTGTTTCGATAACTTCTAAATAACTTGAGATTCAATAAAATCTGATCAAACATGAAACTTCCTCCATTATAATAGCACTGTTCAGTTAGTTCATTTAATGTCACGTTGAAACGTTCCCTTTTAAAAGAAGTTTGAGCTGACGCACAGTCGGCGAAAACTGTGAACATACATTATCACAACTTATTATAGTTTTCAAATATTTAGACGCTAATGAATGTATGTGAAAAGAAAAGAAACTAATTGTAAAATTCAATATTAATTTTCTTTAGAAGGAAAATGAGTCAACAACTTACTGATAAAAACTCCAAGTATGAAATATAATTTCAACATTGTAAAACTATTTCCTTGAAAAAATATGAACAACTCTTATAAGTGAAATTAAGATTTCAACTGAGGTTCAAGACCAGTGAAGTTCTTTTATAAACATTGGACCGGATTTTAACCTCTCTGCGCGTGATTCTTCAAGGTGACTTCCTCGGAAGGTCAAACTGAACTCACATGAATTTCAGCCCCTTTCTAATAGAGGTGATTCAATAAAAAATAATATGCGATTCAAAAAAAATATGTTTGTCAATAGCTTGTAAAATACTATGACAAAAATGACAAATATATTTGAATAAATTTAAATTTTAGCAACTTGATAAATTAAGAGTTGACCTTGCATTGAATGTCAAGTGTATGATTAAAGTTCAGTTTTTCTTATTCACGTTGGGATGTGGCATTAACCGAATAAAAGTTAAACCAGTTTTGTTACTATTTTTTCCACTAAATTTTCTCAATTTTTAAGTAAAACTACTGATTTTAAAAGCGTACAAGTTTTATATATTAAATTAATTTCTATGTTTATTGAAAAATCTTTTAAAAAAAGAAAACGTTAACCTTATTATATAAAAATTTTAATTACTACTGTTTTAAACAGTTGTGAAGAAAGGATGTTTTATTCGAAATACATATAATCGCATCCTGAAAATTTTAAATCGTCATTGAATATTGATTTAAGTTGAAGTTCTGCCGAAGAATCACATTCTTTCAAAGCATCTAATTTACACATAAATGTTTTGAAGATCATGCTGCAAAAGAATAATTACTTATGTATCATTATAGTAGAGAAAAAAAAATTTTTTTTATTGAAAATCATATAATGCATAACAATAAAAATTACCTGCAGTCTTCTGGCAAAGTCATAATTACTACATTTTTATCGTTTAAGAATACATTGTTTGGCAAACGTAGTTTACACAAAGCCAAGTCCAAAAATACCCCAGGAGTAAAGCAATCAATATGATGTTTGTTAAGGAGTAGACCTAGACAGAAAAAAAATTATTCTTTTTTTTTATATTTAGAGATTTTATAAAATGAGTTGCTGGTTTTTAACTAAAACTGCCTTTTTATTAAATATAAAATTTTTAACAAATTATTTTAAATCTACTGAATGTTAGCAGAAGAGTTGTGAAATTACCAAAACTATTGCACGAAGCAAAAATCACGAATGTAATTTACCTAGTTTAACACTGAATGAACAAATGTAATCAACGCTTTGTCTTAAGAGTTTTGTTTTTTGCTCCAATGTGGGTCGTTCATTTTCCGAAAGACAGAGTTCCACTGTTTCATATATGGTTTTTAGAGAATTATTGAATATGGGTTGTTCAATGCAAGCTGTCTTAATGTTGGAGGCCATCTTTTCAGTAAAATTAAAATGCGAAAATTGTGAAGCCAAATGATGTACAATATTTACATATTGTGTTCTTTTTTCATTTATGACTTCTGATATTTTTGAAATACGTTCCTTAATATTCACAAAAGTTACATTTGCATTAATATTACACTTTTCTTCAAAAATTTCGTCACTTATGTTTAAACGAACAAATTCATCATTTTCGTTTATACTCCGTTTTATTGTTATTTTTTCCGGAATCACTGAGATGTTTTGGCAACCATAAAATGTATGGAACATAATGGAATCGGCAGCTTCCACAGCAGTCTTGGTTGTATCTTTGCAGCTCTTCATTGCCTCCAATCTACATTCTGAATACCTCTGATAGTCACTAAAAACAATATTTCATTAAGAAAATAATGTGTGCAAAAAGTGAGAAAGAAATGGGTATATTTATTTTGAAATCGATCCCCCCATTAGTTGAGACCGGAAAAACTAATCTTTTAGACGCTTACTTGCATTCTTTATTGCTGTAGACAAAGGGCAATGGAATAAACTGATCAGTTTTGTACTTTTCCTTGCAAGTATCGATTGCTGCGTTTGTCACCAGATCCAGACAACCTTCGTCCGACGAGAAGGCATGACCTTAAAGGAACAAACCTACGTAGTAGTAAATCTAGTAGTAGTAAATCGTAGTAGTAAAGAATTAAATTAAAGAATTAAATTTCTCTTTTTACTATGTATGTATTGTGCACAGAAAAGCTCCATCAACCTCGAAGTTAGGGCTTGCAGTTTGTCATCTTTTAAACGATCTTTCTCTTCCATGCAGAATTGAGACGATGCAATGAATTTTTTGAGCATGTCCTTCAGGGTGGCGTCCTTGTTACAACGTTCTTGAACTAACTTGTACACATCGTCAGTTGGGCTCACTTCCTTCTTCCAAGTCATGAACCTTTCGGTTAGATTTAAAGTGAATGAAATATGCCTACTGTGCACGTCTTCATAAAGATTTGCTCCTCTCGCATCACACATATGTTTCAAGTCAGTTCTTTTAATGTTTAGTCTTTCAAGTGTATAATGCCTAACGGGCGGCATACTTCGGCACGTGACTCCTCCAGAAAGATCTGTTATTCAAATGTTAGTTTTCAAAATTAGAATTCCGAAAATTGTTTATCATTTGGATTGTGTTTCATGTAGTCATGTAATTGAAAAAAGTAATTCTATATGAAGAGGAAAGCTCTTCTTCTGATGAAACAAAAGTATTTAGCGTTAAATCTAGAGAAACCTGCCTAAGATGAGTGTCCGTAATTTATCTACAAGTATTTTCTTTAAATCTGAATAATTTCACTTATTATAAATTGTAATTTGTGAATTTTAGATTTAGAGAATATAATCACAGATAATCTTATGCATGGCAGAAAAATTTAGCTGGTGATTGATATCAATGAAATTAAACAATTTCATTTCATGTTACTTTTCAATGAGAAGGAAAACATTTTTCACTTGGTCTTTAATCTTTAATATTTCAAAAACACTCTCAACAACATGAAATTTATAGATTCGGGTACTAAGCTGCAACTTAATTTGACCCCAATTATTATTAATTAAATCATCTACAAGCAGTTTTTAGTTTTTCGACAACAATGGATTTACTCACAAATTACAAGAAGGAAACTGCAAATTTTTGTTAAAGTCTCCATTTTTCCACTCTGGAAACTGATATTCAAAAAGTAGGGTGACAAATCATTGAAAAAGTTTCACGACGGAATATGAGGTGATCTTAACGAAGAGACTCGTTTTAACTAAATGACGTTTTAACAGAGCTCTTTTATGCGTTAATATAACTGATTTATAAATTATGGCAATTTTCTTATTGTGACGTCATGGAGGGTCCTCATCCAATAACTCGGTCTATGCTCGGATGCACGCTGTAATGCAGAGATGTTAAGTATTTCAAATAAATCCATTTCAAATGGAAAATGAATAATGCCTGTTTTCACTTTGCATTTTAAATATGAAACCCTATTGTATTTAGATTTCAAATGATTTTTCTCTTTTACTTTAGATTTGAAAATGCAGAATGTATTTGTAAATTTACTTTTAAAAGTACAATTGATATATAATAATCAATACAAGTTTGATTTTCTTAATCAAAAATGATTCACTGGCCTCCTAAAAAATGTTGCTACTTGACTGGTATATAAGCGAGTTCGTCCAAGCGTAGGTCGAGTTTTGATGAAGGCCCTCAATTAAGGTCACTAAATTGCAAAGCATTTCTAAGCGGAACTCATGGTAGTCTAAAAAATAATTTTTATATAAATCATAATTAAAAAAACCCCTTCATTTAGTCTACAAACTACAGACGAACTAATAATGTTGCCATAAAAAAGATTTCGCATCATTTGAAAATAAATTATTTAAAAAAATTATAAATTCAATTTACAAACTAATAATAATTTTCATTCTTCTACACATTACGTTCGTAACTTAAAATTTTATTTAATTGTATCATTCAAATAAATTAAATTAGTAGTAAATTTAAAAATATTTCGTTAAAACTTAAAAGTGGTTAACTTTATTTCATGCAAAACCAACTTTAGTTATCATCCTAAATAGCACTTACTTTCTCACTCACAATCGAGATACTTTTTCCATCTAATATAAACGATTTTGAAAAATTAAATTTTGCATATTTCGAGTTACTGTAAGTCAAACACATTTTTTAATCCTGATTTTTAAATTCACAGAAAGTTGAACATTTAAATTAGTAAATTTTAGTTCTTTATATTGAAACAATCATTCCAAAGTGAAAAGAAATATAAAATTAGGGCGAAATATTAAAGGTAGTCTATATATTTGCTCACTTATCATCTTCACTCTTGAAATGAAATGCGAGAAATGACTGGACACCAAACAACTACTTCTTGTTAGTCTATAGCAGCAGAAGGAATATTAAATTCTGTTTTTAGTCCTTTATCACTAATTCCAGGTAAAGGTTCTTTATTTATTTTAAATATGCAAGAGTTAATAGTCTGCTTCTAAAAACAACAGAAGAATAATAAATGAAGGAGCTGCTGTACTTTAATTGCAGTAATTATTTGACGCTCTACGAGGGGAATTTGAACATGTATACTTTATATATTCTATAGCCTAAAAGTGGCACCTTAAGGTACAGTCTGTTATCGGCAGCTGACAAACTATGGAGCTCGATCATTATTTCTATAGAATCAACCAAGGTTTATTGTCAGCTTGCGGAGTTTGGCCACTTCTGTCAAAAAGACAGAAAATTATTCGCAGATTCATTTTCTTCATTATTGACTTTAGCAACTTTCCTCCACTGGTATATATTTATGATTGTTCAGTTTTATAATACTGCATTATTTATGTCAATTAATCTTTTCTATTTAAATTTAACAAAATCTTCTTAAAACGTTCTATTTCACTTTCACCAAATCATATATTATCTAATTCAACTGGATAAGAATTGATTATTGGTATTTCAACTATTTTTGTCCCATTCATTTTAAATAATTTTATTGTTACCTTAACAAAAACTTGGATCGACAAGTGTTCGATTTTACATTTTACTTGCTAGATTGGTGAAACAACAGCACAGTTTGTATAACAAATATTCTCTGAATTAATTACTATTAGATAGCGTACGCAGTTTACAATTGGAGAGATGCTGATGCCTTAAGCGACTGTGTTACATTCATTGCGAGTTATAGTCTCGGTATAATCAAAATATCGACTATCATTATTCAGGACAAGAAGGTAAATTATATAATATACTAATCCACCTTTCATTGTTTCATTAATATTGGGTCTTAACCCTTCGTCAGTCATATATGAGGAAACTCTCTTTCTCATAAGTTTTTGCCTGTGGTCGGTTAGGTCAATATAAGGATTTGTTAGATGAGGAGTTTCTTCACTTTGCGAGTGGCGGAGGGTTAAGAGCATAATTATTATTAATTACATGATAAATATCGGTTGCCTATTTTTTAAAGATACAATATCTTTTTAAACAAATACAACACGATTGGAGCGTTTGGTCTTCCGAGCCACAAGTACAACAGCTTGAAAAGTTTGCCGAAGAAGGGAAAAGCCTTAACTTCATTTATACAGGTTGACATTTGATTTTGCTTCACCATCTAAACCAGTGTATGGCAAAACTCAGACCTTGAAATTTGTAGTTGCAGTTTGTACTTCTGCTTCTTCTTACACTTTCCTAACAGTTGCTCCACAAATTTATTACTTATTTGTACAACGCCCTAATGGAACAAGAGAGTCTTTCCTCTCCCCAGAAGAGTTTGGGATTGACAATGAGAAACACTTTTATTTAATTTTGGCTTTTAACAATCTCAGTGTCTGGATAAACTCTATAATTTATATTATAGTCGATTCGACGTACTTTACATTTGTTCAACACGCCTGTGGACAACTTGGAGCCGTTGGGTATTAACAGTAAAGATTTACTTGCAATCTTTTTAAGGTTACTTTGATGCTGACATGCAATAGAGGATATTTATTTAAAGAATTTGTTTAAATTTATTTAAATGTAAATCTTATTACTAAGTTATTTCTAAAATATTTAAATAGTAAAATGTTTTAATATACCCAGAATACTTTTCTTTTAAATAGGAATCGTTTTGAAAATATTAAACTGATTTCTTGTAATGGAAGAGAAAATAATAATGATTCACTGAGATTTGAAGAGATTTACTTCTGTATTCAACGATACAAGAAAGCTTTAAAGTTAGTATGTATATTTTAGTATGTATGTAGCTGGGGAGTGGGGCAGCGCATGCATGTTATAGAAAAATATAAAATGCAAAATTATTAACTTAAAATTAATAAAAAATACATTTTTTTAGATTTACAAGCTTATTAAATGACCTTTTCTCTGTGTATTTCTTTTTGATCGTAGGAATTAGTGCCACAAATCTAGTATTTGCATCATTACAGGTAATTGTGATTATAATAGTTATAGCGACTTTAAACCTGGATTAAGTGATTTTGGTAACGCTAAACAAACATTTTCTTCTAATTTTATTTCTTGTTGCGCAGACTGTCATAAATTTAGATAAATTTAATGAAACAGTGAAATATGGAAATTACGGACTTCTTCTTGTCTGCCTTCTATTCTTAAACAGTTTTCCTGCTCAGAAACTAATGGATCACAGTTCTAACATTTCTCAGAACATGTAAAAAATTTTAATATATTTTGGATACGTTAATAATTCTGTAATAGAAAAGGCCACAAACTGACTTTTGTTGATCTTATACACATTACATGTAATTTCTATAAAAATATTTTTTTAACAGTTATAATAGCTGTTGGTACGAAATGCCAGTTTCTTTGAAAAAATCTCTTCTGTTTGCGTTAATGAGAACATCGAGGATATGCGCAATTAACATAGGCAAATTTTACGTTTTGTCAATGCAAACATTTGCATCGGTAAGAATTTAAATATTAATTTTGAAAATGTACTTTATACTTTTACTTTAAATATTACTTACTTTTTAGATTGTTCGAACAACAGTTTCTTTGTGTATGTTATTATTGTCCATTAGGTGAGTGAAATGTAGTATAAACTATAGTACATCAGAAACTGAAATCTGTATAAATAAATATTTGTAATATACCAACTTAACAAAAAAGTTTTTGTCCATTTTTTAGCAGATTTGATGGTAAACCGTCAGTCTAAGCTTTTAAAATTTATATTTAATGATAATTTTTTTTCAGTAACGTTTTCTAGCTCATTTTTAATGGAATAATCATTTTTAGATATTTGAACTTGACAGTGACCAAAGTGCAAATAATTGCAGTGATTTATAATTACAATATTTTTCAAGTTCATTTTTGTTGCAGCTTAAAGGGAGTAGCCTAGCGACCAAATTTTTTCAGTGTTCAGACAAACGTACGTATAGAGTTAAAAAATTTTTATTGACAATTCTGGACTCAAGACAACAAATTAAGTAAGAAAAAATTAATTTTGAACAATATGCAAAACAATTTGATTTTATGAATGAAGATCAAATCAAATTCAGTTGGATTAGATGAACAGAGGCGCCTGAATAAGCCTCAAAGGTCATTTGTTAGAATTTTCTGGTGATATAGTTCTATTCAACAAAATTTCCGTTTGACATTATTTTTATTTAAATTAACGTTAATTCCTTCTAAACAGAATTTGTATGTAACCAATTTTTTAATTGACTGAAATTTTATAATTAAGAGCATTTCTATTTATAACCCTCTTTGTATCTAAAAGAATGTATTAAATGTTCCGTTAAAAAAGAATTTTGATAAATAAAAATTCTTTGAAATATAAAGAGGATTAAATAGAAACCCAATGATTTCCGGAAATTTTTATTTTAACGCAATTCAAGCAAGTGGTAACTTACCATCAGTTGCTGATTTAGATTCTGTACGTTATTCGCAACTGGAGTGATTTCGATGCGATAATCTATGCAATTACAATCTTTTCGAGTATTATATTAGGTGTAATAAAAATCGTGAATATTATGTTTCAAGATGAAAAGGTAAAATTTTGTGATATCTTCAATTTCACCCTATGTTTTATGTTACATGAATTAGCATTTTCTTTTAGTTTTCTATGAATACATTTTTGTGTACTTATTCTAAGTTTAATATTCAAGATACGTAAACTTTTTGAACAAATTTTACATGACTGGGAAGTTTGGCATAATGAACCGCAAATAAAACTACTTGAACAATTTGCTGAAGAAGGGAGAAGAATCAATTATATCTACGCAGTTGCTGTTTGTGCTTCTGCTTCCTCTTATACGATTTTTGGACTTGCTCCTTATATTTATTATTCATTTGTTCCAAACTCTAATAAATCACGAGAATCATATCAAGTACCAGAAAAATACGTCCCTTCTAATGGGGGTTACATTTATATATCCATAGCTTACAATTTGCTTTCTTTGTGGACAAATTCCATCATATTCATAACTGCTGATTCAATTTATTTTTCTCTTGTTCAGCACTCTTGTGGACTTTTCGCAGCAGTTGGGTAAGAAAAATGTCATTTTATTTCACAAATAACGTTACGCGGCATGGACATCATAGTCGTATATAGCTGACAGACAGATAAAGGATACGACGGCGTCCTCTTCCCCTCACTCGCTATTGTCTTGTCTCGAAAAAATAGAAAACGAAAGTTTGCATTATATACCTAACTAATTATTAAAATAATATTTTAAGATTTAATACTTATGTAAATATGATGTTTTCTTAACAGTAATCGGTTTGAAGCCATTGGTAAAAAGTATTCTGGAAGCACAAAAATGAGCGATATCTTGTACTGTATTCTTAAATACAACAGTGCATTAAAGTAAGTATGTTATAGAGTTTAATCGATGCACAACTCATAAGTTTAAATTATTGTTCTTTACTTTTGAGTTTCGAACAAACATTATTTATTGTGCAAGTCTATAGCGGTAATAGTTGAAATAATATTTTTTACACTTGTAGATTTGCAGCTGAACTAAATGAAATTTACTCCATCTACTTCTTCTTTACTGTGGGCATTAATGCTGCCAACATAATATTTGCCGCCTCACAGGTAATTATTATATATTTTTATTCGGAACAGGTTAAGAGTGTTTGACCCAATAAGTTGTCTTTGAAATGATTATAACATTGCAGACAATAATACATTTTGAAAGCAGCACTGAAACGGTGAAATTTGGCAATTACGGGATACTTATGGTGGGACTTTTCTTCCTCAACAGTTTTCCTGCCCAAAAATTAATTGATCGAAGCTTCAAAATTACCCAGAATATGTAAATTAAATTTATCAAGAAAATTTTAATGTTGTGTTATTAAGAAGTAAAACTTGGCTGTAGGCAGATGAGCTGTGATTAACTAACTACTTTTTAATTCCGCGAGCTTTCAATTTCAAAAAGTTTTGTATTAATTGAAGTAGAAGAAATTCTCTGCCTTCCAATGTTCTCCTTCCTAATGTTGGTCTTAAAATGAAACCTAATGTATATTATAATTAGAAAATAAAGATGTTAATTTCTTCAGTTATAATAGCAATTGGTATGAAATGCCAACTTCAATACGAAAGTCTCTTTTTATTGTGTTACTGAGAGCTTCTAACCTGTGTACAATTAATGTCGGAAAAATTTGCATACTGTCGTTGCAAACATTTAGTACGGTGAGTTAATTGTTTTTAAGGACGTAATTCAGAAAGCATATTTTCTCTTACTGTAAATTTCTTATGAATTTTTTACTGTAAAGGTTGTTCGAACGACAGTCTCCATGTGTATGATGATATTATCCCTAAGATAAATAGCAAACAACTACCAAATATTTTATTATATGTGACACGGACAGTTAAAAGGGTCCTGCGATCCGAAAAAATCGAATTTCACTTTTTTATCTATTTTTTCTTTCTGGCTGCATTAGTTTTCTCACAATTTCACTTCAAAGTTAGGCACTTTGACAAAAAACAGTGCAAAAAAACTAACAACTAACTTGGTAAACTTCGAAGTCTTTTTTCGGACCGTAGGTCCCTTTTATCTATCCGTGTCACATATGTCATTTCAAACCATAAATTGGAATTATGTGCAATAAATTACATTTTATTAAGAACTAATAAATACATTAGTCGTTAGATGTAATTTCTTTTAAAACTTCTTTACATCCTGCATATCTTTTTTCCTCATTAAATTGTTCTTGAAGCCAATTTTTTGTCGAGTCCTTACAATCGCCATGAACGTCTAATTTACAAGTGTGCATTCTTTCGAGTCCACTGAAAATTAAATTGCATTAAATATAATGACAAAAATAAATATCTATTTCCTAATTTTTTCTAAATCAACGCTTTTTATTAACAAATAAATACTAACTCGCACTCCTCTGGAGATGAAATGAATAATAAGGGAAGATTATCGAAATAGAACTGCGTAATGGACATATTTTTGGTACACAGGGCCAATTGAAAGAATGTCGAAGAATCATGAAAGCATTCTTTATCATTTGGCGAATGACTTCCCACTAACACAACAATTCTTTTATTAATTCATGTAATTTATAGTTAATCAATTATAGTGAAGAAAATATCTTACGGTTTTCCAATTCAGAACAAAATTTCCCAATGCTCTTGTTCAGTAATATCTCTTTGCTTTCTTCCTCCAACCGATCTTCTTCGTCTAAACATTGTTCAATGGTATTCAACATACTGTTCAAGTTACTTCTGATGTCTTCGGCTTTATAGCAGTTTTCATTGACCAAAGCTTTCAATTTAGTTCTCTCCTTAAGATCTCGAATCAAGTACAGCTTATCTGATTTGATTTTTAAAAAACTGGTGTACGTATCTTTTACACTGTTTAAGGAGTCGTTGCCTCTTTCGTTACATTTTTGCTGCAATTCGGTTTTAGTGAAATTAAATCGCACCATTGGTTGGTTGTGGATCATTTGTCTTATATCTTCTGTTTTCTCGATGTCCTCTAGCGTCTCATCATCGGCAGTGTTAAATTCCTCATTTGTTTCAGGGACTGGTTCAGTTGTATTGTAAATAATTTCTTCCTCAAATGTTGGTAATTCTTCATCAAACTCTATGTTCTGACAATCAAATAGTGTATAATATGTAACATTATTGGCCGATTCGAACTCTATTCTTGTGGACTCGTTACACATTCGGATTCCAGTTTCAAAGCAGTTTAATAATCTTCGAGCTTCACTGAAACAATTCCGTCATGCAAGTTTTCAGAAAAAAATGGTATAAGTAACAATTATAGAAAGATCTACAAAAAGCTTGACCTAATTTTTCAGTATATTTTAGACTTTTTCAATTTAGGTTTAGGTAAATTAAAGCACATAGCAACCTGCACTCTGTTGTACTGTAAATTAAAGGCAAAAGAATTGTCGGAAATTCCCGGAATGATCGACGACACAAGGAGAAATTTATTTCTGTCATTTTTGAACACTGATCGTCTATTTTTCCTCCTCCTGTAAAATAAAATACAAGAGAATGTTTCAATTTTTAATGGAAAAGTAAATATTTTATTTACATTAAATTCAAGTGCTAAAAAGTACGTTTACCCAGGAGAAAGAGATGACAAAGTACTTCTAGAAGTTTCGTCACGAATATTTGCTTTTGATCTTCGAGCAGACGACTTTGTTCATCCATGCACAGTTGCACTTTATCAAAAAAATTATCCACCTTCAATTTTGAATTTGAATCAGATTGACAGGTTTGCATTCCATTTGAAAACTCGAGATTTAATGAATGAAAGCTAGACAAGTGTAGAGATAAATTCTTCTGACTATCAATTAATTCCTGATATAAAGAGTCCCCTTGCGAAGAGCACATTGTTTCCAAATTATCGTGCCAAATATTAATCCTTACCAGTGAATTAACCACAGCTGAAGGAAATCAACAAATAAAACATTTAATTCTCTTCTTTCTGCTTCTTCTAATCTTTATAAAGAAATCCTGCATCATTTTCAATTTCAACTTTTTTTCATCCAAAATGTGGCGAATTTTCCGAAACAGTAAAAGTACTTAAAGAAATTTTCGAAACATTAAAAACTTACCAACTAAAAAAACTAAACTAAAAATTCTCATAGTCATTTTAATTACTTATGATTTTTAAAAAATAAAAACTAAAATTAACTTTATGTGTTATTATTTATTTGGACGAGCTATAAACAGGTGTTGATAACACGATTTTAGGCTCCCATTGTCCTGAACAGGGACTTTATGTAAACTGAATGACGTTTTGCAAACTTCACCTTCATGTGTCATGACTGATTGACAAATGAGAGCAATTTTCTCTTGATTGATGTAAATGACATTAAAAATAGTAAAGGGATTTCTCTAGTTTTGTTTTAATCAAGGTTTCAAATCACAATTACTCCGCCTATTGTAAATAAGAATTCACCGACGTTAATTAATTGTGTTCCAAAAAGATAAAGAATTTTTGCCTATTAAATGGCACTCTTCTTGTTAGTTACAATATTAAAATTTATTGCATGAATATATATCCTCCCGTTCTTTGCAATAATGACATATTAATTGTTTGACATTAATTTAATACTCTTTATACATAATTCAAATTATTTTCACATCCAGCGATTAACTTCTTCGACTCGAAGTGACTTTCGACAAATTGTTTTGTTGAGTCTTCACAACGCTGCACTGAATAGACGACGCAATCGTAATATTTAAAAACTCCTCTGAAAAAGCATAAAAATTCATTCAAAAATAAAAATTGAAAATTGTTTTGACAATATATTATTGAGAAAAGTTTGAAAGGTTTGAAATTTTGTGAATAATTTGAAAACTCACGTGCATTCCTTGTGCGTGGGATGATATTGAATGGGTAATATGTAATCATTCCTAAACACTACACCGCGAGGCTCGGAACTTCCGTAACAATTAACAAACGTCTCAGACGTACGTTCACTTTTGAAACAATTACTATCGTACTTTTGGACGGCATCTGCAAAAAAATCAAGTCATTGTCTCAACTGTAATTTACAATTTTCCATTCAGCTCGAGACAACAATAAGATATTTTTGGACTCTGTTTACAGTTCTACTGAAAAATTCCAGTCAATTTATCTTTTTCTAATATGGAAAGTTTTACAATATTATTATATCATTTTTAATTGATATTATTAAATGTGAAATAATTTTACCATGAATTCATGGACATTAAATTTTATTTTTAAAAAGAAGTTTCTGATTAATTTCCCACAAAAAAGCACTGACTTATTTTTTATAAGTAATATCATTTTTCATTGAGTTTTAACTCAATTGTTATGAAATCAAAATGATTATACTTTTAAACATAATTTTAAAATTAGTCTTCTTTAAGTTTTAATTTTCTTACAATCATTTTAAATTATTGTCATATGCTTCATTTTTTGACGAAAGTCAAAGTCTTGGAAATATAATTAGAGAACGAAGAGAGTATTTACCGTATTGAATGTCAGAGCAAACTCGTGTCATAAATAGATCCATAATTTTTCTTTTCTTGTGTTCTGGTACTCGACGATTCTCGTCCATGCAAGTTTGCACTAAATCTGTCAAGTATTGCAAGTATTTTCGGATTTCTGGATTTTTTTTACAGTGCTGTTCGGTGAGAAGGTCCAAGGGCTCGAGTGAATTGACAGAAGAGATTCCTTCATAAATCCTCTTCATTGCTGTCGTTGAAATATTCATATACGGCATGTGGAAGTAAAGAACACTTTCGTATAAGTTGAGGCCATTTGATTCGCACATGCGGTGCAAATCCTTTATTGTCACATCGAAACGATCATCTGGCTTTCGAAGGGCATACGGCGCACCCGAAATCAATGCGGGGAAGCACAGATCTGAATTAGAAATTTAGAAATAGTAATTAATATATTATAAAAATACCTAAAACATTTTACAACTCACAGTAGATTGCTGAAGTCACGAAGCTTAAAGAATAAACACTTGATATCTTCATAGTGATGGGCATTTAGAACATGTTAGAAGCAACACTTGCGAATGTCAGAAGCTGATGGACTTTAATTTTAAACTGTTCAACATAGTTTCTACGCAAATGATTTTAAAGAAACTTTAACGACCAGGTACTCGTGATGTATCATTTTCATACTACATCTCAACTGTAATTGATCTGCAAGGCTTCAATCAACATTATAGCAGGGATTCGAGTGCACATGTCGTGAGTCAATTTTTCCTATAGGAAATCGAATTAAATCTCAAAATCTACTATGCTACATATTAGGGGTAATTATTATTATTATTGACAAATTGGGATATTAAAATTCATTCATTTTAAAATATACAAAATTATTTTATTAAGAAATTATGAATTAATTCATCTCAGTTTAATCCATTTTAAAAGTCCCACTTTTTTAATTAATTATTCTAGTTTTCTAAAGGAAAATGTTATTAATAATAATTTCCATTGAATTGTTTAAATGCCACCGCAATAATCAGTCGCAGTTGGATAAACTCAGTCTAACAGCTTCAATAGCACTTTTTGTTTCTTGGCTTGAATTTTCAAACTCATTTCGTGCACATGCGAAGAATCCGGCGTAAAAACTAAAAACAATATTCCAACTAATTAAATGTTTTAGTGACTAATAACTCTCTAAATCCGGATTAGTAAAAAGTCCACTAATTTAAATCAGTACAAATTTTTACTAATTCTTAGTGATTTTCTAGTTGAAACTATGGTAGATTTTTAAATATTTAGCAAAATAGTAAAATTTTACTATTTGTGGAAATTTTTACTTATTTGAATTAGTGGATGACTTTACACTATTTCAAACTAACGAGAGAACGGTTTTTTAATAAAGATTCAATTATTTTACCTGCACTGCTTTTGAGTGAAAATGTGAGGTACACTTAGGAGAACAAAAAAATTAGTCAACTCGTCTTCTGGATTTTCAAGCTTTTCGTAACAGTTTTTCCAGCTTCGATGAGTGCTTGCGGAATCGTGGAAAGCTAGTTCACCTGTAAATTTCAATTTAATGGTAACAAAAGAATACTTCAGTAGGGAAAGAACATTTTAATCAGCCTACCCATTAGCATTTTGTCACAAAAAGCCTTTACTGACGATTGAGCCAAATTTTGTTTCTCCTGCAAACTAATTTGATCCACATCATTGTAGCAAAATTGAATGGAGTCAATAATTTTCTCAAAAGAGGCATGAAGTGTGTAATTTTGATAGCAGTGCTTTTTCATGCAGTTTATCACTTCGTCAGGAAGTGCTTCAAAATTCTGTAAATTTACTTTTCCGCTGCACACCAAAAATATATCGAACACGTGAAAATCCGCGTGTTTTGTGTTTTCCTTTAAATCGATTCCCTTTGACTTACAAACTCTAATCAATTCCGGAATCGTAAAATTGAATCTTCTTTTCTCAACATCAAATATTCTTGATCGACTATCTAGGAAATATATTTATCATTTATAAAGTAAGTTGTATTCGATTAAACTTTCTTTTAAATAAAAAGTAAATAATTCTTAATTTTTTCTAAAAGAAGTGAAAACACCTGTAAATGTTGATCTCTCCAAATTACATCCTAAATATGAATGTCTGATTTCCATCCACATTTCGTGCATCTGTCCTGAAGAGTTTTTACACGATTCTATAACATTTTTTTGACAATCCCAGATCTTTGAAAAGATACTAAAAAAATGCAGACACTTGCTTAAAACATTTATTCGCATGTATTTAAGAATTCAAATTGTTCATGTACCTTCAATGTGAAAATAACAGGAAAAGAAAATAAAGTTACCTGCAGTCCTCAGGCTTATGTTCAAGTTTTAAGTTTAACATGATATTATATATTGATGAGTTATAATTGCCAGTCATATTATTAATAGAAGTAAAACATTGCTTATTGTCATTAATTTTCTCAACACATTCTTTGTCTGTCATTGTTAAAAGCGAATCTGTGTAACAAATTAAAAGTAATTAACAATTATAAACACAATTAATGTTAATCAGTAGTGTCTGAACATGAAACAAAATAGTTATCATTGATTAAAACTTGCCTAATTCAATATAGGAGCAGATTTGAGATGCAGCTGATAGTGAAAAGGCTTTAATATCGCTATTCGTTAATTGTAAACTGTTTTCAAAACATAGTTGAACAACTTTTAATAAATTTTCAAAAACTTTTCCCAGTCCCGATTCTTCATTACAACGTGATTTTAATAATTGATGAGACGGACTTTCCCCCCTCGAATATACATCGACTTCCGGCACACTGAGATCCCACAGTTGGTTTGAAATTTTTGACAATTTTTTAGAAAATTCATTATTTGCACTTTTAAGAATGTCATTTATGTTTGGAACTTTTAAACTACATCTTTCCTTTAATTCAAAGAATGTAAAATTTAATCGCAATCCGTTTTCAAAATTATTCAGTGTTACATTCTGTACTTGTAGGCAAACAGCACCGGCTGAAAATTAATAAATTAATTTCAAGAATATGAATTAATTTACCTAGTGATAATTAATGTAGTAGTTAAAAATTCATTTAGTACTAAATAGCAAATAAACATTAAGCACTCACACGAAATAATAAGGAGAATTTTTAATGTTCTTAACATTGTTTATTATTAGTTAAAAGTTGATGGTTAAAAATGAAAATCATATTTTAGATAAAAAATGGATTTTATAACTGAAGAGGCAAAAATCACTTGTTTAATAGCAGAAAATAAATATTATAAACATTGCACAACTTTAACACTTACAACTGTTTGAACTGAATGATTAAAAAATGATGTTGCTTCTGGAATAAATTTCCTGAATAATCACTATCTTATCTTGGGTCAAAGAAGGTATTAACCCCCGTCACGTATAAATATTCAACTATTTATTTAAAATGTTAATTTCTTTCTCTGGATTCAGTCATTGAAATATAATGTTTTCTTTTTTATGTAACTATCACATGCGGATTAAAGAGTGACTTGTGCTCAGAGCGTGCCCGGTAGTAATAATAATTATAAAAATAAATAAATAAAAATTCAAGTTTGATACGATTAAAAGTTGAGACAATTTTAAGAAATAAATAAATATAAATTTAAACTGCTTACAAGCTTATTTTGATATTAAATTTATTAAAAATAATACTGTCAGCAATTAAAAAAAAATTGTAGACTAACTAAAAAAATTGTGCTCTAAAGTTGTTTCATAAACTTTACGTAGTTTACGATTTTACAAAAAAAATTCTATCATATCTTATGAATCATATAAACATAGCATCTGATGGAAACGCCAAAGAAATGTGAATCGTAGTCATTAATTTTCTTGGCTCTGGTTTTTCTTACCAGAATTCATCATATAAGACAAACGAAGCAAAGGAGTAGAAAATTATTATTTTTATTATTATTTTACTTAAATTGTTCATAGGCGATTATTATTTACATTCATGATTGAAATTTACAAGAGATTTATAACAAAAATTGAGTTTGGATCTGAGTCACAGCCTAAAATATTTTGAGCTTCCATCATTGTGGAATCCATCTTTTCAGCGATATCAGAAGGACACTCTCTCTTTATTATTTGACTGACACAATAAATTGCTTTAGTTTGAGCCCTGAAAAAGAACAAATATTATTATTTCGAAAAAAGTTTTGCGATAAAATTTCTACTATCTCTTCTACTTTAAACCATAACTTACATGCAGATTTCAGGACTGCCGAAAAACCAATCTCGAGCTGGAGCATTTGTGTTGACTGCCTGATCTTTACCACATTTTTCCATCTCGTTTATAAATTTAACGTCACTCATGCATTCCGTCGAGAATGACGTTATTGCAGCTAAAAAATTTAATTTAATTATAATTTAATTTAATTTCTTAGATTTCTATTAAAATCTCAAGGTAAGCCAAAAGAACTTGTGAGTTACCAATTTTCATATAGACACTGCAAAATATTCGTTCCAATTTAACTTTAATCTGTTCCTTTTCTTCGTGAGTGAAGGATGCTTCTTCATCCAAGCAGAGTTTCACGACTTTCATTATCAATGTGTATAAATGGTCGTCAGCAATGGCCGGATAGCAAATTTCATCGATTGCTTTATCAATTGACTCCAGAGAATTTCGATGCTTTACATTCTGAGAAATTTTGTTAAAAATGCGGTCGAACGTGAATTTCAATTTGAATACGTCTTCAAGTGTGTCCTCGTCGTTTTCAATTTTTTCAAGACACTCATCCTCCATTCCGGCAATCGTTGAGTTCGACGGCAATGACTGTGATTGTGATTGTGATTGAGGTGCTATTACCGAGGCACCCTTCACTGCCGTCCAAATTCCTGTAATTAAAGTACAATATGCGACGTAAGAAAAAAAAGCATTCTATTATTTATATTTCACGTGTGTTCACTAAACACGTGTAGCACATTCTTGTGTTTCTCATTTGCTAAATGATGCCCAATTTTCTATACGGGAAAATAAATTTTTATTTTTGGTGAAATAATTGTAAATCTTAGAAAAAATAACAATTTTTTTAATTTTCTAACACAGAACTAAAATTTTAATTGGAATTTTTAATAATTAATACTGTGACTAATTATTAGCACTACATCTACACTTGTAATATTACTTGATTAAAATTTAGGTGCAGGATTATTCAAATAATAAAATTGCCCGTAACTAATTATTAAAACTAATTCAAGTTAACAAATACATATAGTTTTGTTGTAAAATATTTGTTTTCTTCAATTATTATTCTCGAAATATATGCGACTTAATTAAATCGAAAGCTACAAGAGAGAATCATAAGCGAAAAAATTTACTGTTGATAACTTATAAAGTTTAAATATAAATGTGTTTTTGTACATGATTTTTAAGAAAGATGCAAAATATTATTATTTTTAATCGGATATGTATCTTACGTAATGAATTTATTGTAGAGCATCACTTTTTACTTGGCCTATCTTTTTAGTTGATTCTATGAAATATTTTCAAAAAAAAAGAAATATTTATAACAGAAAATCAATTTATATCAAAGGTGAAATGAAATAAAATACAAATCAATCTAAATAGAAGATAACTCACCATAAATGGAAATAAAAATAAACAAAGATTTCATCTTGAACTTGGGTCTAAATTGATAAACGATATTGATTCGAAAATGACTTGTAAGAAGGAAAAGAAACTTGATTAATAGACGATGCTTGACAAACGTTGAAAAAATCTGCTGAAATTTCATTAAGACAAGAAGATTTTATATCCAAGGAAATAAAAGGTTATCGTGAGAGATCACTCTGAATTACTAGCTTTTGTAATTGTGAAACTAATAAATGATTCACTTTTCTTGGAGTAACGATTATAGTGCAGACAACTAGTATTTTGGATGGTTATTAACTACAATCGTCAATTAATTTAAAATCCAGTGACATTATCATTTTTATTTCCAGGTATATTGCGCTGTATAAATTTTATTTGTTCTTCAACTGTGATCATCATTCCTTAATTCAGTTTTGACAGCAGAACAGTTTGTTTTGTCAAAATCAAAGTTTTTGCATCTACATATACTAATTTTATAATCCAAATTATATTCATTACTGGATTCAAGTTTGAATTAAATACTCCTTTTTTAATATAGGCTAAACGTACCAATTTATTCCTTTTGTTTTAAATCAAAATTAAAAAGATTGATTCGAGGATGTTAATGAATATTCTAATTTGAGTTCATTAGACGTGGTCCTCGAAAAGCAATTAGTCAGATGACTTTGACATGGAGTTGATGGATCTTTATTAATTTCGTAATTACCCTTCGTAATTTATTAATTGAAGGTCCCGATCAAAGAACCGGTTTTAATTTTTTTTCATGTAAAAATCATTGTCCTCTAAACTGAAAATTAGGTTTTAAATTACAACTTCTGGAACCCGAATATTCTCGTAATCTTTACATAAAAAAGAAATGCTTTCACAAAATTAACTCTAAATTTTTTTTATTTAAAGGTTGAGAATTTTGAGTACCTGTTGACGAATTACAATCAGTTGTTTGATCGGAACCCTCAATTATTATTGGTAAGCGCAAAAGCCAAATACTATTTAAGCATGATTCAGAAAAGACATTTTCCATAAGGAATAAGGGTTGCGCAAATGTAAGAATTGTATTTAAATTATAAAAAATTTGATTTATTTTGCAATAAGTAAACCTTATAAACGTATGTACATTCATTACATAAATGCTTGAAAAGGATACTAATCGAATGAGTTTCACAAAATAAAGAGTTCACGCTCTTCTTTGAGATAAGTGTACGTTGTAACACTAACTGAGAAATTATTTATACTTTTTATCACTTTTATACAAGTATCGAATAACTGGCTTTCAAATGAAAATAAAAATTTGACTTCTGCAATTGCACTGAAGGAAAAGCCAACTAAATTAAGTTAAAAATTGCACTTTTACGATGCGTCGATGACGGAGATTGAATTTGGTTCGGGATTGCATCCAATGATGTTTCGAGCCTCAGTCATTATTGAATGAATTTGTTTTGAAATATCGGCACTACAATTATCTTTAAAGACGTCATTTAAACACTCGATTGCCTTTAATTGTGTCCTGAAACAATTGCATATCTTTAGTTTCATAAAAGTATTCCTTAATTTTAAAATAATGTTATGTCTGTAACTGAATTTGAAGTTTAGTTTGTTAATGAATAAAATAATACATACGTGCAAATTTCAGAATTGCCGAAGAACCAGTCACGAACTGGAGTGCTTAAATTTATTGTTTGTCCTTGGGAGCATTTTTGAAGCTCATTCACTATTCCTGGCTCAGTGACACACTCCGGGGAGAATGAAAGAAGCAGAGCTAGAAACAATTTTCATTTTTCAATTCTCAAGTGTAATAGTAAATTTATTTATTCACTACTTGAACTTTCAACAATAGACACCAAGACCTTATTGTAAAGTAAAAGTCAAATGGTTTATTTCACTTAAAACATTTTGCTAGGCAGCTAGTTTCATCTGAGTTTTCTCAGTTTAAAATAATTTAATCATATGAACATTTGATTTCCCTAAATGTCAAGACTTAACACGAGATAAATGAAAAAAGAATTTAAACTTGAGCAGAACAGAAGTCTGTTTTACGATATTCAGATTGGAATTTTTGTTCAAAAATTTTTATATCTCACCAAGTTTCAGATACAAGTTGCAGAATATTTTTTCCAACTTCTCCTTGATCATCACTGTCTCCTCAGGTGTAAAGGAAAACTCTTGTTCAACGCAAGACTTGATGATACTCATTAACACGTCATACAGAAGATTTTCATCTGTGGCTGGTAAACAGGTTTGTTCAAGAATTGAATCCAAGTTTTTCAACGAACCCTGTTCCCTTATTTTTTGAGTGGCTTTTATGAATATTGTCAAAAAAGAATACTTTAGTTGCACAGAATTCTCCACGATTTCTGTATTGTTTTGAACCTTAGCAATACACTCATTTTGAAAGATCATTGTCGGCTGAAAACCCGTGTTTGGCGCCATAACCGAGGCACCATAAGTCGATATCCATAGGGCTGAAAAAATTTTAATTTTCATCTTAATCAAATTCAACATTTAATTAAAGGGAGGCTTTACATAAAAAAGTAATGCTTGAAGTATATACATTCTTTTCTAATCTAAAAAAAGTTTTTAAAATTAAAAAATATGTTGTTTTCTTTTAAACAAAATATGAAAGACAATAAGTCTGTTGAAATACTGCATGTTAATAAATAAACTAAAAATACATGTTTTAATTATTAAAAATGAAATAAAGTTTCTTTGAAAATGTTGAACTTATTCTGAATAAAACTAGATTTCTGTTTTCACAATAATTTAATCTTTAAACTTTGACATTTTGCTAGTTTTCCATTTTTTCCTTTACATACTCTATTTTTAATTAACAGATAAACATTTTAAATAAAAAACAAAATAAAAGTAAAATAAATCAATAATTTTATAAAGTGTAACAAAGTATGTTGTGAAATTTACGAAGAAAAGATAAATTATGACAGCTCATAAAAATTACAAAATTGAGTAAATAAAGTAACTGTAAAAAAATATACTTCTTTATTTATATAAAATGTAAAATCTTACAGTTTAAAAATTATTTGATTAAAAGATTAAAACTAAAGTAAATAGAGAATCTTGTTTAAAATAACGGTTTTGTATAAAGAAAAAATAGAAAAGAAATTTGTAGAGATTTAAAATATTTTTGGAAAAATGATTTTATTTTTCAAAACTTATTGTAAAGCAGAAATTTAATTTAATTCCCAAAAAACAATGTATGTATTTGTAATAAAACAGATTGTTTATTAACTTACCACAAAGCGTAAACGATAAAATTAATAACTTCATTTTTATAAACAATTCAATTTAATTAAGTGAAAATAAATAAATAATTGTATTGAATAGAATAGAACACTTAAATATGAACTAGTGTTGTCGCTAACGAATGATTTCCAACTGACGTTGCTAGAAGCTATTTTGCAATTTTATATTAAGTCACTGGGATTCTATATAGGAGCGAACAAAGGGTTATCAAAGAGATATTTATTTTTATTGTACACGTTAACTTAGTACTTAAGCTTCTTTAAAATTATTGGCCGGGAAGATTCTTCGCAGCAAATGTGAGTCACTTTTGATCAAACCACTTGATTTTAACCACAAGTATTACAGTTGATGTGGTAATTCTATATTTATTAATTGTCATGTAAGCACGATTAACATTCATTTAAGTGCTTTTCCAACTATCTTAATAGATATAAATCTTTATTTGAATAATTTCGTATTTTAATTTTCAAATACATTATATTATATAAATATAAGCTTTGAAAGCTTACAAAAATAGAATTGTATTTTAATTTTTACACCTTGCGCGAGAGAAAAAAGTTAACAAACAATTAATTACATTTTTTACTGATTAAAAATTTAAGGAAAATCTTTGATGACATAATATATTTTGCACATTTATTTTCCTTGTTATTGCTTGGAATTTATTTTTAATGATTATAGTAGAAAAAATAATTAAAACAAGTCATTAATTCCTTGCCTAATGAAATTTTAACAAACAATTTTAATTTGTATAACATTTAAAAGGTAAATTTGTTTCAAAGATTTTTAGGAGTATCATCGTAAATTTAATTGCAAAAAAGAGTTGTAAAATGGAAAAATAATTGGTTGGAAAGAAAAAAAAGTTAATTTTGCTTCCACAAAAATGACGTATTTCAGGTGTGATAGTTTTTAACTTTCAAAACTGTCACATGAAATAATTATATATTACCTATCTTCTTTATCTTACAATGGCGTCAAAATGCAAACAATACTTTACCTACAAAACTACACAGAATTCAAACGTATACAAATCGTAAACAAATTCTGGAAATATCCAAATAAATAAACAGATGACATTGATGATAAAAATTATATAGTCTAAAATGATTAACTTAATAATAATAATGATAATGCTTTTCTAATAAATGTGTTTCCTTTTTAAAAATAATTACTTTAAGTTAAAGCTGTAATAAATGTTTATTATTTATTAAAAAAGTTATTGAGCAATCTTTTTATTTATATACCTACAATAAATTTATTTCTCTTGCACTTACACCTTCTTACTCTTAACTTTTAATTGTTTTTCGATAAAGAATTTATTCCGAAAATTCTGTACATCCTCTATCAATGAAATAATATTGACTAATTTTTTTATTTTAGATAAACACAATTTTTTCTCTGAATAATATAAATCTCTGTATCCAGTAATTTTTTTAAACAAGAAGTAAATAACTTTCTGATTTGGTATTTGCCTTTGTCGTTTGATAAAAATCTGTAAATTCCAAGAACCAGTTATTCACTATTTATTTATTATTTCAAAATTTTCTACAAAATAAGTTATTTTTTATAATTTTATATCTACGTTAGTCAGCCATTAAATATTTTTTTAACAATAAAAAATATATTCAGAAATGTTATCACTAAATTATAAAACTTGGAAAATTGTCTAATATTTCATTATATTATCTATAGGTCAGGAAGGTTTGAGAGCCTAGAAACGGGAGAAAAAATTATTAACCATGCGACCTATGGACAAAGGCATCACGATTTTCTTGTAGCATATGGTGCTGACAGAAAGCCTCTGAATTTCCACCACTCAAAAATCATTTAATTTCTTCTGCAGCATCTCATAGTTGCTTATAGAAAAATTTACTTTGCATCCTCCTTAAAATCAAAATTCAATATAGAGAAGCAAGTTGATAATAATAATGAACCAAGTTATTATCCATTTGAAAATAGAAATTCCAATTCTCTTGCACGTGACACAATACAAGGTCAAGAAAAGAAAACAGTTTAGTAAACGAACGAGATAAGGGATTGGTCATGCTCCTTAAGTCATGTCAAATGTCATATCGAGTAACAATACGGAAAAAAGAATTGGAAGCCTTAGAAAGGTCGGCAGCAATCGGTAATAAATGTTTCGATTTACAAGGATGTTTTTGGCCCCAAAAAAACGGGTGAATTTGAAAAACCCCACCAGTTTGTCATTTTGTTTTTTTCAAAAAACTGTAGGGGCCAAAAGCAAGCCAAGAAAATTTAAAAAGAAAATGTTTGTAAAATATTTTTTCTGTAATTTACACCAAAAAATACATATGTATATAAAATCTTAGCTTAATTGGTCCAAGATTGTAGAAGTTTATTTTTATTTTTTTAGATTTTGTCTGGCTAAACTCGACTTTTTTCACTTCTAGCGTCTACGGAATAATAGATCAAAAACTGATCCAACGCTGATTCAAAATCAGCGATCCCAAAGACCTAAGAATAAATTATAAAACTAAAATATAAAATCAACTTTTTACTTTTAAAAGTTAAAAAGATCCTTAAAAATTTAAACAAGGTCTCTTAGATCTTGGCAGCTTGTTGCCTTTCCAAACATTGAAATTGAGGCCACCTCGAAGGCCTATTTAAATAATTATTTTGTTTGTAACGTAAAATTAAAAATTTATCGCAACATTCTTATCAGGGATAGTCACGAAATCTTCATTTCGTTTGTGTCCCATCAGAGTGTGGGGATTGGCCAATAGATCTCGCATCTACGCCAATTTCCCATATAGATCTCTCACAAGTGCAATACGGGCTAGTCTTGTAGCATATATACAAGTTCCGAATTTGCTTCCCCCGTCTAGGGCAGGTCTCCCACTACGTAGCCTTACTGATGAGTCCAAGTAGTGGGGACCGGGACGAAACGATATAAAGTGGTCTTCATACCACTCTATGGATGATATACTTTTAAATCTCCATAAGAGCAATTTAATTTAATTTAAAATTACAAAAAAATATTTTCTGAAAAATGGCAACTCGATATGTACTACTTTTTTCAAACATAACAGTCATTATCTATAAAGCCGATTATTCCAAAAATAGAATATCATTTTCGCGATAAATACCAGTAACTTGTAAGTTTCTGTTTCAGTAACATTGTAGTCAGGCTAAACTGCTGAAGAAAGTTGTGAGCATAATTAATATTTTTAAATTATATAAGTTTTTACTGACAAAGTTATTTATTAAATTGCAAACAGTTCTTTTGCATTTTGAAACAAGTAAAAGTCATCAAAGGTTTAACATGGACATTAAAGATAAATGTGCGCTCGTTACGGGTGGAGCCAGTGGAATAGGATTCAGTTGTGCTTCGGAATTATTGCGCCATGGAGCAAAGGTAAAAGTTAATAAGAATGTGTTCATATTTTAATATTCCATATTGCAATTTTTTATTATAAACAATAACAAAAATATTATTTTTTAGTGTGTGATTATCATTGATCAGAATAATGTAGCTGGACTGGAAGCAAAAGAAAAATTAAAGAATTTTGGAGATAAAAGAACAGTTTTCTTCCCTTGTGATTTAACAAATAAGGAACAGTTTTCTGGTTGGTTCAAACTTATGTACATAAAACTTTTTATATTATTTACAAATGTTAATAAAATATAAGCAGTATATACTTGATGTCAGTATTCTCTCTTTTGTGAAATTCTATGATTAAGTTTTTAAATTCTCACTTACTAGCAAGTTTTAATTTTTCAGATGTATTCAGAAAGGCAAACGAAATTTGTAAAGGTTTAGATATTGTCGTGAATAATGCTGGTATTTGTGACGAACAACATTGGGATTTAATGATTGACATCAATTTTGTAAGTCACTAAACAGATTTAATGATATTTTTGTGTGGCTGCCAAGTGGTATGCCAAAAGAAGGAAATAATATTAATTAATTAATATTTAATAAAAATATTCTACATTCAAATATGGAATACTTTTTTTAAGTTCAAATTTTTTAGTTTAAATGAATTAGATTAATGCAATCTTTTCAGAAAGCGTTAGTTCGAGGAACGTTGCTTACACTTGACTGTATGGGAAAGCACAAGGGCGGAAAGGGTGGAACTGTTGTGAATGTCGCCTCAATAGCGGGTTTAACGACGCTTGGATCTCTTCCAGTTTACTCTGGCACCAAATATGCTGTGTTTGGATTCAGTAAGGGAATTGAGGTAAGTCACTTTGCTGTTTTCGGTTACTTTTGAGCAACTATTTCTTAACCAACAGATTTTCTACAACTCCACGGGTGTACGTGTCTTAACACTCTGTCCCGGAGTGACGAAAACGAATTTGGTTGAGGAAATGAACGACAAACTTCTTGATTTTGTAGACGTGGAAGCAACTAAGAAGAGATTAGGTTCTTTGCCCTTGCAAGAGTGAGTAATTACTCTTTTTTTAATACTTCAAACATATCTTAATTTAAATTAATTTTTTAGAACTAGTGCAGTGGCTGCTGCGATGATGAAAATGATTACCACTGCCAAAAATGGTGCCACTTGGGTTATTGAAGGAGACAAACCACCGTATGAAGTTCAAATTCCACATTATTCTACTTTAAAAGTTTAGACTTAACTATATCTGTACTTTAATTCAAAATAAAATTTTCAAGTTTTCTAAACATATACTTTATGAAGATGACAAAATAAATTATACACAAGTCAAATAATTCACCACATTTTTTCGTCAATAGTCATATTGTTGCATCCAAAAAAACCATTCTTCGAATATTTTTCATTGTCATTCACAACATTTTACGGGTAAGTAATTTTTTTGTGGATTGAAGAAATCTTCCAAAGTCTGGTGATTTAAAAGGTTTAAAACGGAAAAAATATCAGTCTTTTGGTTTTTTAACCATCGCGGACTTTCTGCGAATTGTTTTGTTTGGATGATGGTTCCGAAACATTATCATTATTGCCCAAGAATTTCCACGGATCAGCGTATTTTTCAAAATGTTCGGGTTTTTCCGTTCCTTATCACGGCGAAAGTAAACACAGTCAAAGCTCCAAATCATCAAGAAAATAACTTCTTCTCCGGCATAATTCAGGAAGTCTAGTCTTCTCTCAACTATTGATAACTTGTCGAAACAAAGTGATCCTAAAGAGCGACTAACATTTCTACACCCGTGTAAGCAGTGTATCAAAGCGTAGGCAATGAGAACGACTTCGAGGTATGAAACGTTATTGGTCATTTAAAACAGTTAAACTCTTATTTTTAAAATAAACATATTTCTAAAAGAGGTCTCCTAAACAAATAAAGGCATAGAACATTTTTATATCTAAGAGAGTCGACAACGTCCGCAAAAAGCATCCTAAGGACGCGTTTTGAGCAAGTATTCTTACTGGTGGGTAGAAGAAATAAAAATAATTGCTACGTCTTTACTAATTTAAGAGAATTTTTTGTCGAGAAAATATCTAAAATTGTGAAAAACATAAGTAAGAGAAACCCAAAATTATAATCCTGAAAATATGTCCAAAGGACCGAAATCGAATCTTCCGAAATATTAACATTCTGTCGAGATTAAATAAATGTCAACATTGCATTATGCAGCAAAAGTCAGGGGCCAAGACTTTTGATCCGATTTCAGTGTTGATGACACACAAACAACGCTTTAATTATAATCCAAATGTTTCCTACGGAGAGCCAATCATAACAAGAGAGATACTATAATTATGATGGGTATTTAATTCCTCCAGTCTGCTGTTGATATTTAGTTTGAATGTCTTTCTTTATAGCAGTGAATTTTGTGCTTCCAACAATAAATTTGGAAATTTCGAATTTAGTTCAGTCAAAATGAAAGTCGTTATTAGTATATTTATTTTTGCTCTCAGTACCTGTAAGTTCCGCAACGTCACTTAGATTAAAATGGTTTTTAGGCGATTTCAGTGATGGTAAAATACAATACATTTCAGGCATATTTGAGTGCAGCTTTTCGAAAAGCATATATGCAGTAAATCACCAACCTGGAGTCACTCTCTTAAACGTGTCGGCGGTTGAACTGAGACGGAAATGCAATTTGAAGGGGGTTGAAGTTAACGACAATTTCGAGAAATTCATGAGTTCCTACCTGTCGCGGACTACTGACATTCACAGCGAAATTCCAGGCAAGATGAAAAAAGGAAATCGCACGAAAGATTACGACAATGCATTTCATGATTTTTACTACATGGATCCGAATTTGCGACGAGTAATGAAAAAACTGACCGACGTGGTGCTGTTGTGTCTGGATGAAGAAGATATCGACGAAGAGAGCAAGCAGATAATGATAAATTCTGCCTTGGAAAAAGTCAGCGTTGCTGGAAAGTACGGTACGTTTAGATTTTAGAAAAAGCACGAAATATTGCAGTGTTATAAACATGTTTATTTCGATTTTAAACTCGAATGACAAGATAAATATTTTACAAAACTCAAATGAAAAGAAAGTTTAAAATAAATGTTCACTATCAGTGCAGTTAAATGATAAATTTAAATTGTTTATTAGTAACAATTGCCATGTCAGACGGTGAGTGTTTCGATGATGCAGGATGGGCAGCATTTAGATTCTGTACAACAACCTCTGACCCCAAAGGCTCGCCTTTTATTCCACTTCCGCTTATTTACAGTCACGAGGAGTGCATGTAATTAATTCTCTTTTTTTTAAATCCCCACTTGTGTTGTTCTCTATTATCTTTCACGTCTATAGATGCGATTACAAATTGTCTTTCTTGTAAATTAAAATTTCAAATTTTTATCAAATTAACCATAACTAATTAAAGTTTATCCTTTTCTTGCGATAGAAATAATATTTTGCGTTTAACGTTTTTGCAGGAACATATTTAAGACTCAAGAGTGTTACATAAATTCGGTTAAGAATTGCAAAGAATCGACGAAAACAGCGATGCACACAACTGTTAATGGAATGAGGGACTACATAAGATGTGATGGATTCTCTCATCTCACACAGACTGCAATAATTACAGACAGTCAGTAAATTACAAATAATTGTTTTTGTACAAATTTTGAGCCGTATTTATTTTTATTTAATACTGAAAAAATTCTCAAAGTGTTTCTTGTTGTTTCAAAATTTTCTTCTGCAAGCTTTCTATGGAAAATTGAGTCTTTATTCTTGTACGAATTCTTCTTTCTGAATCTGAATAAGTAAAGTCTTGCTCGTAAGAAAATAAGCGCATATTCTCTTATTTTAAGTGTATATGCACTTTTTTGTTATGATTCAAAACTCATAAACAAGTGCATATGCACTTATTCAGGTTTTGAGAGTTGATGTTGATATGTGGAATGCTGTGAGGGTGCTGACGTGCCGATAACTTTTATCGACATTAAATTAATTCATAAGTCTGATCGGAACTGTCTGATTCATAAAGACAATGTTGTGTGAATTTTCGACCTTTGACACAAGTTTCCCTCACTGGAGATTGATATAAGAAATTTTTTATTTGCAAGATGTATGGAATATTATATGGTTTCAAGAAATGTTTATCAAACTTCCCTTACTATATCTACTTACAGAATGAATTATTCAGTGGAAATTTGTCAAGAACAAGTATATAAAGTTGATAGTTTTTATTCGCGGCCTTTCACAAGACAAAAAAAAGGTCTGCAGATTCTCTGCATTTTTACACACAACTCTCATTGACAAAAAAGCCTCACCTGGAATAGTTCAAGTCTTAACTGAAACCACTAAAGATTTCTCTAATATAGTGAAATTTGTAGCTGTTCCAGGTGAAGATTTATTTTCGAGATAAATATTTCCTTTGAGGTTCAAAGCATTTATGGGTACAACCGATGCACCCAAGTTTTTCTGTAATTTCACTGATTCCTATAACAATTTATGGTTTAAAGTTGTACGTGTGCTTTATTTCTCTTGATCCAATGAACGATGAATGAGAGTTGAAATTTGAAATAATTTAACAATTCTTTAACAAATGTCATATAGTACATCATCTCTACTTATATCACAGAATATATGTAAAGTGATTGTAAATTCCACGCAACTAACTAATTAATAAACAAACTTGAGATACTTTAGGCATTACATATCATTTTTTCACCTTGCCTATTTTTAAACGACGCTACTTTTAAAAACCAAACGTAAGCTGAAGAGAATAATAATGAGGCAAAAATTTATGTCAAATGAATAATAGTAGTAAATAAGAAAAGAGAAGTTATTGCTCAGATCCGGCAATCATGAACCACTCAAGCCGTGTTTGTCTGTATTATATTTAATAGAGGCACCTAGAATTCTTTCACAGCTAGCCACCAAGTTTATTTCTATCCCGAGTGTCGCATTCAAATCACCAAAATGCTCAACAACTTTCTTTTAACTTTAACCGTTTGTTGTAAGTTTTCATTTATTAATCATTTCGTTTTCTACAATAAATTGTGAAACATTTCTTTCAATTTTGAAAAAAGATTAAAGCACATTTAAATTGCTCTAGATTTTGCTGCGAGTATTTCAGCAGAGGTGTGGAAAACGAACAAAAATGGAAAAAGTCCTCATGTCTTTCTTGAAATGGAGTTCGATGAGTTGAATAAGGAGTGCAAAGCGAAGCAAAAGAGTGTGATTGATAAAAGAGTTTTCGAACCATATTTTAAACTCTACCAGCCAATGCAGGAAGAAATCGCGAAGAAGGTCAAAGCCGATTCAAAGGCAAACATTGACAACATAATCATGGAGGAGTGTCTCACACATCCCGAGTTGAAAAAGCAGATTGCAAATATTACCGATACATTAGAGCTTTGCTTGGCAGAGGCGGATCGTCTGGAGAAAACTGTGAAGGACAAGTTGATTCAGGAAGTCTTGGAAATCAAGTGTGCTAATTTGAAGAAAGGTACTTGCTTTATAGTTAAACATCAACAAATTTTAAAGTAATTTTAAAGTAATTTCGGTCTTGTCTTAATATTTGCCCGAGTATTTCAATTTGTCACAAAATTCCATCTCAATATACTTGATTCAAAATATAGAACTTTGTTATTAAATAAAGTGGATTAAAAAATTTACTTCAAATTTAAAACATTGCGACATTTTAAGTAATTAAATAAAATTCTTTAGCCATAATTATTCGTTCGGAGGAAAAATGTATGAAGAAATGGCCATCAGCGTGTCTTGAACATTTGATGAAAATTCAAGAACTCCTAATTCCCGTTCCTGTTAAAAACTATCGTGATGTGTGTTTGTAAGTGCATTATTCTCATATTTTCCAAAGTAATTTTCAAACTATTTTTACGATCTTTTTTATTTATTTTTTTTTCGAAGAGTATGATTCAAAAATTGACTTTGATATATTTTCTTTTTTACTTTCAGAGAAATTCAGAAACTAGATCAATGTGAAACGGCCATGAACGGGTGTAAAGAGGAAACAAGAAAAGCTTTAAAATCGCTTGTGTCTGACGAAATGGTATTCTCTGATTGTGTAAAATAAATTTTTAATTATTTTAAATAATACTTACAGTTTACAATACTTTAATAATACTTTAATAATACTTTAATATTTAATAATACTTTAATTTAATACAGTTTACGTATACTGATATTTAAAAAAAAAATAAAGTTGGCAAAGAAAATTTCTTAATACATTGTTGAATACATTTAACACATGCTTTCTCTCCTTCTGTCTTTCTTTATACATACAATGCTTATCAAAACCAAAAGCAAAAAAGAAATGAAAATTTTAATTATTCAGGGCTCAAAACAGTGAAAGCATTTAAAAATACGGACTTTACGGACCAAAAATAAAAAATTACGAACCATTTACGAACAAAAATATAACCAATCCGAGTTAAATAAGAGAACATTTTACTTAAAACTATAAATTAGATTTTTCATAACTATAAAACATGATCAAGTAATAAAATCATTATCAATTCAATTAAGTATTTAAATACAACACAATTTTATTGAATAATTGCATGTTTCTTAAAACGTAGGTGTGTGATACGAATACTAGAAATGGAATGTCTTTTGAATTGAAAAATTTAAATATTATTTTCCCACTGACCATATGTCATAGAAATCGTGCTGATTTTCATTTTCTCTCTTCAAATCACTTTTACGATGTTTAAAAGTCAAATGTCTTCAAATTTGTTGATCAGAAAGTTGTTACTAAATTACAATAAAAATTTCTTTTCATAATTTTTTTTATTAATAAATTAAGGACATTTTCGGGCAATTAAAATATTATTCACACTAATAAACTTTAATAGAAATTTTAATTAATAGCATTTTGATAAACCCATTGCAGTAGTATGAAATGGATATTTTCTAATTTATTATTAATCAAGTAATTTCAACTTATAGAAGAATTATTTAAATAACTAAACTCGTTTGACATTTTGAATATTCACTAAGCAATAAATGTATTATTTTATGTCTGTTAAATAGTATAAGATTATAAAGAAATAAATATGAAATTCCCTGAAAATGACGAATTGCAAACGTCGAATTGATTTTACGAGTAAAAGATATATTTACGGTTTAGAAGAATGAAGTAAAAGCAAAATATTTCAATATGCCAATCGCATGTAAGCGCTTCCTTTTCATCTGACATGCAGAACGAAAGTATATCTCCTCTTGTCATACCAAATCACTTGAGAAAAAGAAACTACTTATTGGCATAATTGACGTAAATAATTCAACAAGCCACTTTGTCAACGATTTTTACGCTCGTTCGAAAATCTGGAGATGATGAATGAATTCTTTTTTTGCGAATTTTTAAGCAAAACACAATCAGTTATTAATAGGATTTTGCCAAAATATGCAACATTTCTACATGCTAAATTTGGAGAAATGTTGGTTTCGAATGTATTTTTAAAACTATTTCCTTGTCCATCGATAGGTATAGAGATAGTTCGTGATCCTTAAATGTCGGCGTAGTATAAAAATGCAAATTCAACCTAGTTCTAGTCGCGCCTTCTTCATCGTGAGGCTGCAGGTGTACGTATACTTACCGCGTTGAATCCAAAACTTTGATCTCAAGTGGGTCACAAATTCAGAAGAGAAAGAGAGAGACATAAATTTTTATCGCCTATTTATTGCCAAAAATGGTTAGACTGGTATGCATTTAATTGTCATACATTTCATATCTGCAACTACTATTCCAGTGTTATTTAGAAATGTATTTTTAAGGTATTTTTTCCTAAATTTCTGGCGTCGTGGTGGGTCAAATAAGGACCCAATTATGAGTGCTTCCGATATTTCTGCGAAATGTGTTTTCAGGTCATCCTGTGAAACCCTTCTTTTAGCCAATTCGTTTGAGAATATCATCGGTTCTAAAAGTACATTATATGCGAGGAACAGGCTCAGATTTACAATTTTACGATTTAAAAATTGAAACTTTGGTTTTTGTCCGTATTAACTAATAGCTATAAAATGTGCGAAAATCAAAGGAATCTTGAAAAGAGCCGGGAGAAAGTTGCCTTTTAATTTTTACTAAAACAGATACAGCATCAGCTATAAATGGAACCTATCAGAGTTGAACTTTGAAGAACAAAATCCTAATAGAATTAAGGAGCCTTAGAGACTTTGTGGAAGAACTGGGGACAAAGGAAAACCACCAACGCCAAACAAGAGAAAGTCGTAATAAAGCAAGAAATAGCAGAGGCGAAGACAATGCAAAAAAAGCATCCCAAAATTCCCAAACTGCTTCTATACTTCAGAAGTTGGGGAAAATAAATCAGAGTAGAAGAAAGGGGAGAAAAATTTTCCGAATAAGGTATCTGCAACTAAAGTACATATCTACAAAAATTTTAATTAATTCGTGTCTTTTCTCAAAACCCAAGAATTAATTTTAATTTTTTTAGATATACTTTGGTTGAAGATGTTACTTTTATTGAATATCTAGAAACTTGAGAAAAAATAAATAAGTTTCATACAGTACATTTTTTACTTCCAAAAAGTACTAGAGAAAAACGTGCTTCTGCTTCTGAAAAAGTGCACGCAGTTTGCGAGGCGATAAGAAGCAAAAAAGGGCGAGAAGTTTCTTAAAATTGGAGTTGAAAACTTAGTGGGGATACAGTTTTCTTTTTAAAATGACCTATTTTTTCTCTCCCTAAATCAAAACGAGATTAATAGAGTTGAATTAAAGTATTAAACTCATTATTACGAAACTAAGAATCTCGAATTCCCGCCTTTGTGTGAGATTTCCCTACGAGACAATGCACTTCCTCATGCCTCTTTCATTGGATCAAGGCCGATAAATGAAAGCGTAATCTGCCTCATAAGTCGAGTGAGAACGAGGCCCGAAATCTGACTTTGCAAAGGAGAGAAAAGAAAAGTGGGCCTACGCCGGACTCGAGGGATTGGGGGAAGATTCACCGCCTCTCTGATTGGCCGTGAACTTGAAGGGGCCCATACGCATATATCTGCCTGACGCGAGCGCATCAAGTTTACTCTTTACTATTTCTCAGGCCGGAAGAACGAATCGAATCGAGAGCCAGGTGTAAACATTGTGCGGTCTCGCGCTCTGACTCCGACTTGATAAGATTTTCCGTTTAGAAGTTTATTTTTCAAATTACGCATCATGAAGTTGAGATTGTGCGCACTTTTGGGGATTTGCCTGCTGATTGGTTCTGTCATTGCGAATTCGGTCGAGGAGGAGTCGGGAATTTTGGAGTGCATTCTCAAGGCCAACAGCGCTTCCTGTGCGAGGAAGAAGATAGCGGAGGAAATCGACAAAATCGAGTTGGACGTTTCCGGAAAGAAAAGTGATGTACCAATGAGTGTGGTCCTCGAGGAGACCGGAAATTTCGTCGCAGAGACGCTGAATAATCTTTTCGGAACTGATAACGCCGAAAATGCTCAAGAGGATGATTCGGAAAGTCGAGGCATGAGTACGTTACAAAACTCCATCTATCATACTATTTCATACATTTTATGTACTATTTGAAACTGATTAAAATTTTCTTTAATTAATCCCTCACATAAACTTTTATTAAAATATAATTACGAAAATTGTTTGATAAATTTTAAAAAACTAGCAACTAAAATCACTTTTTGATATATGTAATTTAAATTAATGTATGCACAAGAATTGGAATTTTAAGCCATTTCGGGGAAAATTATGATTAACTTTCTTTTTATTTCAAAATTAGTGAATTAAAAGTCAAGAATTTTCAAATGATTAGCATTGAATATTTACAGGAAAATTTATGCATTCTGAGAAAAAGTACCCCAAAAATGTAGCTATATATTATTTATACCAAAGACATTTTTTACAATCAAAATATATTTTAGAGCCAATCAATGAATGGATTATTTTAAAATTCAAATAAAAAAGAAAATAAAATGAAAAAGCCGGTTTTTTAGGAAACTTAAAAGTTGAATTAAAAGCAAGTTGAAATACTTTCTTTTCCATGCCGTTAGTCGATCAATTAACTGGGCCGCTGAACAAGTAAAATTGGCCCTCCTGCTTGGTATGCGTCCAAATTATAAGACAACACCGTTGACATTGCATTATAATTTTTTTTCCTTCAAAAATGATGCGGAAATTTTTATAGTTTTACTTCAAAAATTCATTTTCACTTTACATCTGAGAAAAAATTTATTCGATTCAAATAATCGTCTGTTATCAAATAAATATCGAATAATTTTTATTTAATTCAAATAAATATTTTAATAAATCAAATATTTTATTTAAAGATTTTAATTAGCTCATATAAATTATATTTGAATCAATAATTTCAGTATTTGAAGCAAATATCATTTAATTGATTCAAATAAAAATTATTTGATACAAATAAATATTTATTTGATAATAGACAAGTAATCTTTTATTTAAATCAAATGAATTGTTTTCAATGTAATGTAATAATGGCATATTGGATCCCTAAAGAAACCCTTTAGAATTTCTGTCTGACCATAAAATGTCACACCTCCTTCAGTCATTTCAAGCAGGGGGTAATACTTGTATAACATTACCTGTCATTAAATATTTACTTGAATCAAATAATTTTTATTTAAAGCAATTAAATGGCATTTGCGTCAAATATTGCAATTATTGGTTCGAATACCATTTAATTGATTTAAATAAAAATTATTTGATTCAAGTAAATATTTAATTGATAATAGATAATAAGTAATGGATTATTAGAACAGAGTCCTTTAAATTGAAATTTTTTTAAATAATCCTAAATTTTTGAATATAAAAGGAAAAAGTTTGGTACGCATGTGAATTTTTATTTGGAGATTAGAGAAAAATGAAGCCCATTTATACAATTTTGAATAGATTTTAAAGGGAAAAATGAACTTTTCAAAACTTTTTTGTCGCATTTATTCATCCTAGAAAATTGAAATTAGTAGATTTGAGAAATTTGAGTATCACTTAGAGAAAGTTGAAGAAATATCAAGGGTTATTTATAAGCAATTAAATAAAACATTAGTTAGATAATAAATTAAAATTAAAAAAGATGGTTGATTTTTAGCTCGTTATCTTACTTTTTAATTAGACTTAATTGTTGTGGTTTTTCTTACTTTTCTTTGCAATAATTTATAAAATATTTCAAAACTTGAAAATGAAAACTGTATAAGCTATTCATCTACCGCGTTAATTAGCGTTAATAAACTTTCTTCTGTGATATGAAAACGTTTGTCATCGCACTACGTGTTGGTATAGTCAGTCGAATAAATTATCAGAAGATTATAAATTTTGTGATTTTATCGTCAACTTAACAGGGACTTAATTAATAAACATGTCAATGAATTCAGTTATCTGATCTTTTAATTAAATGACATTGTAAGTATTTTGTGAAAAATAATCGATTTTCAAAGAAATGGATTGCTTCAGCTATAAAAAATAGTGTAATTATTGATTGGTTAAACAATCAACTATTCTCCCGCATAAAGTACGCTGTTTATATGGTGGAGATGAACTATTTTTAAAATAGCAATTCATTTTATACTTTCTTGAATAATGTCTTGATAGATTTCGCAATAAAATTTCTCTGCATAATGAATTTCTAGTCGTGTATAATGTCTCGATAAATAATACTTCTTTTCTAAAATTAATCAATCCAGGTGTATTTCTTTGGGACCGCATATAAAATTTTGGAAAGTCAATGAATCTTTTTTTAAATAATAATGGAATGCAGTCACGTAAAAGTATCTAAAGTAGGTGAAGATTCTTGAGTGAAATTTTATTTGGTATTGCTATCGAATAATGTATATATACGTTGGTGTCGTATTCAAATTGTGTTTTCATGTCACATGCGGTTTAATGTATTTGAATAGGTCACTACAAATTCGCATAACGGTTATAACAACTTTTGTTCGTTCAACATTTTTTTCTTAATATCTAGCCGAACAGAATAAGCTCTTAAAAATTCCGCAAAAAAACCTGCATTTTAAAATTTAAACAATACAAATCTGTAGTTTTATTTCTGTTTTGTGCTAAACTAAAATGAATGCATTCATTTCAGTTCCTAGGTTAGAAATAGAAATATTTTTCCAATTTTGCCATTTCAGCTCAAATTCTTATTTTTAATATTTTCGCTTTTATACTGTCGAGAAATTCTTTTACTATTTTGGGCCTTACATTATTTTAATTCAATTGAAGCTTCCCCTAGGTATCGGGTTAAACGTGTGACGAATGTAGATCTGACTAATATAAAAAGAACAGTAAGCTTCGGGCCATACGTGGAATATCTTTTGTGTTACTTATAAACTTGTATTTTTACTTTCTCGCTTTATACATTATTATTAAATGTGTAATAAAATTATTAAAATGTAATTTTTATTATATATTAATAATATTATGAAATATTGGGAACAGTTGATAATAAAACCTAATTAGAGTATTTGCTATAATAATTTTGCGGTTTTATGAATGGAGATTGACATTGATTTTGAGTCAATCGCGAGTTAAAAAACGAGTTACGTCAGTAGTGGGAAAAATGAGAAAATAACACCTATTGCTGCTCCTATCGTCTCGTCAAGTAGACTCAGAATGAAAGTATATATTTAACCAATATTTACTTTCTTATTTCTTGCGTAAAGAAAACTATCACTGCATAATGTTCAGTACTTAAATACATTAAATAATCTTCACTGCATGGGAAATTGCTATTTATTTTTCAAGTACATTTGTAGCCAAAATTTATCATTTTATTTTAACAAAGAAAATAAATCATTTTTATAGATTGTCATAAATTTCAAAAATACATAGATGAGAATTTTATTTTATTTTTATAATGACTGAACAATTGACTAGCATATAATAAGTTATAGGTTATTATTATAAAGTTTTATATTAATTGAAATTAGTATTCAACTACAGAACAATACTAATTAGCGCAAAGTAAGTCTATAATTTTTGTAAAAAGATTCTGCACAAATCTGCATTGATCTAATACTAAAGAAATTCCGCATTATTCTCCTCGTAACAGAAGTTGGATTTAGGCATTGAATTTTTCAGTTAATCATAAAGTAACTGAGTTACAGTCTTCTTTAAAATTTCGTCTAATTAAAGAATAATAAAAAAGGAAATTAACTGCTGAAAACTAGACGTAAATGGACTCGAAGTGGATAGTTGAGTGGACGCTACAACGAATTTCATCTCGTTGATGACGAAGATGCGCGGAAGTATAAAAATGAGCGTGTCTTGTTCCATTTTCCGAAAGTCCATTCGGTACACTTACTCCTTATTCCATAATAAAATGCAACAAAGTAAGTCGACGAACGAAAAGTGACGGGGAAGGTACTTTACGACTCATAAGTTCTCCCGGCCAGCTGTACGCACAAGTTCTAGGTCATTGAAAATTACTCCATAAAAGTTCACAACGTTTTTTCTCTTATTCTTAAATATTCATTAGCAATTGTTTATATATTCAAATCTATTAATCTCTCAAAAGAATTAGCACTTGGTGCTGTAGGAAACAACTTTTTAGACAAGAAACGCGGACTTGATTTACTCGCCATCCTCCCACTCGGTATTAGATGTAAAACGAGTTTCCTACCAACATTTTTTTGACTACTCGAAAACTATCAGTAAAAATTATTTGTACATTTCGTCCTGTAATATAAAGTCTGAAAGTGTGTTATGTGTCAAGATTAGCATAATTTTCGGTAAAACTTTCTACCTGGGAAAATTTGTTTTAATATGCATTACACGTATATCTTAATTTTATTGAGTGAGTTCACACAATTCATGTGGAGGTGATGAATAACTCAATAACATTGAACTGAGTGAATTATCTTCAAGTCTATTAAATTAATTTTACGGTGCAGTTATTATTTACTATACAATAGAAATGAGAATATATTTTCCAGTGGCCTTTGACTTCTGAACGGGGCATTCCTCGGCAATGAATATTTATGAAAAATTCTCTTTAAATAAGTGGATTAAGAGGGTGACTTTCGCTTAATCTTGGTATAAGCGAAATTCAAAAACATGTCGATTTCTATTGACTCGATTCTTTTAATTACAACCAGGTTTGTAACAAGAGTTACACTGGTAATTTTATTGTATTTAGAAATATTATTGGGAGGAATACTCGAGGATCCTACTTTCATTGTCGCCCTTACTTCCACTCGTAATTGTTCGACCTCCGACACCGCTTTCGCATTCTTTCAGGGGTCGAGGTTATCGGCAACTCTTAACCGTATTTTATCTTCCCGTCTCTTTCTACCGTCAGCTTGGATTTATATTTACCTTCATCTTAGTGTTAGGCACTGTTTTTTGAGACATTCTTGTCTTTTTTTGAGGACCAACCTTCACTTTCTGCGGATTAAATGATTAAAAAATTTAAATTACACGACTAATTAAATAATGAAATTTTAAAGGAAAAAGAGTGAAATTAAGAATGAAGTTTGAAAAGAATAAGTTTCTAAAATTGGTTGTCGATTGCTAGCTCTAGAAATAATATTTTTTTTCCTTTATGTACGATGAAGAAACGACGAATGATGCTATAAAATAACACTGAATTTTATTTTCAGATGAGGGTCGCAAAAACAAACTTTTGAAGAAAAAGAAGAAACACTTTATGAAGCTGATTCCCTTGGCTTTGCTTTTAAAGTCGAAACTGAGTTTCCTGCTGCAGCTGATTTCGACACACTTGAGCATTAAATTTTTCATTGTCGCCGTTATCGGTCTAATGATCAACATTGCTCGCTTCTGGTTGGACCTGAAGAAAAGTCACCACCCTTCCAAAGTGATATATTACGAGCATGCTCAGCATCAGCATCACTACGATCACGAAGACGAACACGGAGGATATTGGGGCAGATCGATCGACGAAGCCGGACAAGATGCCGGACAGAATCTTGCCTACAAAGCTTATGCGCCCGAGTATGCGCCTGCACACTGACTTCCCACTTTACTCAGCGGACGTCAGTTTCACTTTAGTTGACAAAAGATTTATCGAAAAAAAGAGATTCCGGTATTGAGGTCATGGTATTTAATCGGACGTGTTCCTACAGCACGTGACCACTGAATAAAATGTCCATTTAAAAATTATTTTTTAAATTACATCAACATATTTTTGACACAATTTGTTGATAATCTAAATGACTACTTTCTGACATTTGTATATTTAAAATCAAAAAATCGCGATCCACCGTTTAATAGCTAGAAATTTACTTCATTTTTAAAATGAATTTAACTAATTTAGAAAAATAGTAGGTAAATATTTTTCTAAATATTCTCAACACCATTTTTATTTTTACTATTTATTTATTTATTTATTTATTTTATTTTAGATTACAAGCTCGAGAGAATTTTTAGAAAAATTGAAATTTTAAAACAGTTATTATATTATTTACTCTTCTTGACCATGACGAATAAGTTAAAATTTATACTTTCTTATGCAGTGACTTTTGTAAAATTTACAATAAAAAACAGTTATTTTTTTTAATAACAATAGAGATATTGCAGAAGAAAAGATAAATTTATGAATAGTTTTGCAATAGGTAGAATGGAGAAAAAACTTTATTCCGTTACTATTTAATTACACATATTAATCATTTACAGAGAAAAGCAATCATTTTTATAATTATTGAACTGTTAACATTTAGTTGAATTTTATTTAATTTTTTAAATTTATTTATTTATTTAATTTCAAGTTGTAAAATAAATCTTATGTGTTTTCAAATAATTCATTTATCTCGCACATGTATTTAAAAAAAACTCTAAAATGTACTTTAGTCAGGCATTAATTTAAGAATTTTAGAATATTTCCTTTTTTTATTGAAAGGTATTTAAATTCAACATTCAAACCAAAGGGTATTTTTGTTTTGTCTGTATAAAATAGTAACGAGAAGCCATAAAAGAATATTTAAGTTATAGAAAATTATTTTGTTAAGGACAAAGTATTTATTTGCCTCGAGATTGTGTCGTGTGTAGCTAATTTATATTTATTCCTTTTTATACAAAATCTGTAAATACTTTGACTTTAATAAAATTATATCTGCCTAGAGAATACAATATTCCCATATTTTTAATTATTCCGAAGTTAATAACAACAGTAAGAAAATTTCCAAATTAAGTTGATAAAGACACAAATTTATAAATGACATGTATGTATATTGAATGATAAGAAGAAAAAGTTTATTTATAAGAAAATCACAATAAAATACCTCCTTCGACAATATTCCTTCTTAATTTTTCTGTTTTTGATTCCCGTTTTTAATATTTGTTCAATAATAGTCTGAACCTGAAAAATTAATTATCTTCAATCTCACTGCACTTGACGTGTAAAATTACTTAAAATTATTAATTAATTTTGTTTGAAACTCACAACAAACTTACTCATTATAAATTGCAGCACAAATATTTGTAACAAACTCCCTAAGGATTTCGGCTTTCTTTTCATCATCAAAAGCTATTTTTAAGCAAACTTGCACATTGTCAGTTAGGTTTTGTGACAAAAATTTTATATTTTTATCCACGTCACAAAATTGATTAACTAAAGAGTTCAATTCATTTTCTGAGCAATTATTTCTTAATTGCTGTCGTATTGTAAAACCAACTTTATCATTTTCATTAAGTAAAACTTGTCTTGCTATTAATACATCATTCGCTTCTTTAGGATCACATTTTATTAAAATTGAATCTGCATTAAATCCAAATTGTCGTTTAAATATAAAATCCACTGGGGTTTCACAATAAGTTTTCCCCAAAATATCTGAAAAAATTAATCAACATTTTTAAATCAAATTAAAAAAAGGTAAAAATTAATTTTTCTAAATTTCGGTACTTTCACAATGTATGTTGTATGTATGATCAATATTTAAATTCTCCTTATATAATTATTAATTAATTAAAATATATGCAAGAAAGAATAATTTTAATATAAAAACTTACTGGCAAAAAGTAAAATAAGCAGCAAATACATTTTCTTTAAACTCTGTTACAAGTTGAAAATAACTGACAAACATTAGGATTTCTTTATGCTAATAAAAAATCACAATAAAAAACAAGTCATAGCTTCCGCGAATCATTGATTTCAAAACTTTTAAAAACAAGTTTTCTTGTACTTTTTAATAATTGGAAAGTATTAAAAATCGTTGCAGATTAAATTAACACCAAAAAAATTTAAATAATCCATTTTTGTGTTATTTTTTACTACGAATGAAATTTCACTGCGTCACGTAAAATAATAAGTGTCGAAAAGTTACATGTGAAATAAAATTCCACTACTGGATAAAGATAAGAAAACGTATGGTATTTCACTAGAAAGCCATTAAAAAAATCACTTTCATTGAGAAGTGCAATATAAATTTATTTTTTCGTATAATTCTTTGAACAATGTTGAATTGCGCAAAAATTCTCTTTGGAAAACACTTGGCCACATTCATTCGTCAGAAATAATAAGATTTTAAGTTTACTGTCCATTTTTTCGCATTGTCAACAACATAGTTAGATAGGAAAAAGACGTCTGGATACACTGAAAAGTAATTAACATATTGCATTTAAATTTTAAAGGCATCAGTTTCTGATTGAGTAGACATTCAAACATTTGTACTGACCGAAGTGTAAAATTCTAACGATAATACAAAAAGTTTTCCAGCTTGTAGTTTACAAGATCGACCACTTCTGACCATCATTAACATTAACTGCTTCTGATTCTTAACTGACATATTATACCACAATGAATCGAAACTAAAAGAAAATATAATAATGTGACTTTACAAAAGCTTCAAAAAAGCATTTCACATTTTAACAACTAATGAATTTTTATATTTACACAGAATTGACTGCATCTATACTATAATTTTGTAACTTTTCTCCTGGAATGCAGCTGTATAACATCAATATCAATAGTGTAAGGGTAAAACTACAGAATAGCATACATTCATCTAATTTGTCCAGTTTTAGAATAATCTAAAAAAATGTCAAATATTTGTCAAAACTTTCTTTAATATTTAACGTTAAAAAACAGAAGCAAATAGGTGTATTGTGAACATGTAATGATCAAACAGTCACATGTTCACAAAGACACAAACATTTAAACATTTTAATAAACCAAAAAACGTGCCGGATACTGCTCAAATAAAAAATTATACGCTAATTACCATATATCCGGTTATACTCAAGGACACTATATTTATTGATATCTGCAGTAGTAACGAATTTGAAAAAGCATCATCGAGTGTATTTGCAAATCTTCCTTAAACAGAACTTAATTAATTACAACAAATCGCTTATGTAATTTATACTCTTTTGTAAATTTTCAATCTATTAAAGATTTCATCTTTTTCAATAGGTAGTAAGACAGTTGGGAATCACTCACTCAATATTTCTTTGATGAAGGGTAATGCAATTCATTGTCACATTTACAATTCTATCTTTCTCTTCTAACGAATCTTCTATTTCAAGATTACATTTGTTGTTCTGAATAATATTCTCAAGGCGGTGTCTGAAGATCAAATGGATTAAAAAAGTAAATTTGCAGAAAATAAAAATAGAAAAATAGAAAAATTAAAAATTAAAATGCAATAAAATTAAATTTTACCTAAGAATTGTAAACATACCACAAACATGTTCAGTTAATACAGCATACATCGTATCAACTGATAACATTGTTGTAATGTTTATAAATGACGCTATATACTCATGCAACAACATGTGAAAATAATAGTTTTCTTCGTTGAGAAAATAATTTGACCTATAAGTTCTTATTAAGGGTCTAGTTTCATTCAGAGGGCGAACAATGTTTAAAAGTTTTGGAGAAGCGCCGTTCACGAAATATACAACCAAATTGCAGTACAGATAAACTGAAGATAAGAGATCAATTTTTACATTTATTCAATTTACAACGGAAGAATTACTTACCTTCATATATTATGGTTAAATTTCTGCCCCTTCTAGAGAATTGTTTTAATATAAAATACTCTGTATCAGTCAATAAGGACCAATCTGATTTTACTTGTTCCAAAAGATGCTTCATCTGTCAATAAAAGCTTATAAAGCTCTTAGTATACAACGCATATTGTACATATTCTCCTTCCTTGTAGAAAATTATATAAAATAATAAGTAAAAACTTACTCGATTTGAATTTAGTAAACAATTAAAGAATCTTGCACCGCTGGCAACTCCAGTGAGCATAGGTGCAATCAGTTTTATTTTATCATCAAGCTCATCACAAGTTAGAATACCAATGAACTGTATAAACGTGAGGCAATATATTTTAAATTTATTTTACATTATATTCAATTAGTGATTTACTTTCATTTACCATTGTTAAAATCATCGTTATATTCATAAATGTGCAGAAAAGACAAATAAATATTCTCCATGTCATAGACTGATATGGCCAGAGACCAGTTGCTGACATAAAGAACTTGTTGAGACTGTAGTCAGCTTGAGCAAAAAAACTCATGGCTTAAACTAAAGAGATTAACTAAACATTTAATTCTATGAAATTTGTAAGAAAGACAAAAAGAGGGTAATGAAATTACTAAAAAGAACCTTCCTTTTGATGACTTTAATTATTCACATTCATAGAAAGTATTCAAGTGGTCTTTCTCTAAGAACTCTTGAATTAAACCCTTTCTTTTTAATTTTCTAAATCAGATATGTCCTTTTCCCTTTAATTGAATTGCCTTACTTATTTATTCCAGGAAGAAACTGAAATATTAATAAACCTAAAGGTATACTTTGTATGTAACTCTTCTGTGAATTTAAGAATGTTGCGTGTACAAAGTGGTTAGGAGGAGAGGCGAAGAACCTATAGTACTGTATCGATTAAACTCATTCAATTCTGAAATGTCGAAGAGAAAAGAACTCTTGTCATTACTTTAAGGTGACACTGTAAAAAATTAATTTCAATATTAATAAATATTAATAAATTTTATTTATTAGATGATACTAATTCTTGGAATTGCATCAAGTGAATTTAATAATAATACTTCCTGCTAACTTTCTGCAAAATCTTATGCTATTTTGAAAACGGTCTGTTTTTTTCTGAGAATAAATTAAAAGGAATAAAATATTTTATATATTACAATTATCAAGCAAAGATGATTCAGACTTAAACGTAATTATTTTATTTAATGTATTCTACAATCTTTCTACTTTTACTCTTAAACTTACTTTTAATTATACATATGTGTGCGTTCTTGACAATGCATTTTTTAAATTGCAATAAAATTTCAGATTTATTTTCTTTTCTGTATTGTCACGAGCATTGCAAAGTATGAAAAAGACGTCTGAAGACACTACGAAATTAAATAAATTCATAACACTTACAATCAAAATAATAGTAACATTAATAATTCAGAAAAAACTAATAATCTTCTAACCATTCCAAAAGATAAATTTAAGATTATGAACATCACGTGCTTCACTGTTGGAGCATGTGACATGACTAATCCGTAATATTTACTTCATATAATTTAAAATATTGTATGATTAATTTCTAATTCATTACCGAAGTATAAAACTGCAAGGACAAAACAAAAAATTTTCCAGCCTGGAGTTTACAAGATTTTTTGCTTCTAACCATCATCAGCATTAGCTGTTTTTGGTTGCTCACTGGCAAGTTGTACCATAAGGAATCAAAGCTAAAAAAATAATCAACAGTAATTTAGATGGAAACAAATGTTCAAAACTGTACTTTTAGGCTGTTTGAAAATTGTTTACACAGAATTTACTGCATCTTGACTGTAAGTTTGTAGCTTTTCCCCAGGAATACAGCTATACAAAAGTATCAATAATTGCACCAGTGTGTAAGTGCTGAATTGCAAGCATTCATCCAATTTGTTTAGTTTCATCAATATCTAAAATTTTTAGAATACTCTAATGTATATAACTAAACTACTATATAATTAATTTTAGTGTACTGTGCAGTACTTATTTTGTAGTGTCTAAATTATCAATTTATTTTTGGAATTTCTATTGTAACACTCCATCCATGCATAAAAAAATCAAATAAAAAAATGAAAGCTACTTTTAATAAAATTGGGAGCTGTTACCAAATAGCCTGTCATGCTTAGCGACACTACGCACACTGATGTTTGCAAAAATAGACCAATTGAAAAGGCACTATTAAGAGTGTTTGCATATCTATTAAATTTTTGAGAAATTCAATTCATGGCCATTTCATGACATTTAAAATCTATGGTTCTTAACGAAATTTAGCAATACTTACTCAATGTTCCGTTGGTGAAGAGAAATGCAATTTATTGTCTTATTAAGAATTCTATCACTTTCTGCTATACAAAATCTGTTCATCACTTTAGAACTACTTTCATTATTGCGCGTTATATTCTTGAGCCGATATCTGAAAATTAAAATCTTGCAATGTGTCGCCTTTCAAACAAGGTATAGTTGAATTTAAATAGGACTTAAATTTACCTTAGAATTTCAAACATTCCACAAACGTGTTCAGTGAGGACTGCATATGTAGTATCTACTGTTAAAATTGTAGTAATGTTTATAAATGTTGTAACATATTCGTGTAGTAATATTTGAAAATAATATTTCTCTTCGGCAACAAAGTACTTTGATTTGTAAGTTCGAATTACATGTCTTGTTTCATTTAAGGGATAAATAATGTTTAAAATAATTGGAGCAACTCCATTCACAGAATATACAGCCAAGTTTCCATACATGTACACTATCAAAAGTTGGAATTATTAATTATTTTAAACAAAGGACTAAAAATGTTAAATGTTTTAAAATAAAAATTTTTAACTGAGAAGGATCTGTACCTTCATATAGTAATGTTAAAAATCTCCCTCTTTTGGAAAATTGTTTTAATATGCAGAATTCTTCGGCTGATATTAATGACCAGTCTGATTGTATTTGATCCAAAAGACACTTTATCTAAAAGATACGTACAATATGATTTTAATTAATCATACTCATATAAGAGTGTTCAAAGACCAAATTTTGACCACAATAATATTGTAATAGTTAATCTGAAATGCGTACCCGCTTTGAGTTAAATAAGCAATTAAAAAATCTAGCACCGCACGATATTCCTGTCAGAACGGGTGCGACTAATTTAATGGAGTCCTCGAGGCCATCACACGTTATTGCCCCAGAAATCTTTTAATACATAAACATAAAAAAATAGGTTTTAATAAATATACTGTTCTTTATAGTTTACAAATAATTTGTAACTCATGATAAATATAATTATGTAAACAATTAAATTCAAAAATGAAGCTTAAATAAATTGAAAATGTATTTTTTGTTCCATCTACCATTGTAAGAACCATAGTTACGTTCATAAAAGTACAAAAAGAAGAAATAAAAATTCTTTGTCCCTTAGACTGATATGGCCACAGTCCAATTGCTGACATGAAAAATTTGTTTATCCTATAATCTGTTCTATCAAAGAAGTTCATGGTTCTAAGAATAACTAGACTGACTGAACATGGAATAAAAGAAACCAGCAGTAACAGAAGCTCTTATTAATTCATTTCTAATAAAAGGATTTCGCTCAATATTTTTCGCAAACCCTCTCAAAGTTTTCTTCGACAAACCCTCAATTAAAAGGCACTAGTAATAATTAAATGCTACCGTTTCTTTATAATTGACTCGACTGATGTACACTATCCGAAGAATAAAGTGAAATATTGATGAACTTTTCATTTAAGTGTTGCGTGCGTGAAGAGCTTTTAAACCAAGCAAATCCTTACAGTTTATTGATTACAGTCATTCGGACTTTAAACGTCTAAGAGGAAACAACTCTAATACAATTCATTTTAGTTATTAGTAGAATAAATTTTGCGCACTGTTCTTATATAGTATTGTAAAGTCCTTTTCCTATTTTCTCTATTTTTCTTTTTACCGTTTGAATATATACTGTGCAATTTATTACACTCAATTACACACTCGACTCTTATTAATTTTTTATTTCACTTTTATTTGAATTATCATTTCAACGCGCTACTTTATTCAATATCTTTATATTTTTGATTATTTATTAATTATTGTGTTTTAGAAATACTTTTTGTTTTTATTTCATTATGAAACAGACATTTGAATTAAAAATTTGTGATTCTCTATTGATCGCGAGTTTTTGATAATTGAATTATAAAAATTTGTATAATGTTTTCGCGCGTACAACACTACTAACTTGATTAAAAATTCCAGTTATATAATTCTATTAGTGGTTTTTTATTACGTCTTCTATAGCAATCATGTTTTATTATCTTTAGACAGAATAATTATATCTACAAAATTGATGATAAATAATGTTTCCTTGACTCTTTGTAAGGTCAGATAACTATCAAACATTTTAATAATTCTGATGCACTATTTAAACTTTTAAAATCTACAAAGGATGAGTAGTTTTCTTAACACCTCTGAACGAGGAGTGCGTATTTATCATCTCACAGTGTAAAGTAATAGGAAAGGAAAAATTATGAAGACTTATTATTTTATCCTTTTAATGGTAGTAACATTTGGTAAGTATCATACGAAAGTATTGATTTAAAATTTTCTCTCTTTGGGACCAGTTCTGTCTAAATAATACTTTACAGGCTACGTGCAGGATGCTGTGGCGATGTCAATGGCAGATCCGATTACAGTGGCAATGATGAATAGTTTGGCACAAGATGAAATTCCTACAGAGTCGATGTGCCCAGACAATTACAAAGCAATTGCACAAATAAAAGTTCAGGCTGTGCGTTCACAAATGGCCTTGTCACCTGTATTGATAGGAAAATTGCCAGACCCCCATTCAGCTGTCGGAATAGAAGACCTCCTTGTAGAGCACTGCCAGAAGAACGAGGATATTAAAAAAATTGGAGAAAGTCTTTCTGAGAACGTTCAAAAATGCTTAACTGGCAAAAGCAATATAAGCAGTGACAAACTAGAAAAACTGAAAACTGATTCTGTCACCATAACTTGTGCTGGGGCAAGTTCTATGTAAGTCATGCAATTTCAATTTTAAACGTACTAATCCTCTTCTTAGTAATTAAACAGTAACTTTTTGTAATTGTTAAATAATCTAAAATTTTTTTAGGGTTTCATGGGATATTATGAATAGAAACATAGCGGAAGGAAGAACCCCAGATGGAAAGTTACCGTAAAGATTTAAAGCAAATTTCATTCACTCTTATTAATAAATCAAATAGTGATTTAGGATCTTTAGGACACTATAAAGAGATTGATTTTAATAAAGTAATTTTTCTCAAAATGGAAAATTCGTTTTTTACAAATTACCAATTTAAATTATGATTTCCGAAGATTATAAATAAAGCATTTGAAACAAAATAAAGCAGTTATTAATTATTCTGCTTGTAAGAACGTGTTTCTATGAGTGTGATCGAAAACACTTGAGAATTCGTCATAACGTCGACGTTCTGTAATAAAGAAGGGAGAATTTTTAAGTGTGAGTGGGAAGAATGAGCCCGGTTCCCGCGAAAAGGCAGTTTTGAGCGTCGGTGTGGTCAAGGAACTCGTCCCCGTCAAAGTAAAAGGGTGACGGAGTTTCAAAAAATTTTATTAATTGTCAAGGCGCTATTCGCATTGGGAAAAAATATTTATTGCTAAGCCCGATTGGGGTAAGTAGTTATCGACTACTTTTATTTTTCTTTTTTGTTATCAATTGTGAATTAACGTGTAAAAATAATTTGATGTAGCGGTTGGTGAACAACCAAATTTATCACCGAGCATAATTTTCCGTCTCGAGGCGAGTTTATAATGCGGTGAGTTTCCGTTCCCATATTTTAAATCAATTGACCACACTTGTTATATTTTTCTTGTAATTTGTAAAAAGTCGCAATTTGTCAACCTAGAACCCGAATGAATGTGTATGTGAATGAAAAGAGAATAAATTTCGAATCTGATCAGATTGTTAAGACTAATTAAGTTAAATTCTTACTGAATGTGTGAAAAGTTTTAATTGTATTAGAGATATCCAGAGTTGCTTTGTTATTTATTCATTTAAAATACATATATTTCAGTAATTTTCACAAAAAATTGATTCTCTTATTTATTTTACTTTTAAATTTGTTACATGCTCCTGCACAATATTATTGAAAACCCAAGAATGCCTACTGTTTGGGAGTGGGTGAAACATACTTATAAATAAGCGACATGTAATGACATAACGTCCTATCTATATGCAAGGATAAATTAATTTGTATCGCAACACAGATAATTCCCAGTCTACAGAGAACATCACAAGCCTAAGGAATTGAAATGGCAAATCTCGTAAAAATCGAACAGGGCTCTTTAAAGGGTGCGATTGTTGACAGTGAGTTTGGGCAATTTATCACATTCAGTGGAATCCCATACGCCGAACCACCTGTTGGGAATCTAAGATTCAAGGTAATGCTTTTTCCTCTTTTTAATTTTTATTTTATGAAAGTAGCGAATTAATTGCCTCCAGTTTGACTACTTTTTACGGATCCTAATTTTCGAACAATATTTCTTTTTTTAATTTTATTAATTTTCAAAGACAAAATTTATCTGTACAAATTATTGGACTTTCTGTTATTTACGTAATTATTTCCACAAGTCGAGAGTTTTAATTATAGAACTGATTACACAAGATATTGCAAATAAAAAAGAAGCTCATATCTTTTATAATAAGACTCAGTTTACGCAGATTGTCTTAGCATATAATAATATAAAAGAGCAAAGCTTCACTTTGCAACATAATAATTAAATATTATAGGTGCAAAAAAGAAATATTGATCTCAATACGAGCAACCTGCTTGTATACTTATTTTATCTCTAACATCTGAAATAATAATACAATAATATTTCTTATCGCATCTCGACGTTGTTTCAGAATGCAATATTTTTCGCAATATGTACCTAACCGTGTGATTTACTCAGCACCATTTGGCAACATTTATGGATTTTTCGAACACAAACTTATTCATTTCTTATATTAACAATTTTATATGCATAATTTTTTAGTTTAAAAAAAAATATATCTTTTTGTATTCTTGCTTTTGCTACAATAATATTATCACAGATATTTATTGTTAGTGTTCACATTACCTATTCTATTTATATTCTTATTATTTGCAAGCATATTATTTTTTATTTTATATTCACGAATATAACAATTTTAAAATTGTCATTTTCTATATTCATACTATAAATTTTGAATTGCACTTACCTGGTTTATTTCTATTTGTTGACAATAAAATATTTTAAAATATATAATTAAAGGTATTATTATTCAAATAGATACCAAGTAATTAATTCAAGTAATAATTATTTAATTCTATAAATATTTATTGAATGGTAGATAAGTAACCGGTTACTTAATTCGAATAATTTTCTTGAGCCTAGTTCTTTTAGTTGGAAAAAATTAAAATAAACCTTTTTACTAAAAAGATAGTATAAAGTATCAAAAAGTTTAAAACAATGTTTTAATTTTTAATTTTTTCTCTGCCAATACTTTCCAAGCATGTCTCATATTCTACTTAGAACTAACAAGCCCTAATAAAAGAACATTTATAATGACGTTTTCTTTTTTACATTAAATTTTAAATTGCGTTCAAACTAAGGATCCTCAACCTCCAAAACTTTGGGAAGGTGTTAGAGATGCAACGAAGGAAGGAAGCGTTGCGCCTCAGTTTGGGCCTCCAATCAGTGAATTTATCGGCCAAGATGATTGTCTTTACCTCAACGTATCGACAAATAATTTAAGAGGAAAGAAAGCCGTTATGGTGTGGATCCACGGCGGAGGATTTACCAACGGTTCCGGAAATGCCGAGTTTTATAGACCTGACTATTTTATGCAACACGATGTTGTGTTTGTCTCCATCAACTACAGGCTAGGAATGCTGGGTAAGTTCTTCCCATTTCGTAGTATTAACATGAAATTAGTTTACTAATTAAACTATGTTACAATCCCCATACTTAGGATTCTTGAACATGGACATAGAAAATTGTTCAGGAAATCAAGGACTGAAGGATCAAGTAATGGCCTTGAGATGGGTCCAGAAAAATATTGAAGCCTTTGGTGGTGATAAAAGTAATGTGACAATTTTTGGAGAAAGTGCAGGATCGGCTTCCGTCCATTACCTTTGCATTTCTCCTTTAGCCAAAGGTAATCTACTTACAAACGGTTTATCTGAACTCTTCAGTATTTACGTTTAATTACTACTTATTGCGGGTCTAACAAAAATTATTTACGCTTTGTTATACGGTTTGGTATTATTTTTGATCATCGAGTTTAGAATAGTTTTGAAATAAATGATCAATAAAGTCTACCTGGCAGAGCAAAATTCTCTTTAAAGTCGAATTCAGCAAAATAACGGAGTCTTAATTTATGGAAATTTTTGTAGGTTTATTTCACAAAGCGATTGCTCAAAGTGGAGTGGGTATCAATCCCTGGGCATTTCAGAATTCCAATAAAGAGAATGCGATGAAAGTTACCGCCGAATTGGGCTGCGCGTCTTCAAACAAGGAAGAGATTGCAGAATTCCTCCGCTCTGTACCTGTTGAAAAGATCCTTGTTACGCAAAACAAAGTTTTCGACGAAGTAAGTTAATTAATCTAACATGACTACTAATTTTTGTAACTATTAATTACTCATTCGCAGTCTCCATTTAAACTGGAGTTTCATTTCGTTCCCACCGTGGACAATAAATGCCCTGATCCATTCCTGCCCAAACCGCTGTCGGAAATGATTGAAAACGGAGTTGACGTTCCTTTAATTATTGGCTATACCTCTGATGAAGGGATAATTGCACTAGGTACATTTTTGGATTGTACTTACTAAAAATGTAATACGTGAAAATTAGCTAATTATTCTTAACGTCTATAATACAGGTAGTTCTTCATCTACTATTGAGGAAAGAATCAAGAAATTGCTTGACAATTTTGAAGCAGGTCTGTCTAAAGATTTGAAGATTAACTCAAGCGTTGCTTCCAAATTTTCCAAAGATGTGAAACAATTTTACTTTGGTGAAAATGGAAAAAATAAATCAGAACTGGATAATTTTGTGCAATATAAAGGAGATGCACTATTCTTAGCAGGAATTTGGCAGATAATGGAAAAACAATTGCACAAAAAAACACCGACGTATTTGTACAAATATTCAAATATTCCAGAGTTTTCTCTGGTGCAAATGTTTTTCAAACTTAACGTTAAAGGTAAGTTTTTATAGAAATGTCAACTTCTTTCTCATGAATATTCTGCACATCTTACAGATATCTCTAGATCATAACCGAACCAAAGTTAAAAGTTTTCAGTTTATAGAAATAAATTATGAAATGAAATGTGCAAATTTAGAAATTTATTTTATAAAGAGTAGATATTAAATTGTAGTTACGCACTTACCTTTTAGGTGCTTGCCACGCTGATGATATAACTCACATGTTTTACAAAGCCATGCTCCCTCCAAACATGCAGCTTAAAGAAGGAACTAAAGATTACATAATTATGCAACGTGTAACAAGAATGTGGACTGATTTTGCAAAAACAGGGTGAGAATAAGGTGTAATTTAAATAGTATACTTTTTATAAGAACTTGAATAATTTCTCTTGGTAAAAATAATTCGACTGTATTTCGTTATGAGAGTGTCGTTTTGGAATATTTTTTCGGACGAAAATTTGTGCAAATTTTGTAAAAATGGACTGTTTTTAGCAAGGAAAAAATTACTCTGTAAGAAATTCGTACGAAATTTAATCGAATTTTCGTCCGAAGAAAGGTTTCAAAAGCACGGAATTTGTGTAGAATTTCTTATAAAATTGAAATTCAATCAGATTAATTTGACCCGGCCTTTTTTTAAACAGGAATCCATCACCCAAAACAGACGATCTTATAAAATCTAAATGGTCTCCGTACAATTCTGACCAAAAATGCTGTCATCACATTGTGGAGAATTTCAAAACAGAAGACAATTACAAAGAAAATTCGTGGGATCTGTGGAAACCAATATATCAAAAATACAAGCTATTTTAATTTTTGAATAAGTATTTTTACGAAAATTTCCAACAGGTATTTCTCATATGATTTACTGAACTGACGTGCATTAATTTTTTGTATACTGAAAATAAATTTATATATTGTATGTTTGAATTTTAATACCTGTCACATTAAATGAATATATACTTAGGTTGCGGAATAATATTAGGAATTTGACTGTGGTTAAAAATTTCTGACCGAGAAATCAAATGTTGTTTTTACAAGAGATTTAAAACTGAGAAACAATTTGAAATATTTGTAGGTTAAAATAACACTCACACTAAAAAATTCAAAAATGTAAACAAAATTTTTTAAAGGTGATAATTTTACTCTACAAATCCTTGACAATAATCCAGGAAAAATACAGACGCGTAAAGCTATAAAAACTTATAAAATGTGTGATAATATACCGACAATTCAATTATCGTCAAAAGTCGATACAATGGAAACTCACGAATACAATAATTAAAGAAAATACTTTTCAGACGAAATGTAGCAATAAAATAAATATAATATTCATACCTTGTAAAATTCACTTTTCCACATGTTTGTCCTTGTAGGAAGAAACCAAACCGCAACTTTCGGTTGAAGTGTCATTACTGCCGGCACAGTCACGCGATTGACTGTCACACAAATTCACACAATTTTTACGTCGACACTCGATCGACGAACGGTCGTCTTTGACTTGAAAGACTATGCATGTTGCCAACTGTGACAATAAGTTTATTTTGAACCTCCGTATTCTATAACTGTAATAAGTATATAATTTGTTAAAAAAGTAATTAATTATCTTGAATATTTTTACTTTATAACGCCCAAAAAATTAAAGATTTAATAAAAAACTTGAAAGAATTTTATGTGCCCGTTTGGTGCTGTCCTCTGGCGTTGAATTTTTAACAGTATTCATTTGTTTATTTTGTGCTTCTACTACACTTCCTATTATTTGTATTTATATATATGAAAAAAGCATTTTGGGATAGATAAATGAACGTTTAATGTTTTCGTTTTTTACAATAAACTTTAAATTGCGTTCAAACGAAGGATCCTCAACCTCCAAAACTTTGGGAAGGTGTTCGAGATGCAAAGGAAGGAGAAGGAGGCGTTGCGCCTCAATTAGCGCCACTGATTAATAAAATTTCCGGTCAAGATGATTGTCTTTACCTCAACGTATCGACAAATAATTTAAGAGGAAAGAAAGCCGTTATGGTGTGGATCCACGGCGGAGGATTTACCAACGGTTCCGGAAGTGCCGAGTTTTATAGACCTGACTATTTTATGCAACACGATGTTGTGTTTGTCTCCATCAACTACAGGTTGGGAATGCTGGGTAAGTTCTCCCCATTTCGTAGTATTAACATGAAATTAGTTTACTAATTAAACTATGTTACAATCCCCATACTTAGGATTCTTGAACATGGACATAGAAAATTGTTCAGGAAATCAGGGACTGAAGGATCAAGTAATGGCCTTGAGATGGGTCCAGAAAAATATTGAGGCATTTGGAGGAGATCAAAACAATGTGACAATTTTTGGACAAAGCGGAGGATCTGCTTCAATCCACTACCTTCTCATTTCTCCTTTAGCCAAAGGTTGTTTACTTGTATTTCATTTCTTATCCAGAATTCAACCTCTTAGTATTTCTCTAATTATCTAGTACAAAAAGATTCAGAAAATAAATTACTGAAAGAGTTTAAAATCAGCAGAGGAAATGTATCGCTTAATTCTAATTTGGCATTTATCCAAGAATAACGGAGTCTTAATTTATGGAAATTTTTGTAGGTTTATTTCACAAAGCGATTGCTCAAAGTGGAGTCGGCATCAATCCCTGGGCATTTCAGAATTCCAATAAAGAGAATGCGATGAAAGTTGCCGCCGAATTGGGCTGCGCGTCTTCAAACAAGGAAGAGATTGCACAATTCCTCCGCTCTGTACCTGCTGAAAAGATCCTTGTTGCGCAGAACAAAGTTTTTGACGAAGTAAGTTAATTAATCTAACATGACTACTAATTTTTGTAACTATTGATTACTCATTTCCAGCATCCATTTAAACTGGAGTTTCATTTCGTTCCCACCGTGGACAATAAATGCCCTAATCCATTCCTACCCAAACCGCTGTCGGAAATGATTGAAAGCGGAGTTGACGTTCCTTTAATTATTGGCTATACCTCCGACGAAGGGATATTTGCACTGGGTACATTTTTTAGATTTTGTCAGTATTATGCCATAAATCATATGGTGAATTCAAAAAGTTTAATTTCAAAAATGCAGGTAGTCTTACACTCAACAGTGGAGAAGGAATAAGTAAATTGCTCGACAATTTCGAAGAATGTCTGTCCAAAGACTTGAAAATTAATTTAAGCACTGCTTCCAAATTCTCGAAAGAAGTAAGAGAATTTTATTTTGGCGAAAATGTAACTAAATCAGAGCAAGATAATTTTGTGCAGTATAAAGGAGATACGCAATTTGTAACATACTGGAAAAGCGACTGCAGAAACAGAGTCCAACATATTTATACAAATTTTCGTATTGTCCAGAATTTTCCCTTGTGCTACAGTTTTATAATCTTGACGTGAAAGGTAACTATTTTTAATTATTAAAAAAGACGATTTCAAGTTTTATAGAAAATGTATATTCAATTTCAAGAGAGACTAAACGTGTGTCGAGTATTTGTTTCTATAAACTTAATTATAATATGTTTCAAATCAATTATTTAATTTAGAAAAATTTAGATTCTTTATTTTTTCAGGTGCGTGTCACGCTGAAGATATGGCTCACATGTTTTACAAAGCCAGTCTTCCTTCAGAAATGCAACTTCAAAAAGGATCAGGAGATTACTTGATCATGCAGCGTATAACAAGAATGTGGACTGACTTCGCAAAAACAGGGTAAGGAATAATAATTAAAATAATATACTTTTTATGAAAACTTGAATCTTATTTTGTCTTAAACAGAAATCCGACACCCAAAATAGATGATCTTATAAAATGTAAATGGTCTGCTTACAATTCTGACAATAAATGTTGCCAGCACATTTCCGATGACTTCAAAACGGAAAATAGTTTCGAAGAAATTTCGTGGAAACTATGGGGACCAATTTACCGAAAATACAAGTTATTTTAATTTATAAATTGTGTCTGTACAGAAATTGCCATTTTTATTGAGTCAGTAACTTAGTTACGTAATTAATTTAAATAAAGCAATAAGTTATTTCATAACTTGTTGGATATTTTGACAATTTTCCAAAAGCTCTTAAAACTTGCAAGTCTACGTAATTAAATATCAAAATGACTTTTACAAAAATATTTAAGCATCTGCTTTTACACGAAATCAAATAAATTGAGTCATTTGCTAGATCAAGAACTAGTATAAAAAATTGTGGAACGTAATGAAAAAACTTTATCTTCTTTTTTAATTAATCCTATGTAAAAAATTATTGCTGTAGGTAAAAAGTTTCAAAAGAGAAATAGTGAATTATGAGAAAATTCTTTAGAATTAAATTCAGACAATGTTTTGCATGAGGATTTTGAATAGTAACTTTTGGAGATTATTTTCGATTGTTTTTCATACACTGTCTTCGCACACTGTGTTGGAAGTGGCAATTGACACGCAGTCCGTTGCGCTTACACCACTTTTTCTTGAAGATCCAGCTTTTCTTCTGACTGGCTTGACGGTAGCATTAAACTTGAAGACGTACTTAAGTTCCTCCATTAGCTGCTCTTTAAAGGGGATCTAAACATTTATAGGAAAGTATATTTTTAAAAATAATAATTATCTATCATTACTTGGAAAACTCTCATGTAAATTTAATTAAAATTAATTTCCATTTTCCTCACTTACGTTGTGTTCACGGGACGTGACTCTTATGCGCAGCAGCATTTCCGACAAAGTCCACAGAAAAGAAATAACTACGCCAATGCAAAGAACAAGGTAAACGCCACCGACGTTTTTCAAATTTAACTCCTCGGGCTGATCAGTTTGTACATGCTGAAAATGTAAACAAGGGCAGATGCAGTTATTACACAGAGCTTCAATTCGCATGGACTTTGGCATCTTAAATCGTAAGTCCTTTGAATACTTTTATGAGTTATGTTTGTCTCAAGATGTTTTTGAAAGGCTTATCCTCTAATTATTTTTTGGTACAGAATTACCTCGCAACTGCCGCCACCGTGTTTCTGTCTCCACCAGTGCTGTTTCATTTTCGCCAAAAGTCCAGTCTCTTGAAGTTCCAAAATAGCTGAACTCAAATCGTGACGATAAGGCGCATCTACAATTTCGTAAGTAATTATTACTCTCACCAACACTTGTACTATTTAATTTTACAATCAAAGTTACTTTTTCGCATGGCAATTCCGTAATGCTTTTCACTGAAAGGCCTGTCGATGACGGTCAGATTACAGTTGCGTTCTATTTCATACTCTACTGTAGAGGATTCCATGAAAAAGGCGAAATCTTCCTTCAACACTTTCTCCTTTCCCGCTTCGTTCGACGGCAAGAGACAATTGACTGCATCACCTTTCATGGTCTCGTAAATCTGCCTGTATGTACTGTCATTCGATCCCTAATCAAACTAAATAGTGCTTAAAAGAACTCATTATTGTGAGGAGGACTTGAGAATTGCGTACCTCGAAGAAAGAGAAGGTGGACCCTTCCTTCTTGGCGCCATACTTGATCTTATTTTGATTCGCCAGTTCAACTAAATTATGAAACGGAAGCACAGGAACTTCGAATGTCAAGCTCGATGCCAGGTTGGCCGTGTAGGTTGACACCATAATCAGACAGAAGAAAAACCAACAACCGGATAATAGTCTTGTCGAAATTCCTCTGCAGAAAGAATAGATTATTTTTGCGATCCGACGTAAGGAAAATGTGAATGCACTTACGCAGGTGCGATTTCGGAGCCCTGCTGCATCAGAGCGCCGAGAGTGAACCACAAGCAGTTTTTCAAGTGCAATTGATTCTTCAATTCTGTCGGCTCGTCAATGCAGGGGTATGGATTCACCCACTCGCCAGGACATATCCGCCCGATTATGAACAGTTCCAGGGACACGAACACGTAGGCGGCAATCAAGCACAGCCAGACCTGGTTGTCCAGTGGCGACAAGAATGACATTAAACTGCCTTCAGCTTTCGATGCCTTTCTGAATAGAATACTAATGCCTGAAAATATCAGTTTTATTTACTCTCCCAAGCAGAACAGAGATTCCGCACTACAAATTCACCAAGGAGTGTCTTTTAAAAATCCATGAGTTGTATTGCACTTACCAAAACTCATAAACGGTAATGTAAAATCAACATCTTTTTCCCGCTGTTCCGTGATGGTTAAGTCAGTGATGGCGAGATCTGCTTCCTTAAATTGTTAATCAGAAATTTTAAAATTCATGAGGTTCACTAAAAGTAGAGAGTTACTACTTACATTATTAATAATTTTTCCAAGCATTCCATTCCAGCCGCTGATATTGCTGAAAACGCCATACTTTTTATCTTCCTGAACTATAAAAGTGTAGTTGAAGCCAAGAATATTACTGAGCTCATGTATGATGTCAATCGCATATCCCTCAAACCGATCGTTACCGACTCTCATCGTCAAGGAATCCTTTAACCATGCGTAAGGCTTCGTCTGTCAAAATCAAGTTTAACAGAGATTTTGTTCATCATTTCTATTTAATTGATTGCTTATTGATAGAGTGTGACAGCGTACCAGTGAGATTAAAACTCGAAATGTAATGTTCTGCATGCTGAGTTGCTCCTGCGGTTCCTGAACGACAGGCTTCGTTATCCATCTTATAGGCTCAGTGTTATTCCAGACTCCGACTTTTCTTAGCCCATCTTCGCCCAAACTCAAAATGTCCAGCTGGAATTCCGAACGATAACCGGCAGTATCGAATTTCACCAATCCGGTCAGACCTTGCATTCCATCCTGAAAATTGAAAGCTTCAAAATTGCAAGCTGAAAATTGCCTTATCTGTGACAAATGTAGGTTGCAAATTACCGGCAAATTCACTGTTCTGATGTAATTTGTCAGAGTCTCGCCATGCTCCCAAACTTCGGAGCCATCGCAAGGCAACGGCGGCACGTGCTTCACAATGTCGTCCATCTCCTTGAACGCCCGAGCGAGCAATTGAACCGCATCGTACATCAGAGCTTGATTCACGGTCAACATATTCACGTTCGCATATCCGTTGAAATCATTGTCTATTATACTTTGCACTGCCGGACTGTCGGGATCTATTAAGCGAAGAACGGTTATGTTCATGCCAGAATACTGAAACGGTTCATAATTGATTGTGTGTAAATCCTGAAACAAATATTCAAATATTCAGACCACGATTTGAGATTAAAAATCTTAAACTACATTGATATGAGGGCCATACCAGTGAAGTAATAATCAAATTAAATTTCTCAGAGAGTAATCCAACTTGCAAGGATTGTTCCAAAACTGACGTCAGGATTTCAATTGAACAATCAATTATCATATTTTCTTCTCCAGATAACTTTACAGCGCGTAAAATATTTCTGAAAAGAATGATTAAGAATTACATTATTTTCTTTACTTTTTTGTTTAAATTAGATTCAATTTTTAATATAATTTAAAATAGATGAAAATCCAGATGGATAACAGTTTCCGAAATTTTGATACGAAGATGAGTTGATAAAATAATTAATTATTACCTATAATTTGGTCCAATCAATCGACGGATTGTTACCGTGTAACCTGTGGCGTTCCATCGCTCCAGAAGCGGCTTCATCATAATTAAACTGTCGTTATTTTCGTAAAGTATCGTGTAGGTTTTCCACTTGTATTCCACGACAAGATTGTAATAGATCTAAAAATAAAAGCAGTCTAAAGGAAAATTTATTTTAAGCGGACAAAGTACATTTTTTTTGCACTTTTTTAAAATTCCAAAAACCAATATGTCAAAATTGAACAGAAATTTGCTACTTTTAAATTGACAGAAATGACCTCGAAGAATTGAAAATTGATAATGAAAGTAATTTTAGATTGAATTACCATTGATAAAGCCTTTGAATGGGGATAAATGTTTATCACTTTTAAATTATCGTCTGTATTTAAAGTGGTCGATATGTGAGGAATCCCCATTGCGTCGCACATACTGTGAACATGACGTAGACTTCTTTTTCGTTGTGGACCAAAAATCACTACAACTCCCTCCTGCACAAGTTCACACACTGGAAAATCCAATAACTCAATAATTATTCAAGCAAACAGCAAACGAAAAGTTTCATTAAAATAATAAATTTACATTTTCTCCTCGACGTAACTTGTAAATAATAATTATAAGTTTGGGAAGGTAAACTTCTTAAAAAAAAGCAAACTTGTTAAATTTTACCTCTAGTATGCACGTCCCATAAATCTTCCTCTACATTTATTTTATAAACTTGGATATATTTCTTTGATAAAGTGAGATCTATGTGTCTATTTTTATTAACCGCCATTGCCGAGATACCAAATGCACTTTCAATTCCTTCGCCTCCTTCGAATAATGCGCCTGCAATGTTTTTTCAAAAACAAACAAGGATTAAAAGCACTTTATTGTTATTTAGAAAAAATATTTAAAATACAAACCTATGTTATAACTTTTGAACCCGATACTGTGAACTGGCAGGAAAGCCACCAGCAAAAACTTCCACAACATCTTAATATCATTCTGAAAGAGATGAATTCTTTTTTGAAATTTAAAGAAACATTCATGCGAAAAATATGAAAATAACGATTAAAATTAATTATTATTAAGGACAAATATTATGGCAACATTGTTTCGACGAGAAGATATTCTCTCCTTCGGATTGCAGATGGTAAAATTCTTTTAAGAAGAAAAATGAAGAGTAAAACTTAAAAAAATGAAAAGTAATAAAGAGATAATAATTGATTGTTCAACAAGCATATTCTTGTTATGTCTCCTGCAATAAAAATTTGTATACGAGAACGTTTCCTGGCAGTTGCTACTTAACGGCCTGACATCATGTAAACACAGTGAAAGATGCGGAGCTTCCTCTTCCCTCATAAATATTTATATCTTTTCGAAACCAATTGCGATAAGACGAGTTTGATTATTGAACTCATTGATTTATTTAATTTTCTTCCCAGTCAATTTGTTTCTTTTTTTATAGGAATTTCTATCATCTCAATAAAAATTTCATTAGTAGAGAATTTATAATCTCAAATATCTCTTTTTCAAAAGATGCGTATTTTTTTGGACGAATAAGAAGGGAGAGAAAATAAAGTGGAAATTGTTGAAATTGTTGAAATTGTTGAAATTGTCATTTGAGTTCAATGACAGGAAAAAAACAATTCTTTTTGGTGTTGTTCACAACTGAAATCGTTATATTTAGATTTCAGCGTTCCAATCCCAGTGTGCCCCCAAGGTTAAAACGAAATGAAAATATTCGACTTTAATTTAGACTAATATATTATTTATAATTACAACCACAGAGCTAGGCATCATCTTTTACATTCTGCATTTCAGTTTTTAAGAAATAATAAAATATTTCTTGCATATGTTTATTATTGTTATAATTATTATTATTATCCTTAAATTGATTTTGTTAATTATAATCACAATTTTCATTAATATAGTAAATAAATAATAATTAACAAATAAGTAAATAGAATAGTGATGCAATAAATACTATTAATATTTTTAATTACTATTAATAAAAACCATTACAACTGCAGATATAAATAAATTTATTTGAACGACAAATTTATGAAGTATAGTAGACAGAGATAAGAGAAATTTTATATAGTTTCATTAATTTTTTGGAGTTTCAAAATTAAATTTTTCGAAATACAAATGAAAAAATGAAGGTATGAAATACATAATACGAATCGTATCTAAGGAATACCGAATACGATACAAACTATTGGCTGTGTGCCAATTTTCTTAAGTTCTCGGAACCCTTATATTTAAAATCTCGCTTGTCATATTTTGAAATTAAAACAATTATGACGAGTCGCAGGAATTTTAGAGCCTTTCGAAAACATTGTTAAATAATCGACCTTAAATTATTATTAACTTGGTCATTATAACGATAATTAATTATTTTATCAATTTCAAAGAAGATTATTAGGAGAGTATAACTTGAAATAATTTTAAAGCGTTATGATTTTAATAATTAATTTTACTTGTCATCAATTACATTTATTTGATAAATTATTTATTTATTATTTACATAATTGTTTAAAGTGCACGTGAAGACATTGAAGCGGAAATAAAGCAAAGAGGTGAAAAGAAAAAATCTTACCTTCAACGCGACGATTGTACTACGGATGATTCAAGTCGAAGGATGAGAAAAACTCTTTAGTTTAGAAAGACTCGGTGACTTTCAACTTGGTTTCAGTTCTTTGCAGTAGAATAATCAGAATTTTTCGCGCAAGCTCCATCCCCACTTAAATGCTCTCAAACTCCAGTCTTAAAACTAAAACGACTTTATTATTCTTGTCTCATTAGCGTTACTGTGAATTCAAATTGTGGAGAATATCAAAGCTCTTCGTCGTCTTCTGTTCTTTACGACAGTGCCTGTTGTTTGCCTCAGCTTCCACGCTCCTAGAACTATTTTTAGGATTCTTCGTTTTTTCTCTCCTTTTCCATGTATATTATTTTCTCATTTATGTTATCAACAATTTTTCTTTTCGAGTTCTCCCTCTTTACTCTCGTGACCGAAAAGAAAATGACAATTTCAAGAAAATGATGATCTTCTTTTCAGTCTTTTATTACTTCTTATTCATTTTGCCCTTCTACAGAATTCGCGATTTTATATACGTTATTGTGATAATTCTCAAGGAAACCTTATGTTTACTACAAAATTTTCAATTTCTGGATAAATACTTGATTTGTTTTGTAAATTGAGAGAAATTCGGTTATTTGGATTTATCAACAATTGATAAATTTTAATTTAAACGACAATATGTAGGTAAGTTACCGATGAATAACTACTGTTAAACATGGATATAATAATTTTTTTAAACAAATATGTAAAAAAAGTAAAATGCAGTCCTAAATGTAACATAAATGATGAATTTTAATGATTTCTATTTTTTTTAATGAACATTGTGCTTAAGATTTTTTTAAATTTTAACTACGTTTAATTGAATATTTAAAAGGTTTTTTAAAACTCAGTTTTTCATGTTTGTAATGTAAACATAAGTTAAATAATAGAATTAATAATAATTAATAATTTTCAACATTATTTAATGAAATGTGTGCTTTTCATTTGTACCCATAAATCGTAATCGTCAGGATGAAGTGAATCAATTGTCAAGCATTTTAATTATTGTAAAAATTTCTTTCAGTAAATTATTTTACACTACAATTCATTCCTTAATTTTTAATAAAAAAAACTTTTTGTACAGATGTTCATTATTAACATATTAAAATACTTTTTTTATGAAGGATAACAATATTGTTGATTGCACACAAAGCACAACAAATTATAAATTCATATTCGTTTAATTTCTCAAAGGTTTGATGACAGAATATGCATCAGGTGGTGACGACTTCTTTTTACCTACTTCCAGTTCTCAAATACGAAAAACAAAAGCAACAAAGTTTAGAATGAACTAAATCTAGGGGGGATTGAGCATGCGCAAAAGAAATCTAAATCACCTTTCAGTACCTACTTGCGAACCTCGACTTGCAAGTTTCTAACTCTATTTTCAAGTCTGCAAATTTCTAGTTTAACATAAATTGTCGCTTTGAGAAAATGTTTTAAAAATTTCTTCATCACTGTTCAGGTAAGAAAACTATAATAAATATATCGCTTTTCAGTTTTTCAATTGTTTTTGGAAAAAAAATATTAAAAAAACAAAATACTACATATTTTGCTTTCCCTGTTTACTCAAACAATAATAAAAAATATCCGACGGTTCAACAACGATCGGCTCTATTTTTTAAAAACATACAACAATGTTTATAAACTTTTAGTCAATAAAACTTTTTTAATAACATTGACACTCACTAACATGACGAGAAATAAAACTTAAACATTATAATATTCAGTTATTAATTTAATCTAAATAATTATAGAGAAACATAAAAATTGAATTTGCTGCAAAAAAACATCATCAAAATTTACTATTCTTAAATTGAAATATAAAAATCGGGAAAAGTAGGGACAAAAATAGTACGCATTTTTAAATGATGTATGTTTTTAAATGAAGAAGAATTAGTAGAGAATTAAGAATATAGTGATTAATTATTATTAGAATACTAATAATTAATGGACAGCTGTTGAATTTTCTTTAAAATGTATGTCACATTCGTCGTCAAGGAAACGCAGATTGCGTCGCTGCATCTAATGTCTAAATATAACAACATCGTTATGCACCACTCTATAAAGTTTTCTTCCTCTTCTGTGCCATCCCATGGCAAAATATATTGTGTTTATATTACCGTTCAATAAATCAAAATTGTTTTTATAAAATTCAGCATTTCGAGAAAATTAAACCCTCTCAATAACAACTTGTTCCAAATCGAAACAGAGTTGGAAAAATGTCCTCTAGCTGTTTTTATTAAAATCTCACTAATTCATTTTCGATAACTATTTTCTAGCTTCGGAGCAATCTAAGAATAAGAAATTATTCTACTTTGAAATTACCTTTTGCAGCCCGCTGTTAGATAAACACAAATAAACACAAATAAACACAATTTATGCGAAAAACTTGAAAGCACTTCTACAAGTTTGTTTGCAGCATGTCAATCTGGTTCAAGTATTCTTTGAAAATTTAAAGTCTGTTTCATTAATTACAAAATCCTTATTTACAATCTTATTAATTTTTTTGACACTTTCATTCAAGTGGAAAATTAATATAACAATTTTCTTGGTTTTTTACAGAATAATTTTACTATGCTGCTCAGGTACTTATTGGTTTTACTACTCCCAGGCATTTTTGGATTTAAAAACATACGTATAGGTTTGTGCTTTAATTCCAGTACTCGAAAAATATTTAATATTATTATTTACTTGAGAAGAATGTCACAATAGGTCCAAGAGAGATAATAATCCCTTGAAAATTTTAGGAGTCATTTTCGATGGTGATCCAATAATTGAAGACATCTTCAACATTTCAGTGAAGATGGTCAACAGAAATCGAAATTCTGATCATTTTTTACCAGCGGAGAAAATCATAGCTGAAAAACGATTGGTTGCTGCTGATGATGTGTACGATACATCTGAAAAAGGTAGACGAGAGTATTAATCAAAGTCTTATTTTTAACAAAGAAATGATTGCAAATCTCTTTTCAGTCTGTGAACTCCTGGATGTGGGCGTAGCTGCAATTTTCGGACCCCAAAGCAAAGCCAGTTCTAGCCACGTACAAAGCATGTGTGATGCTATGGAAATCCCGCACGTTTCCACAAATATGGAACCCTATGCGGAGAGACTGAAGGCCATAAATATGTACCCGCACGTCAAAACACTCTCCATGGTATACCCACTATTTCGTAATTACTGTCAATCATCTTCCCGAAAACCTAAATTGCCAATATCATTTTTAATATTCAGGTGTTCTATCATTTGATAAAAAATTTCAAATGGAAAACTTACACGATTTTATACGACACTGACGACAGTTTAATCCGCATGACACCGCTTCTTACGAACTATGGAACAACTGGTTATACGGTTACAGTTCGCCGATTGGAAGGAGAGAATTACAGGTATATTTCGTAGCAATCATAAAACTGGTAAAATAAATTCACTGAATCTTTACTCTTTTTCAGACCTGTACTCAGAGATGTGAAAAAATCAGTAGAACAAAACGTTATTTTAGATTGTGACATAGGAATTCTGCTCGAGGTTCTAACACAAGCTCAACAGGTCGGACTAATAGCGGATAAATATAATTTCATCGTTTGCACTTTGGTAAGTCAATAATCTCTATTTAATAAAGAATAATTTTATTATTATACAACAGTTGAGGAAGAAATAAACACCAATTTTCCAGGACTTACATACACTGAATATTCAGCCTTTCCAATACTCCGGAATGAACTTTACCGCAGTTCGAATAGTCGATCCCGATGATTATACGACTCGAAAAATTATAGAAGATTTTTTTCAACCCAAAGGAATAACAGATGCCAGTCAGTTTACTCTGGAGCAGGCACTAATGTTCGATGGTGTTCAACTGTTTGCCAGAGCTTTTAAACAGCTCAGCGATGCTGTCAAAATTAACATTAAAAAGCTACCTTGCAACGGATTAGAAAATTGGGAGCATGGGATAAGTCTCAGTAATTTTATGAGAGCTGTAAGCGCTACATTTAAACATTTAGATTATTACTAAACTTGTATTGTTACAAACCTCGTTAATTTACAGTCGGAAATGCGCGGACTCACGGGTTTGGTGAAATTCGATACGTCGGGATTTCGCAGTGACTTCCAGCTTGATATACTGAATGTCGGTTGGAACGGTATTAGGAAAATAGGGACTTGGAATAGCACTACTAATATTGACTGGATACCAGAAACGACTCTATTCGATCCCAATGCTGATTTGAGTCTTAGGAACGTGACCTTTAGAGTCCTCATATCGCTGGTTTGTTCAGAATCCCTGTATCAGAATCCGCTTTCCTTTATCTAACTTGAGACTTGTATTTTTTTGTTTTTGAGGTTTACAGACAAAGCCGTATGCCATGTTGAAGGAATCGTCTTTCAAAAAAACGGGAAACGATCAATTTGAAGGTTTCGGAATTGACGTTATTGTCGAACTCAGCAAAGCCTTAGGTTTCAATTACACGTTTATACTGCATGACCCGGAATACGGGAAATTCGACAACAAGACTGGCCAGTGGACTGGAATGATTAGGAAGATAATGGACAATGTTAGTTGGACAATGTACTGATTTGATTGCAGTAAATCGTGAGCAATAAAATGCTATTCTTTGTTTCAGGATGCAGATTTGGCAATAACAGATTTGACCATCACAGCTGAACGTGAAAGCGTAGTTGACTTTACAATGCCTTTTATGAACCTTGGTCAGTTTTTTATTTCTTAAAAACCACTCCATTTGGACTCATTTTGGAATTTGCTTTTCAGGAATAAGTATCCTTTTTACGAAACCGAAAAAGGCCTCACCAAGCTTGATGTCCTTCTTGTCGCCCTTCTCCAACGAAGTGTGGCTTTACGTAATCGGCGTCTACGTATTTGTGTCAATCGAGTTCTTCATAATTGGCAGAATGTGCCCAGACGAGTGGACCAATCCCTACCCCTGTGTCGAGGAACCGGAAAATTTGTATAATCAGTTTTCGCTGAAAAATGCTCTGTGGTTTACGGTGGGAGCGATGATGCAGCAAGGAACCGAACTGGCTCCCATGTTAGCATAAATATACTCAATAAGTCAATAGACTGAATTGGATTCAAGTGTGACGGTAATTTAACTTTTAGAGGTGTGTCGACGAGAATGCTGGCTGGAAGTTGGTGGTTCTTCTGCATTATTATCGTCAACTCTTACACGGCCAATCTGGCAGCTTGTCTCACGGCGGAGACACTGGTGAAGCGGATTGAAAATGTTGAAGACCTAGCTAACCAGAACGAAATAAAGTATGGCGCAAAAGCTGGAGGATCGACCCTTTCCTTCTTTGCGGTAATGCATTTTTATGAATCTACACTTACTTCGAGGAATCGTTGTTACCCTTCACTGAATTTATTGACACTTTAGAATTCAGCTAATCCAACTTACAAGAAAATGTTCAAATATATGACAGACAATGCCGCCTCTGTCCAATTCGAATCGAATGAAGAGGGCAGAGACAAAGTGCTAAAGGGCGATTACGCATTTTTGATGGAGTCTGCCTCGATAGAGTACCTGAGCGAGAGGGAGTGTGACCTGACCCAAGTCAATGGTCTCCTAGACCAAAAAGGTTACGGCATCGCTATGAGAAAAAGTAAGTATTTATTCTCCAAGGCAAAACAATAATCATGCCAACAATTAATTTATTACTGTCAAACAGATTCGACCTACCGAAATGAACTCTCGTCTGGAGTTCTCAAATTGCAGGAGAATGGAATGCTTGCATCACTAAAAACTCAATGGTGGAAACAAAAGAGAGGAGGTGGCAGTTGTGAGGTACCCAAAATATAACACTTTTTCAGATTTCATCAAAAATATTATCGAAATTATGTAATCATTTCAATTCACAGAAAGATACTAGCACAGGAGCACCGACACCTTTAAATTTGTCAAACGTAGGAGGAGTTTACTTGGTATTAGTGGTTGGCATTGTGTTTTCATTTTTCTATTCACTGGTTGAACTTTTGTGGGAAATAGGCTACAACTCATTCAAACATAACGTGAGTAGAAATATAAAGTTTAAAATGCTTCGTATTATGAAACCGCAACTTTACAACAATTACAACGAAAAATGTTTCAGGCCTCAATCAAAGAGGAACTCATGGACGAGTTTAAATTTATTTTACAATTCAGCGGAACTAGTAAACCAGTTAAAAATAGAAAATCAATTTCGAGTAAAAGTGAAAAGGATTCCCAAGACTCGACTCCCCCTTATGGTTTTGTCCCAGCTGTTGTAACTACGGGTCCGCGTAACGAAACTGAAACGTAACTTGAAAAATATCTTGAATAACCTTAACAATAAGTGAGTAATGCTATTACTTATAAACTGAATAAAATCATTTTAATAAAAATGTTTCAATTATTTATTAATTTATAACCTTTTATTAATTTCTTTAAATATTTTATTGAAGGCAATTGTTTCTTAAGTAGGTACAAAAAAGAAAAACAAATTTTGTAATCCGTAAAATAAATCTTTAATTTCATTTCAGTCACAGCTGTCAAATATATATATAATATATAACTTACGTATATTTACATTAATTATTGTTATTGATTTCTTTTCACAGACAATAATTATATATAACTAGTACATTATATGTAAACAGACTTTGTACAAGATGTTGTAACATAAAGTAAAAGTCCAACAAATTCTTCTCTAATTTTTGTTTCCAACTTCAAAAATGTATCAAGAGAAAATATAAATTTGAATATTTATATTTCTTATTGCAAATTTCAAGACTAATCGAAGAAGATACTTTTCAATTGTTGTTCACATAGTCTTTTAACTTCATCTGAAAATTAAAAGAAAATTATTGGAAAATCATTTTTACATTCTCATCACATAAGGTATTAGTTTTTTTTAATTTACCGTCAATTTCAATAATACTGGCGTTCTTCTGCTGAAGAACGACATAAAATTCTCTTAAATTTGAAACTTTTCCTACAATCCAATAATCGCTCATCGTCTTTATAACAACCTCGCCAGTTTCATTCATTCTGCGAATATAAAGTCTAATTGAACATTAAATTAGGTATCCACTTGCAATAATAAAGATTTGATTAAATACCTGTTTGCATCGCTATTAATATCCGTGATTATCCTCAAAACTTCAGGAGTTGTTAACACATTTGAGCAGCGACGATTATCAAAGTGAATGGTACTTTTATAGGCTAGATTGAGTTTATTAAAATACAGATACTTTGGATTCGACTCCGAACTGATTGCCACATGTTTTGCACATTGATCGGCAACAGAGCTAACTAAAGTTGTCAATTGTGGTCCCAGAAATGCATCCAGACTTTTATAAAACTCGGGAAGAGGACTCGTCTTGCTGTCCACAAATAAGCAGACGGTGGCGCTGAGTGCTCGATAAACAATTAAATACAACGAAACTGGTTTCGTCGAGTAATTAATAAAGACCTTTGGCAACTTCTTCACGTCATTCACACTCGATGGTCCTGTTACGAATCTAAAATTTATATACGAATAAAGTTCTCGTCAAATTTAATTATTTCATTTTCAAGGAATAGTACTAACTTTCCATAATGAGCTGCTGTAAATGCAGAAGAGGAATTTCTCGGTATTGAACCTCCTTCCAACTCCTTTTCGAGATAGGCGGGCAAAAGAGTGCTCACTAAGTAATTATACACAACTCGCATATCGTCCGGTTCGAGTCCACTCCTGGGGAATGACAACGTTTCATTTATTTTCCAACAGTTTGCAAATTAATCGATAATCACTCATTTGACTAACCAGACAAGTTGATCATTATACAGGAATGCAGTGTATTTAACTAGCGGAAACGTCGCCTCCAACAAATTCATAAAGCACTGGACTCGCAAAAAAGTCGCTTTATCCAGAGGAAGAAACTGAAGTCCTTGGAAAATGTCAAGAATATCACTATTGTTCAACTTCAACGATAATAAATACTGAAAGTAGAGAAAATTTTTAAATTTAACAATCTGACAAAATATGGAATACATAAAAATAAAAATTCGACACTCTCATTTTATCTCCTAAACATACTGTAGGTACTTACCCATGAATAAAAATGATCGAGCTTGTGTTTCAACAAAATTACAGAGCCACAATCAGGTTCATTTAATATCGTCTCAAACGAACCCATAAAAAGGCGGAATATTGCATACGTTTGCTTGAGAATCGCTTGACAAACACTGCTTGAAACTTCATCATATTGATATTCTGGATATTTGTTTCCGTCTTTTTCTTTCATTACAAAAGGCACCCCTACAGTCTACCATTTAAACATTTAATTTAAATTCACTTTGTGTACCTTCCATGAATTAAATAAAAATACACATTTTCTATGATACAGAACAGAAGAAGAATCGCAAACACTTACCATCACCATCCAAAATTCTGGCTCTGGCTGATAATAAACTTGCCGAGTTTTTTGTGTGTGACAATAATCGCATTTTTGTCCAGGATTAAATGATCTGTAAATTAACAAGATTAACAATTAATTAACAATTAACTAAACATGATGGATATAGCTTGAGACAACAAGTTGTCAAGGGCAATAACATCTCTTTAGAATACACTTTAAAATCCTGTTGAATATGTCAAAGATATTGTTGATAATTACTTACTCAGTAAATTTAATAATTGCCTCACTAAGGCCTATATTTTTTATCTGCGTATCAACATCCGTTTTTGGTGGATGATAGTACAAAATTTTATTCTTCTCCTAAAAAATAAATAATTAATTGAATTAATTAAATCTCAAGTTAACATTATTTACTATAAGTTTGTTTCGGAAAAAGAACAAAACAGGCAATGAATAAAGTGAATGAGAGACAATTTTGCACAATTATAAACTTTACTTTATTATAAATTTGAGAGTGAAAAATGTTTAAGATCATTTAATTGTTAATAAAATTTTTGAGTTTACCTCCCCTTCTTTTTCAGCGTATGTACTATTGAAAACATAAAAATGCTGTAAAGTTACTTCAGAGTCGGACATTTTTTTAGGTTAGATTGCTATTGCAGTGGCAACAAAGAACTTGAACATTTCATTTGAGTGCTGACAATACGATAAATTCTTCTTCTATTACTACAGATATTTCGTCAACTAGAAGTGTTTTGTTAACTTTGACAGATAAATCTCAAGTGTTTGCAATTTCGAAAAATCCATAAACACAAGTATATAACAGAGGCGTATTCAATTCAATGCAGGTAGGCCGTTGGACTTTTGAGGTTAGAGCAAGTTTACTTATATATCATTGTATATATATATATTGAATTCAAGTCTGAACATGCAAAGTGCAATAAGAGAGAGGGGGAGTAAAAGTTAAATCTTGAGAAATTAAATATTAGTTTGTGTGCATGTGTTCTGTTTTTAATTTCTCTAAACATAATTTTATATAAAACGTAATTTTTTTTACTTCTGAATTGTTTATTACAAGTTTTAAATGAAAACTACTTTCAACTATGATATTAATTTATGGAAAGAAAAGGTAAATCTAAAAGTATTTTTCTATTTTACTTTAAAAGCTTTGATGAAAGAAATAACATTTTGCATGTCTCATTTAAATCGTGGGGGAACTTACTCAATTTTTATTGTAACAAAATTGAAGCAGTGAGTAATTTATTTTTCATAAATGACAATTTATTCTATATATTACATGTATTTTACATCACTGTAAAAGGAATAAGTTTATGGAGTTTCGAAAAATAGGAAAAGAAATGTTTTTTCTCATAAAAAAATATTCATTTCGTAAAGTTTGACTTTCACAAGTAACATTTAGGAGAAAAGAGAATCGTTCAGCGAGAAATTAGATGTTTTATTATTTGTACATCAAGCAAATTGATGAAAATTCTCTATTTGGGTAAAACTATAATTATTTTTTTAAAAAGCAAAATACCTGTTCTGATCAATTACGATTTCTTTTCTCCATGTACTAAATTTTTTACCCGTACATTTTTGAAAATAAAAATTAGTCTTCCTCAAATTTATCTAATAGCAGCCAGTTAAGCGAGAACATGTGAATTATGAATGAACTTTATATGAAGGTAATAATAATTATTCATTTACGAATAAGTTTTATTGTTAATCTTTAAAATCTTGGTGCAGAAGCACTATATTTCTAGAGCAATACGCTTCAACTACTTATAGTTAATAATTGTACTAAAAATCGATCTCTTCAAATTATAAGAGAAACAAATTAAAAGACGTGACAGAGTGTGAATTAATTGGCATTTAATTCGCACTCTCTCGATTATTTTCTATTATAAAAATTTCACCTTACACAAAAGTAAATTATAAATTAAATTCTCTAAGATAAATCGACGCACCATTTGTAAATAATCACAATATGTATATTTATAAATACAATCTGAAAAATTTCTCAATTCATTTCAAGTTTCAAAAAATTGACTAGAAAACTAATACCTATACACATGTGGAAATAAAATTATTTCGTTTTTAACAAAAAACGTAGGTAAATAAATGTAATAAATTTAAAAAATTAAAAATTTGATTAAATCGTCCAAGATTTCATCACAGAATGTAGAATCATTTGAAAGTTCCTAATATTTTACAAGATTCTCACTGCACAAGTAAGAAGCTTTTACAAATAAAGTTATAAACTCAAGAAAATTTAAAGACTATATGCATATATATGCGAGAAATTTCAGACATGATCTCAATTATATGATGAGAACTCTTGATAATTTTCTAAATATTTTTCGAGAGATAACGCGTCAAAATTCTAGCGCAGCTGTACAACAATAAACACGTTTTTCTGCGAAAAACATAACATTCACTCCATTTTTACAATCTTTCAATAAAAATACACTAAATAAATTAGTACATGGAATAGCTTTTGTTTAAACGCGACGAGATATCAAAACATCTTTTTGTAATTTAATTCTTTCACATAAATGACTTTTTGAATGTTCTGCTTCCAAAAATGTATTAAAAATACTAAACGTCAAAAACATGAAAAGGAAAAATTTATCGATAAAATTAATGGTCTCGTCATTTCTGTGTGACAAATTACACGTGAATAGGGAAACAAAATGTAAATAAATATTCTCTTTAAATATTAAATTTTTAAATAAATTCTCTTTCTAAATTATTCAACATATAAATATTTTGTAACAACATATTATAATGGTGTAATAATAATTGATGAATTTAAATAAAACAAGAATCAAAAACTAAAGACTGATAGAAAGAAACATAATTTAAGAAAATGAAGTGGTTTTCTAATAGCCGACCGTGTATCAGACGATGATTTTGAACACTTGGTATTTTTTCCTTATTGCTGTTGAAGTTGCTGTAAAAGGGGACACACTTCAACGAGGGGTGTTCCTAGAATCTCTTGACAGACTTGATTCATGTCTGGTTCCATCATTAGCGACAAGATTTGATCCTCTGTCAGCATTTCCACACTATATTAATTAATATCAATAGTAAATAAACGGGCAGAATAATTATGTGCAAATTCATTGCTCCATAAATTGACACATTTAGAGTGAAATCGATTCTTCCTTCACTAGAGTTGGTATAATATTTTTTACAGTAAAAGAAAATTGATTTTGAGAATACAGAATAATTACCTCGCTAAGCTTTCGCTATCTGAAATTTCTTCATCTGCATTGAGGTAGCTCATGGTTTTTTCCAACGGACTTGGAACTTTCTTTCCTTTGAGTTCAGTTTTGTCGGATCTTTCATTGTTGTCCACAGTTCTTGGTTCACTGCAACGTCTGTCAGTGAGGCTGGATATGTTCAACATCATCATCCCGTGACTTAAGAGTTCCTTCACTTTTTCTCCTGTTCCAGTATTCCAAAGCATATCTAAAGACTGACGTCGACTAGAATTTGCTAGAAATTCAACAAAATATAATTCATTTTTGTATTCAAACTCTGCGGCTTAAATTAGACGAGGAACACTCACCGGAACTACTTCCGCTCGCTTCGTCAGCAACGGAACTCCTCGATATCCAATTGGCAATCCTGTTGTCGACTTTGCTTCTGCTTTTCATAGAGGGACTTCTGGTGACCTCGGCCTTTATTTCCTCACTGAGAGAGACCTCATTCGCCTTTGGCATCGACGGAAGGGACTTTTGCGTGACTAGTTTGCTCCTCTTCTTCTCTCCGGAGCGCTCGGCCGTCTCTCCATCGGGACTCAAGTCCACGGGAAGTCTTTTGTACGGGATTTGTTCCTCTTCGTCCGAGAAGGCTTCATTGTAATAGTTCTCCTCGGGCGAGTTGTTCAGACTGATCTCGGTCCACTCCTCTCCATTTTCGGGATTCAGCTCCTTCTTCGGAGACGATATCTTCACTTTCTTCTCGATGGGAGAAACGACGTTCGCGACTTCCTTGCGGCGCGGACTCGAGGCGCTGCCTTCGTTCTGCATTTGGAAAATGTGTTTGGCGTCGGTCGCCGCGATACTTTGCGGGCGATCCCTCTTTATGTAGCGCCTCGGCTCCGTGGAGGAGAGACTCAACTTGCAGAGGCCCAGGTATCCCGACGAAGTTTCCCTCTCAATCTGAAATATCATTTTGCAATCATTTTGCAATCATTTTGCAAATTTCGCTCAGTGAATTGCGTATGAATCATGTTTTTTCGGGGAAGATGAAAAATACTCACTTTCGCTGGAAGAGTGTATGAAGACTGGGAAGAGATCTTGTCAGGCAGTCGAAGATACTCGTCGCTCGTGTAGTCCGTACTGTCCGGTGAGCCTGTGAAGCTAGAATCCGTGGGAGTGTTCGTCTGATTGACACAGTTCTCTTGCGACTCGGTTTGCTTCCCATTATCGTATTTTCTTGTCTGAAAACGAAAAGTCGCTTTACCAAACACCAACAATGAAAATCAATGGAATCAGAAGGAAACACATACTCTGTGAATTTCGTCACTTATTTTCTCCAGATTTCTCAGAGCGTCAGCGTACGTCATTTTTGCGTCCCCTACTGATCTCTCCAACACACTGACTCTAGTCTTTTGCTCCTCTAGCATCTGGTTAAAGTGAGCTTTCGTTTCGAAGTATCGTCTGAGGGAAACGTTCAAACCATTAAATTCTTCCCAAATAATGAAAGGTCCCACGTATGTGTTTCAGGAAGTTTGCAGTAATGGCCGAGAATTTTCCTCCAAACTTGGTGAAAAACATTGTTATGTAAGAATAATAATGATTTAAAATTGAAACAAACTTTTCCACTATTTCAAATATTGTTTTGTATTTAAATTTTCTAAAAGTAAGAGATTATTAATTGTAACTTACTTTGACAATTGGAGTGTTGCAGATTAAAAAACTAAGTACATCTAAAAAATCAGTCCACTAAAGGAATTCTTTTGGAAAAGACAATTTCTATTTACGGAAATGTAGACGTGAGTGGAAAAAAAATGAAAACAAAAATCATGCTTAAAATAATAAAATCTATTCTACTTACAAGATGAGCAAGTTGTGCCTGTAGGCGATATTGTTTATCAGAAGCAAGCTTCGGCGTGCACCCATACTGCCAGCATAAACACAATCGGAAAAACATTTTACCAACTACTCGAAAAAAGTTTAAAATTTTGCAAAAAAAAAAGGGGGAGAAGATTGTTCAAAAAGTAAGAAACGTTTGAGTTTTGAGAAAATAGTTTAAATTCTGTGCACTAGAAAGTAAAAATAATCTAGCAATATATTTCGATTCTAAGTAAAAGTATTCCCTGCTATAATACATAGTGCCAGAAACAGGGAGGCTAATTCGGTAACTTTATTTAACAAGCTAATTGGAACATCGATCATGCAAGTAAATATTGAAGAAAACATCAAGAATAAAGAAAATGTGTCCGCTAAGTCGTACCTAGATTTCGCGATCGCTCGTCTCAATTCTCGCTGAAGACGTTGAACCTCGTATTCAGCAGTGTGGTACAAAGCAGTCGTTCGACGGTGTTCGGCTTCCGATATGGCCCTCTCGTGCTCTGATTCGTTTACTCTGAATGTCGCGTGGTTCAACATTTCCTAAAAGCATTTTTTCAGTTAAATTAAAATTAAACAATATTATCTTCTCTAAAATTTAATTACAAAAGAAATCCTCACCTGCCATGCATGATCGAAACATCGTCCCTCAGTCTTGAGGCCCTCTTCGGCCAAATAAACCATTTCCTTAGCTGCCGCGTGTTGACTATTCGCTCTCTCGAATCTTATTGCCGCTCTTTGTGTTTCCGTCAAGGCCTATTGTTATTTTTAAATAAAGAATATTAGAGAAAATCATAAGAAAACTGTGAAAGTATTAAGGACGTTCTTTTTTAACTCTTTGGCTGTTAGAAATCCAGTTATGAATATAAAAAGCCCTTTACCTCTTTGGCTTTAAATCTGGCATCGTAATACGGTTTTGATTTTTCTATACAGTCGCTCAACTTTTTCGTGAGGTTGTCAATTTTTAATGTCGACTCACATAATAATTCTCGAAATGTCGCTCGAGCCTCCTAGAATTAAATGTTAGCCTTTACATTAAGCACTACAATTAAAGACATTAAGGCTCATTAAGTAAACTTACGTCCAAATCAACTTCCAGTTTGTTGATATCGTCTGTGGCTGTATTGAGTCTTTCGAGTTCGATCTGAAATACAAAAATAGTAATAAGAAATTTTTCGTATTCGAAAAAATGATCTCTAATCTTCCCATTTGTTTAAATAATTTTCAAAGCGAATATTTGGTTCGCAGTCCTCTTTCCAATATTGACTTTGCTATTTCCATTTGTCGAAATTAGTTTCGATTCAACGTAACATTAAATGGACAATAAACAGAGCGCGCGTCCGATCTCGTAAAACTTTGAATATACGTAACAAAGAAATGTTACGTTCTACGTCATATAGAAACGGGGGTAGGTGAGACGGGATCTCTTTACTTCCTTCGAAAATAGTCTAAAGTAATTAGGTTCTATTTTCGACATGAAATAAAGTTTGTATTATTTAATGAAATTAATGTTAAAAAAATACAAAATTGTTATTTTGAAATTGAACTGTAATATAGTGTGACATAGTAGGCCGGTTAAGTCTTTCTGTGCAAAAAGCACCTCAAACTTGAATAATATTTTTCTTGATAATGACAAATATTGCATTCATCAAAATTTAATTCTTCGGGCAAAAAATGAACCGATATAAAGTTGAAGTGTTAAATAATATTAAAAATATAACGTACCTTTTAAACATAAACATAATAAAGTTCAGTTTTCGAAAATGTAATGTTTTCAGCAAAGTAACAAAACGTTGAGAAAATCTTTTTGTACATTTTAAATTAAATATGGAAAACATGTTATTGTAAAGATCTTGAAAAATTCTTCGTATTTTTAATTTAAACATATGTAATATAACATATCCACGATCACAAGAAAAGAGACGAAAGACAATACAATAAAATTTGAATGATTGTCTTTAAAATGAAAATGAGAGTCACTTGTTTAAAAGAATTGTTGCTGTAATTATATTTGGGTCAGTTCACGAAAGTTTAAAACCAATACCATAATAACTTTTGATTTCCCAGCTAGACATTTGATCAAAAATGTCCCATTTATTAAACATTTGCATATATATACATGTAAACAAAAAATTGATTTTATTAAAATTTTCGCAATTTTTAATCATTTTAATCATTTAAAGTGCAAAAAAAATGTAATAAGGCCCAGTTGGAAGGGTAAAAGATGAAAAAAGTACTTATCGATATAGGTACATGCATACATACATATATTGACAAAATAGAATTGAATGTAAGACAGAATAAGTGACAGGTGTGGGAGGCGAAGATGATTGACAGTAAATGGAGTGACAATTACCTGCACTCGCGGATCCACTGCATCTTCGTTAATATCGGAATTTTCGGAGCGATCCTTTTGCACCCTTTCACTCATAATTGAAGATAAAAATTGTGTTTATTTACAAGTTTGACATGCCACCTGAATCGTCTGCTACACTTCAGGTGGCCATGTTGAACGTAGAGGCCTGTGACGTCCAGGGCTGTAGTTTTACTTTTCGGTCAAGGGCACTTTGGCTTTAGTGCTTTAGTGTTACAATTGCAAGTGATTGCAGGTTTGCAACATTCCGGTCAAGTAAATTCTATATCCCCAGTCCAACTAAATCTTATCAACGAGACTCATTTTTGTGATTTTTGCTAATATTTTTATAATTTCAACAAAATTTTTTAATATTTCAACATTGAAAACAACTGACGTTTTATTAATTTAAAAGAAACTAATTTATTTTATTATTAAGTTATAATTATTATTGATACTATTAACAATTCATGGCAAATATTAATGCAGGTTTGTTATTCATGTACCTAACTTTTAAATATTGTAGACACATATTTATAAGCGGTCCCGTTTTGAATTATGTTTAATTATATGGACCTGATTTTGAAAATAATTTGCATACAACCCACCGATGATAATCATTTGTGGTCTTTCCTATGGAAATTAGCTAGACTGCAAGGGGGTCGCTTTCGCATGCTCCGGTCTTGTCAACTCGTATGCTCAACCTACTGAACGGCGCGGTAACGGCGACGGCGACGGCGACGGCGACGGCGGTCTATTCAAACCGGCTGATCATTTATTGAGTTTCTCCCCTAAGAGTTGCACGTTTGAAGATTGCTGCATGATTACGTGTTATCTGGTCTATTTGTTGTCTACTGCTAGGAAAGGTGAATACATATAAATGAGCACGTGTGTTTTTATAAAATTTATTATTTTATTAACAAAAAGCAATAGACGATTTCGATTCGTTCGAGCGTTTTGACTAATTTCTTCGTCAAAAAACTGGCAGTAGAAAAATAGTAATTATTTTGTTAAAGCTACATTATCTTTATGAGTAAACGCCTTCTTAGTTCAAATAGTGGTTTTAACAAAGGAATTATAGTGGTTGAATCAATTAGTAGCTTTTGACTATAAGAATTATAGTCAAAACGCCAATTTATTTGAATCAATCATATTTCATTATAGTCAAAGTGTCTGATTTAGAGGCGAGTAGTTTAAAAAGTGAGAAACGTGCTAATATAATTAAAAATAAGACCCACATTCTTGAAATCTGTTTTCAGTAGATTGTGATTACAAACAGTTCTCACGTTGGCGAGAGAGATAAGATTTTTGTACCACGAAACACCCACTCTCATAAAGTCACTGACTCGCTGTAGTTCCTTTTCACTTCCCATTACTCAGTCTCTGGGTCAAAATCACGTTGTGCTCAAGCCGACAAGAAAATAGTTTATTAAAAACCAATAAACCATTTAATAAACAGATGCGGATATATTTACAAAATGTGGGAGACGAGTTTTCTTTCTGTTTTATTATTTTTAATTAGTACAATCGGGAAAAGTCTCTCCGTAAAAAATTAGTCAAATCTATTCTCTTTAGACTATAAAACCGCTTTATTATACATTTGAAGCATTTTTGACTGAAATTTTATGATTTCAAGTCCTACAATTGACTTGATCTATATAGTTTTAGGCTTTTATAGGCTCTATACTTTTTAATATTGTTTTAAATATAAAAGATGCAAACGGTTTGAGACTTGAACATGAAAATAATGAATAAACGGATTTAATAAATGGAATAAATGGAAAAGAGAGTGTCAGGTGAAACAGCTATAGCCATTTTCAAGGTGAAAACAGTCGAGTATTGATATTAAAAGAGCGCGTGTTAAATAATAATTGAAATTTAAAGCAGCGGCGATCCTGTTTTGAAAATCTCCCGTCATCGGTCGTAACCGCGACGATTTTCATTTCTACGACCTGTTTAATAATATATCGCTTTGTAAAAACGTCACCGAAATAAATTGCATTCACATCGTGTATATATCTACATCTATGTGCGTTCACTGTCATTATCATTTATCTGACGTCTTTGCTGCTGCTGCTGCTGCTGCTTTCACTTCCTTCTATACACTGATAAAGGTTTCTCGCAGTGTGACGCGAGAAATGTTAAAACAATTATTAAAACTTATATTAAGTATACATTTTCAAATCTATTGCGCGTCAAACAAATTGATATTCTTCACCGCATTTTTTAAATGATAAAATATTTCTTCCATCAATTGGAAAAACTTTGGATCTTTGAAACTTTGGAAAATGCATGAGAAGCTATCTAAATTCGCAGCTACTTTTAATAGAACAGTAACTTTAACTACAATCGTATGTCTTTTTAACGGTAAAGTGAGATTTTTGTTGACACCCGTTATGTTAAAATCAGCAATACACTTGCCGTATGGCGCTTTTGGACTAAATAATCTCTCTCTCTCTCTCTCTCTCTTTGCCGTAGAAAAAACAAATGTTTAGTAATTTATTATTAGCACCAGGAAAGACGTCAGAATTAACTCGTTTTTTCATAAAGAAGTAAAAGACACTTTTTTTAAAAGAACGTTTTAGTATTTTCGATATAAATTGTAACAATTAATAGCGTTGTTCCCATGACATATTGAATTCTCGTTAACATTTATAATAAATAGTTGATAAGTGATATGACTGCGTGAACCTGTTCCAAACAAAGCAAATCTGATGTTGAAATGACAATACATATATATACGCCTACTTGTTATGATTCTACATGAAAAGGTAACGGGATATTGTGTCTGTACAAAAGGTCTACGTTAGAAAGTAATTGGTATATCCTCCAACATTTTAGAAGCACGAGAAAGCGCTTATTTATTTATTTTGGTCTAGTTCCACTTGTTTGCAGTATTTTCTTCGACTCCAAAATTATATGGTTATTCTCAAGAAATATTCATAGCGTTGTAATTAATTAAAAATGCTTATTGGATGCTTAACACCTGTTCTGTTAAACTTGTGCTTCTTGCTTCTTCCTGCGAGTAAAGCAATAACTAAAGTCGGAAAATTCGATTTTCAACCCAATCTCAATAATTATTTCATTTTATTTGAAACCATAAAACATGAGGATTAATTGTATCACCCGATAAATGAAGCCAAGACCGCAATAAACAGAATATCCATATCTGGTAAGACAAGACCCGCAGACCCTGAAATAAAAACTTCATGTAGGCTTTTAACTGTAAAATGTGCCTATAATCTAAAATATGCATTACACTTTATGTAAAAGAATGCATATTTCTAAACCTAAACAATGCTTCAAATATAGGTTCCAAGTGAGAAAAATTATAAAATAACAATGTTGGAAGCAATAAAAATAATTCCAACAGATAAAAAGGTGTAACGAAAAAAAAAAATTAACATAATGGCATTATTTCTCTGAGATATTGGTTAATCTTCTCTTAAATATCTATTAAAAGAAACAGCAAACAGTACATTTTCAATATAACTAAACGTTTTTAAACAAAAAATACATTTTCTTTCGAAACCTGAAAGCCGTTATTAAGCCTATATTAATTTCTTTGTTGTTCATTACGAATCTAAAGACATGTGAAAATACTAAAATAGTGTCTAAACTTCTTAAAATATGTAACTTGAGATTGGATATTAATATGACTTTGAAATACTATCCTGTGAATAGAATTATATGAATATATTGGTTTTTGAAAGAGAAAAAATTGTAATGCATTGCATGGAAATCATTCTCTTCTTAAAAACATGTTCAATGTTCATTAGATGCAGATGTACTTTATTTTAAATTAAATTACACGGCGCGTTGTGAATCCTTTAATTTGTCTTGTAATTCACTTCCGCGATCTTTTCTTCCATTCGTCTTCTGCAGTAATTCATTAAAATATGCAGTGTGACGTTCATAACTCAATTCATAAGAGTCCAATTTATAATTCAATTCAAAAAAGATTTTTTAAATCTTTTGTTGTCAAATAATAAAAAATTTCGAGTCTCATATATATATTTCGAAAATTATCATTTACATAAGAAAGTATCAAGTATATGGTTATCATAAATCTTACGAATAAGTCAAATATTTAATTTTCAAAATTGTTAACCAATACACATGAGGGTTTAAATTTCGACACGGAAGACATCTTTTAATCAAAAAGCTTAGACAATAGGTATAATGTATGGATGAGCTGAAATAGAAATGCACGACTTTCATTAATGTTTGATACTGCATAGAGGAGTTTGATTTCTCGATTTTGTGGTTTTTTTATTTCTATGGAAATCAGAGGTGGCTTGCGAGATGATGACGAAGTCTAATCGTGCAAGTATATTACTTTCCCTACTTTCGCGCGTAACTGCATGAAATGCGTTCTCCGTTTAACAAATTGCGCATTGTTAACACGAGTGATGACCGCGCCTTAAAAAACCGGAACTTATGAAAGTTTAAAGGCCTCTCAAATAATTTCCACACAATGAAAATTTGTTTTTGAAATAGATTTTTGAAAATCGAGCATGTCGACGATAAAACAATAAATTTGACAATTAATCACGCATAATAACAATATTACATTCATATTGCTTATATAAATTAATTGTACTCAATGTTAGGTACTTAAAAATTTAAATAAAATTGCAAATATTTTATAGTGCAATAATTTTTCCACAAAATTGGCGCATTAAAACAAATGTTATGTATATATGAATTGAAAATTTGTTAAAGCAATAAAGAATAGAGAGGGATTAAATTTCACTTTACGAATTAGAAAGTCCATTTTTTATGAACAAAAATAAGTATAGAGAAATAATTTTGGAAAAAAAACGAGATTGATTTTTATTTATTGATATTTCTCTGCAATGAAAATAATTAAGAATTTCGGAAACAGGAGATATTGCCAAATCGTTTGTTTGCAAATATTTTTGAAGAGAAACACACATTAAATTATTGTTACTTAATTTGATGTTTATAATTTTGTATAAAGGTTTCGAACGTTTCGAAGAATGTTTAGGACGTCTCGACATTGGAAGAAAATTAAGTATCAAAACAGTGTATTGTGCAACTCGTCAGATATTTGATTGTATAATGAATGAGGAGAATTGAGCGAAAAAACCGGTTTACACTCGCGTTGATGAATCATATAGGTGAAACCTGTCCACTCTGGAACAGATGCGATGAGCAGTCCATCCAAGTTCATCGCGTATCTTCAGATGTTTAGTGCATTTTGCACCCGACACTAAATATTGTTTATTTATTGTTTATAGCTTTAGTTTCTCTACACTTGGAAAATCGGACATATTTTATTGTCATTTTCCTTCATTTTTTTTAGCCACAGCACCTGAAATAATTTCAATATTCAAATAACGTGGTGTCTGTACCATTTAAAAATATTTTCAAGTTTTTCCATAAAAACAAGAGAGCAGACTCAGTGCTTTTTAATTTCTAGGACACTTTTTGCAATAAAAGTTATGTCTATTTATTTTCCAAGTCTTGCTCAATATGTCCATCAGTATGCGTTCTCCAGCATTTTACACACGTCAAGATAATAACTGAAGATATAAAAGAATAGATGGATTCTATGTGTTCACTAGGAACACAAGTTTGCTTTATGCATTTTCAATTTATGGAATAGCGAGTTGTACTTTGCAGGAAAATGATGCGACGTTTTCTCATAAATTAACTGCTTTGCTTTCCCTTAGATGGGAAAATTCCATTTTTTCTCACAAATAAAATGAATCATAGCCGTCAACTTATGTTTTTCTATGTCAAACCTCTCGAAATAACAACAACAATAGTGTTTGCAAGGGCAGAACAATCAATTTGTGTAAATTTGCCATCGGAGCTAGGACAGCAAACTTTTTGACACCGCGTGCACCTTGAAAAACGTTATCAGTATATTGTAAAAGAGGAAAAATCCTCTCGAAACTCAAATATTCCACTTCAATATGTGGACTCTTTATTCTTTGGCGCGGTGGTTAATAATAAAGAAAGAAAATTAAATATTTATATTTATTTCATTGAAAACATTTGATTTAGAAAAAAAGAATTATTTTTTATATTTGACTTTAATTGTTCGAAACGTTAAATTTTTCATATTTACTTTTTGTATGACTATCAAGGTCACAGTAACACCCACCGGATTTATTAAATGTAGATAAATTGACCTCAGCATTTGATAAAATGTAAATGAATGGTTTACACTCAAAAGTGTTAAAAATACATTTCTCATTTTTTATAATAAATTATTTATACGACTTGGACCGATTTTTTTGTGAAATGTTTCTTTTCGCATTATAAGAAACTCCTTGGACGAAATACGTATAAATTTCCATTGTGTGGAACTAGGCCACATTTAATCTTTTCTTGTGTTCACCGATTATCTTATATTAGTTTTAATCTTTCTTTTCTTGGAAAAAGTTATAGTTAAAAGAGTTATTTGTCACATCTCACAACGTAAAAGAGTTGTTAGATTTGCTGGGAAGCATTTGTTCAAAATGCTTTTTAATTCACATTTTTAGATGCATTTAAAAGTTCGTTCCATTCATGAAAGCAGGTATATGAATGCGCGAAGAAACCTTTATAGTCCTTACCATGTAATTATTTTCGCTTACTCCGAGCTTAGAATATTTGGTACTAGCTGCATTAATTATTTAAAATTTTCAGATATTTGGGCAATCTTCATCTGAAATGAAGGCAATGAAGGATATACATAACAATAAAGGAAGAAATATATGTATCTTGGAAAATAATTTTGCCGCATGCACGATGAGTCGACGAAATCAGGTTTCACACAAAAGGAAGTGAATTAGAATAAGTGAGCTTAAATAACTGCGGGAGGAAAAATGTGTAATTTTTGAAGGTAGGCTAGTCTAAGCGTATAAGCATATAAAAGCTTAGAAATAATAATCTGTGCAGTTCTGTGCTCCTGTCGTGGTTTAGTCGGTTGCTGTGGAGGTGTGGGGTTCAAAGGGGGAGTCGACTGAGGAGAAGGACAGAGAATGCTCGGTCGTGGCTGGTACCACCATTCTCCCGTTCCTCCTCTCGTATTTATTCCCCCGAATCACCATCCCACGTTTACATCCACAGAATCCAAACATTATTTATGTATAAATATGCACGGCTGCAGTAACATTTTTCAAATCTAAGCAATCTCCAATTTTAATCAAATACAATTCAATACCTACAAGGTTCCGAATATTTCAAACTCATATAATATTGTGAATTATTTTAAGAAAATTTATTATAAAAGCAATCCAAGGTAACAAATTCAACTCTAAATTTCAGATTCAAAAGTTATATTCAATCTAACGACTCTCAGGAAATCTATAATAATATTACTCGAGATTCAATGAAGAACCAAACAAATCACTAGTTATTTCTTTAATTGCTATTTCATTGTTTTCATTAAAATACTGAAACTTTCTTTCGAACTTATATGATTGAAATCGATTGAAACTGATCAAAAGACACTGAATTTTCATTCGATTGAACCGATTGAACTTTCAAATCCTAGATGAAAAGCCCACCACAAGCACACTCGGCGCGAATTTTAAAATAATTAGCCAATCACTATTTTCTTCATAAAAACTGTAAAAGTGCTTTAAAACTTTAATTTTTGGTTGAAAGTTGAAACTAAAAGTTTTGACAATTTTGGGATGATTGTCCAATATTGAAAAACCATTTTCAATATTGTGTTTGGCAAGTCTTTTAAAAGATTTTCGTAATCCCCATGTACGAAAGTACATTTTCAACTTTCAGTGTTTAACATCTGAAAATTAATTTCGCTAAGAAAGTTGTATATGAAACGATATATAAATATATATATATAAAATGTTACATTTATAATTCATGTTAATTCGAGTATAATAATTATATATTTGATTGTGGCCGCGTGTTATTTATTTTCGTCTTTTGGAACCTTTTTAATTCCTCGAGACTTTCACTATATAAATATATAATATATCGAATGCTGCAAAAGTTGAAGAATTATATGAAACGGTCCGAATGGCGACCTTGAACTTGAATGAACAGCTGATTTCACAAAAGGATTCTCAATACGAATAAGACGTCATTTTTCAAAATCTCTTCTTTTGCGTACACTAGAGAAAGATTCTTTTGAATATCATTATTTTTCAAGCGAAAAATACATGATGTGAAAATAATATTTCATCTTAGATGGACAATCCCTAAAATTCAAATGTCAATTTTCTTACACAAATCCGCAATATTATTTTTCAAAAACTCCAAATTGAATTTTGAAAGAATTCGCAATTATCGCAAGAGTATATAGTGGAAACGCTTAGATTAAATTAGATTTTCAAAAGGATTTTATTAATATATTTTGTTCCGTTGTTGCAAGAACAATGTATTCAACTGCGGCTGGTGGCACGCAGCTAAGTACTTTTTCCCGCAGGTTTTTTTTCCATTTTCATTATAAGTACATTCTTTTTTCTTTTCAGAGACTTTAACCAGCTTGAGTGATCCTTTGAGTCTCCAATACCATCGTCTCACTTTGTACACTTCTCTCTTACTACCACTATTTCAGTATTTCACTCGACAGAGAAACATCGCATCGGAGCGGCACGAATGAATGTCAGTCTCAGTAGTCAGTACACCGAGAGCCACCGAGTGGCTCGTATTCAATTTTTAGGACGGTCTCCATTTTCGCTTCATTTCCGCCAAAAGAGGCTTTTCTTGTGCAGTGAGAACAAAATATTTACAGTGGCGGCCGCATTGTTCAAAGGCAATGCCTTTTGTGTTACTCTAATCTTGGAAAACTAGTGAATTTTGTGTTTCTCATTTATATTATTCGTTGAAATTACTTTTGGTGAGTTTTTACTTTCAAGAAAGTCACTTTTTTCTTTTTTTTATAAATATCTTTCAAAAGGATAGATTAACAAGTGAAAGTTTTCTGGGGGGTTATCGGACAATAAAATCTGAAAGGAAGTCAAGATTTAGGTCTAAAATTGTACTGATCACGTGATACCCATTGACCTCTTTGTTCAAAACTTTATCATTGAAAAACTATTCTTATTTTCTTTTATTTCAATTATCCCATTTTTCTATACCATCATTAACGATAGTAATATTATTCAATACCCAAATTTATCAAGTATTTCATTCATTTCTTTTCAATTACTTCCCCATTAATAAAACTTTCTTCCAATTATTTATCATCAAATTCAAAATTATAACTAAAACGACAATTTTTTCTAGTTGTATTTTCTCTTAAAAATTCTTCACAATCACAATATAAGGAATAAGGTATCGACCATCGAAGCAAAAAATGAAAAAGAACAATAGCAAATTGATTAACAATCTTTGACAAGTCTTTAAAAAAACAACCAAAATTATAGCAAACAAGAAAAAAATGATGAAAAAAGAAATTAAGACAAAGAAAAAATTGAGAAATAAAAAATAACAAGAAAAGAAATCCACTAAAAAGAAAAAGAAACACAGTATGAAATTTACAAATGAAATAAATATAAAGGAGAAAATGTTTAATAAATTAATTAAAATATTAATTTTAAAAAATTGAAAATTGCGATTAATTTAATAAACTTTAGAGGAAATATCTGCTTTAAATACCTATATACATATAGAATGATATATATTTATACTTTTTATTAGAAACTTATATACATGATATACAAACAAAAATATTGGGAAATTTGTTTACAAAATATGATTCTTTGAATAACTGAATGATAATACGTATGAAAAAAAGTTAACAAATTCGATTTGCTACAAAGGAATAAATAATTATTTTCTTTATTGAAAGAGTTGTTCCTTAATTTGACAATTAATTATTTCTTGTTATAGAAAAATTGGTGTCATTTTAAAAATACATATAGTTATTACCTATTTCATATTGCACAGTGGTTTGGTTTCGTTTCGTTTCGTTTCGTTTCGTTTCGTTTCGTTTCTTAAAGAACAAAGTGAATGGAAAATAAAAATGACAATTGAGGCAATATTGCAATTTATCAGCCAGAGGCGTTGTCCCTTAATTCACGTCCTTTGCTGATTTATTTAAGGGACATCTTCAAGTGGACTCTTTAACAAGTTATTCTTGTTCTCTCAATTGAATCAAACTCGAATTTATTTGACGTTCATGGATATCATTTTGCTTTCAATTTGTCATTCAAAAGTGTATCAGTTCAAATGATCATAATTCACTCTAATCGAGATGACCATATTGTTGAATAGTAATAATTTAGTTAAAAATTATCAATTTATCATTGAGATGCTTTTTCATTTTTAAACATATAATTATTTTCCTGGTATTGAATTGAGTAAACATTTATAAAAGTTTCATCAACAAATATTATGAAATTTGTTTAAACAAACAACAAGTTTTAAATCAATAAATTCAACTAGACGAATGATTTTTCGTAATATATGCGTGATTTATCTAAAAGGGAAGTATTTTTTTCATATCTAAACTATGAAACGAAAGAAAAGTGCCGTTGAATAAGTTGAAAAACCGAAACAAGTGAACGCAAAAGAGTGGAAAGTAAGTATGTATCTCCTTTCTCGCGAAAGGTGTTTTTCTGGAAAATTAATATCCGCTCGCCGGACGTGAACCGTGAAAGGATCATCTCGAACTGAAACTGAAGAGATAGACAAATAGAAAGAAAATTATCATCTTTTTCTTTGCTTAAAAAAACAAGTTTTACGTACGTGTGAAAGGTGACTGCTTGAATTCATAAAGAATAATTCAAGTCGAATTGGTCACGCTTGAAACCTCCTTATGAACCTTTAAAACAACAACCTACTTCATGCCCCATAATTCCTATCACGTTTTGACGCAGATCGTCTCGTCACTTCCTTTTTATGTACTTTGCCTGACTTTGCCGCAACTTCGCCGCGACCGACTGCATGTCACTTGAATTCAATTTCAATGTCGAAAAACTCTTTTGTATTCTGTATTTTTGTTTGCGAAAATTATAGTCTCTTCTCATCTCAAAAATATAAACTTTAAATGCAAAGGATCCACATTGTTGTTGCAGACGAGTAAAAAGATTGTACAGTTACTTCCGAGATGCTTTGAACTCTGAATAACGTTCGAATCTTGGCCACATATATATGTATAGTTCAGAATGAAAAATACTTTTATTTAAATATATTTTAGTCTGGAAACGGTTACTTTGAACTTGTAACGGTTTCGTCTTTTATTTATAACTTGGCAATTCCAAGTTCTAATATCAATTATCAGACAAGTTCTCACTTGGAGTATTTACTTTCCACTACAAATTATTATGGAATGGTCATCACATTAAAATATGTGATGTTCCGAAATGATTATTTCCACAATTCTTTTTCGGTTCTCTTCTTCATTCTTTTTCTTCGGCTTTGAATTATTATGAATGATTTCGCAATAAAATGAGTAATTTAAATAATAGGATCCATGCAGGCTATCAGAAGTATGTAACTCTTTACTATAGTAAAAAGAGAAAAAAAACGTCTCTTTATCCACGGAGTGTCAACTGTCACATTATCATTATCTTAATTGTATTTACCAACTGCAATTTCAGGAAAGTCATCTGAACGTGCTATTCAGTTTCAAATTTCTTTCTTACGATGACGTCTTTAATGACGTCACTACATAGCAGTGAAATTACAGACACTAATTGACATATTATTGCCTCTTCTTCCTGTGCCGTGTTGCTCGAACCATTTATAAACCATCAACATTTCTATAGAATCATGAGTTCTACATTGAGGCAAAAATAGAATTTGAGACAAAGTTGGCTTATCCACACTACTTGACCGACTGATACACAGTCCACTGATACCAACGAAAGAGGATGATGTCACTTAAATATTGCAGTATTGCATTTCCATTGCTTCAAATGTTTA